AGAGAGAGAGAGAGAAGAGTCATTGAGCTAACCAATTCGTCCCAATTAGAATGTACCAGTCCATGGCCTCAACGGCCGAGGAGCTCAGACACACGTCTGGACCTGGAACGAAGGATGAGGGATACCTGTACCGCGTGGCAATGGAGAAGAAGGGACTGTTTGGACACAAGGCGATCCCGATCGAGTACGCCAGGCCACAGACTGAGACGCCGGCTAGAGTTGCTTGGAACCACGAATGGACGCGCTGAGAGCTGCGCGTAGCAAAAAGTTGGTGAACGAAGAAGCGTGGGCATGACGAGTCTCTACGAATTGGAGAGACGCAATACCTCGTCTTGTCCATTGGCCGACCCTGTTGGGCGTATGCTTGCAACGTTATAGGCTGTAAGATACAGGCGAAAATCCTGTGCATTGGAGTATACCGGGAAAACTGTAAAGTTTGCAGCAGAGGGTGTGCTGCTGCATGTGTACAAAACTTTGACGCTCAACTACCTGTACCTCCTGGTGGGTGGGCGTAATGCCTTAAGAATTATATAAAAATTTAAAATTCGATTAAGCGATAGGCACATTATTTTTTTAACTATCTGTGGGTGTATTGAATACTAGCAGTCTGCGTCGCTTGCTATACTTGCTATCGGGCTGCTCCTCTCTATTCTTCGGCATGGGGAAAACCAGCCCAAACCCACTACTTTCGTCGCCGTGTCAAATGATTTGAACACCAATCCGACCACCCGCCAATGATTATGCCCATTATGTCTGGCCTGCTCCCCTCAAAAAAAGCATATCCTGAACCAGAAAACAGGTAAAAACAGATTTGAACGCTTCTATGGGCTAATAATACACAAGATGCCCCTCCAGATTTGTGAACCAAAAACAAAAGTTTTTCCAGATTACTTCTTTGAAAGGTGACGCTTTGAGATCCAAATACTGGCCTCCATGGCTGGTTCTTGATGTGAACCATATAGCCACTGGTACTCTCCGGGCCGGCATTGACATAATTCTGATACCAGCTCTAGGGCCGATTTCGAGATACCCCATGTCGTCCTCCGGCATCTATAGGATAACGCAGCAACCGCCGCCCTCGCCCTTTTCAAAGGTGAGCAGCGCGGCTCTGGTGGCAGCCTCGAAAACATCATCGACGCCCTCACCACTAAGACTCGAGCACTCCAGGTATTTCTTGGCGCCAACCTCTTGGGCAATGGCCTCACCCTGCTTTTGCGTGACGAACTTGAGGGCCTTCTTACGCATCTCCTCAATAGCGACTGGGTCATCCCGCAAATCCTTCTTCAGTCCTACGAGGATGATGGGCACTCCTGGACACCTTTCCGTAGCCTCTTCTATCCACTATTGCGCTCGTGTCAGTACAGAACCTTGCCTCGATTTCGTAAATCTTCCCGCCTCAGCCTTTCTTTTAGACGAACCTTGTGTTTGACGTTATCCAGCGAGTCTGGCGAGTCGATGGAGAATCCTATTAAAATAATATGCGCTTTGGCATATGCCAGTGGCCGCAATCGCTCATAGTCTTCCTGTCCTGCAGTATCCCATAATGCCAATTGCACCGACTTGCCGTCTACTCTGCAGTCTGTAACGTAATTCTCGAACACTGTGGGTATCTGTATTCATGCTCTCGCGTTAGAACTTGTGGCCGTCGTCGGGCGAATGCCTCGATTTCGCTCCAAGAGGAAAGAATTCGCTTACGTAGTGCTGTTTGACTGGTTAGCAACGCCTCGAAAACATGTATTTAAGGTGACGGGAATGCCACTAACTGTTGGGAAATAGCCTAATGTGAAGACGCTCAGCAGCGACGTCTTGCCGCAAGCTCCATCACCAATAATGACCAGCTTCCTAAGGAAAAGGAGACGAAATGTCAGCCGTTGCATTTGCGCGAACAGAAAAAAGCAATTCCACATGTATCTGGAATATTCGACACCCAAGTAGCATATGAAAAAGGGGGATCGTATGCCAGAAGATGCACACAAACATCTGGCCCGCGATCCATCTTGTGTGAGGGTGATGGTCCAAGTTGGACTAACTAGTGTGTAGGACACAGCCGCGGAAGATGGAGACGGCGAACCCCAAGAACGGTAGCGACATACCTCCGAATAACATTTCCTGGGGCCTGATTTGCCATGGTCGATAATAATGCTAATGTATTCCCACACGCGCGGTAGTCGGGAAGTAGGTCGTCGTCGTCGTCGTTGTCGTCAACGTCGAAGGGCCCGCAGTAGTTTAAGAACTATCTATCGACTTTGCCGACAAAAGTTGGAGAAATGGGCGGCCGGGCTGAATCTTTAAGAACCGAGTCGGTGGGCTCGAGGCCTCCACGCCGAAGGTCAAGTCGCTAGAGGATTCCGATGCCGACAATTACGTTGTTGTATGTTCTCTTTTCCGGCCCGGGGCAATGGCAACGTCGTATTTGGGCTTTGCGAATGTTCCGTCGCTCGTGTAGATCGGCAGAGGGTTGCGGATACTTGTGGGTTTCTGGAGAAGGAGGGAATCGAACAAACTGGTGGTTTGTTTTTTGGGGGACTTTTTTCTTCCTTCCAAGGTCAGGTACAGAATGGAAAAGCGCAGCGCCCAGAGGAAAAGGGTAAGGTAAAATGTAGTAGGTAGGTAGGTAAGTAGCTGGTGCTTGTGCTGGAGGAATACGAGGCGAGCCCAGACGTGGTCAATGATCTGACGATCAAAAACCGGGTATCGCTAACTGGAGAACCAAAGCCACGCCTAGGGGAGAGATGAACCGCGAATCCCGGTCGTCCTAGTGCACCACAGCGCCTGTGGTAAGACCTTAATAGCGACCCTGCTGCTAAGGTAAAGGGCTGCTGATTTGATGAGCGGCTACCTACCACGATATGCAAAATGGGACTAGGACCCAGTGTTGTCGCGTTTCTGTTCCGAATGAGATGACAAGATATATATTTGAGGGTGAGACTTTGATAAAGATTTGAGACAGGACAAAGCGTTGCGCGTCGTGTAAAAGTTTAAAATTTTTTGCTGGGACGGTTACCCAGACGCCACTGCCTTTTGGGTAGGGGATTTTTTTACTCTATGTATAATTGATACTTTCATGCTTGGGTGACGGTCTCCTCATCCACGGCGGTCGCCGTCTACGCTAGGTACTTGTGTAGTTCTTGACTCACCAATCACTGGGAAGAATATCTATCGTGCAAGTCCGTCCAACGTTCCAGCAATGAGCGATCTGGTGCCAGTCGTGCGTTGTACGGCGCATGCTAGCAACGAGGGCAGCTCACTTGTCCAGGATCTTGTCAAAGCCATGATGATTGATGCCCATAATATTTGTCACGTTACAATTATCACCCGGTTTGACAAGACGAAGAAGAATACCTACAGTGCCCCAATACCACATACAACCAGATCAGAGGATTATGCGGTGCAGTAGCGAGGCGCCCCGCGCTGATGAGATCCGATGCGTCGAGGCTGTGAATTTTTGCCAAGAATTCAAGATTGCCCCGATGAGAGAGGCCAATCAATTCTCAAGCGCGGCTACGACGGGGGGCAGAAAGGGTAAGGTAGGGAACAGGCCAAGCCCCATTCCACATGGAGATGCCGGATGATGAGCACTGTGGAGAGGCGTTTTGTCTGACTCCACGACGACTGGCCGGTTCGTTTTCCATAAAGGAGCAAATGCCCAAACAGCAAATCCGATGGAGATTGAAAGGGTTCATGGTGTGACTGATGCACAATTACTGCTACGTTTCCACAAACGACCTTGAGGGCAACATGACATTCCGAGTCATGCTGTCATCTGGCAGGCAAAGAACAAAATCGCTGATAGGTTTGGACCGTTTGAGTCGTCGTATGACAGGACGGATAGTAGTGCCATTTCCGTTGCCATCTCCCAGCATGTGCCAAAGTTTGTCTATCAAATTTAACACAAGTCGACGGGATTGTGAGCAGCAAGGTCAAGATGAAGTCAAGATCAACACAATCTCGATAATCTGTATGCTATTTCCACCACTGCTGTAAATGTGCCGGGTTCGACTTGATTCTAGTTTTAGAGAAAACCCGACTAGACGTAACAGAAATTGGGTTTGTTAGTGTGTGCTCTTCTGTTATTCTCCCACACTGTTGATGAAGCAGTTACACGGTTGGGCTGCACCCTGAGAAGCCGGATATTGGCCGGGTTTCAGATACGCCATCGTTCTGTAGAAACTCGTCCGCGCAGTCAGGAAGACTTAGATCGAAAATTTTTACTATCCAATATCATTTGCAAAGTTCAGCTGTTACGGGAGATAGAAACTTGGAGAACCTTTTTTAATCACGACGGGGTCAATAGTAAGCACTCACATCAGGTGACCCGATCCTTTCCAAGAAGTGGGACGGGGTTGGCTAGGTGCAAACGAAGAGTTGTATGAGCTACCTTGAGGTACAGTCCGCAGTCTATGGGATAAGCAAATGTTGACAACTGCGTTTTGTATGCACCCGTGGTCTGGTTTTCCATGTATTGGCTCATCTAATCTAGCCCATTCATTACTGGATCACGCTTGGGAGATCGTTCTGTCGACGTTGGTCCATTTCAATTCCCAATGGCATGCACAGGTGCATTAGTTCCGATATACTTTATACATGACGAGGCAAGTCTATGCTGGTAGACTATACTGCAGAAAAAGGACTCATTATCAGGCAGGTCTGAGACTGAAGGAATTGGGGTCGGTGGCGTCGTGCAGAAGCTGAAATCAATAATGAAAAATGTTCAAAGACTTTGGTAGCTGGGAGTTCAATCAACTGGCTTTTACTGGCGATGCCAGCACAAGCAATCCAACATTTGTAAATCGAAGAGGCGTTTGTGGTGACGACAATGGAGGGGTATCACGTGGGTAAAAGGCACAGATCAGCCTCTGCTTCAGCTCCAATTCCGCAGATTGTTAGTGGCCTAGGATTACATTTTGGAAGAGGTCGGAGCTGGCTGGCCACTAAGAGTGCAAGCAGCTGTGCCACCAAGGTTGCGAGGGTTGTTAACAACCACAGGCACATCTGCTCACCGAGACCGCTGGGGTGTTGCGGCACCTTATAGCGGTTGAGTGGTCCCCCCGCCCCCTTGTAACCAGCGCTACGGGCCATCCCAATCTCAACGCCGACCTCCATTTCCGCATGTCAAGAAGCGGCTAGCAAGGCAAACCTCCACACCAGCCGACCCAATACCTTGGACAAGCCCTCAAACGACAGCCCTCAAAGCACCGAATGCCCGACGAAACAAGCTTCCCATATTGACTCCACGCGACCGAAGAAACCCACGACTTGTAGAGCAGTGGACGGCGACACCTGCGACTATCGATTGACGACTGGAAATTGCCCTTTTGCGCCGCTGCCCATCCGTCTGTCTAGTCGTCGTCGTTCTTTCCGTGGCGTGCCCTAAGTAGGTAATACTGCCAAAAGGTACGCGGGTCTGGTCCGGACGCTGCATTGAATTGACAGACAGTTGAACGTGAGAGGGGCAGCGACGAGCAGCCTTTCTCTTCCCGCGCTTCTTCCTGCCAGCGCCGGCCGCCATTTCACAGGACAACAAACACAAATACAAAACAACGTGCATCCTTTACTGCCTACGAATATACCAGCAAACTGTTGCCCCTCATCAGCCCAGTCACCCCAAGGCGGCGACATCGCTAGACGCCACACGCTGTCGGGCTCGGGAAGACCACGCACCTTGTATCCATGCTCCTCGTAATTGAAATTGCCCATGCGTCATAACTTCGACACCTAACGCATCTGTCTGCTCACCAACCCTCGCGATGCCAGCTAAACATCGCCAGCAGGCAGTTGCGACGCCTGCCGCATCGGCTGCAAAGGCCCCGTCTGCAAAGTATACGAATAAGGATGGAACCAAGAGCATCACGATTCCAAAGTCTTCGGCCTCTACCCCACCAGCACAGCCGTCGCCGACAACGATGACCTCTCCAAAGGATCTGTCCTCTGCGAATACCGCTGTTCCCAGCGCTGATGCCACCGAATCCTCCGCGCCGACGATAAATCGAAAGAAGCAAAAGCGTCGCGCAAAAGCTGCCGCCAGAGCAGCAGCTGCAGCAGATGAGTCCAAGGCAGCACAAGGCTTGAATGGCCTTCCAAGTCCCCCAGCTTCCACGATCAGCATACCTTCGCACCCTGCGCCATCAAATATATCCCGGCGAGACACGAGTTCTGTGCCTCAAGGCCATCTGCATCATTCTGCACCGGAATCTGGGTCCTGGGATGATGAGACCGAGAGCGACGATGACAGTCAACTCTATGCCAGTCGGACTAACGGTTCAGCATCGCATTCAAAGGCAGCCAAGAAGAAAAAGAAGCAGAGAGGTCCGCTGACTACCTCTGTCGATGCCTTTGCTAGGGAAATGGGGGAGCGCAGCAGAGGCATTTCACGGGACGAGAAGATATGGAACACATCATCTGCAGAGGAGCGGGAGCGAATCAAGCAATTTTGGCTAGGCTTGGGCGAGGAGGAGCGCAAGTCATTGGTCAAGGTTGAGAAGGACGCTGTGCTAAAGAAGATGAAAGAGCAACAAAAGCACACGTGTAGTTGCACCGTCTGTGGGCGCAAGCGGACGGCGATTGAGGAAGAGCTGGAAGGCCTTTACGATGCCTATTATGAAGAGCTAGAATCGTTTGCTAACCAGCCTCACCACCATCCAAATGGGCCACCCATGCTGGGCGGCACGCCGCGCCGACTAGGCCAGATGACTGGCTTGCATCCGCCCGGCAGCCTTCCCTCGAGTTATGCCAACCATCACCACCCGTCGCGAGCCCGCATTGTAGAACATATCGACAACGACGAGGACGAAGACGAGGATGATGATGTGGACGAGGATGATTACAGTGGGGAAGATGATCTGGAAGACGATGACGGTGAGCCCGTGGATATTCCTCAAGATAACGCACTCGACCTCTTCAATTTTGGTCAGAGCCTCACAGTACAGGGTATGAGGTCCCATCTCTCCTGCTTTGCTTACGCAAAATACTTAAGCATAACCACTCTAGGTGGCATCCTCACGGTAGCCGATGATCTCCTCAAAAACGACGGCAAGAAATTCATTGAAATGATGGAGCAACTTGCAGAGCGGCGCATGGCGCGGGAAGAAGATGCCAAAGACCACTATACGTATGGGCACACAAATGGTGGTTCATTGAACGCCCACAACCATGCTCCGCCGCCCGACGATGATGACTACGACGACGAGGATGAGGATGATGATGAAGAAGGAGAAGAAGGCGAATACGACTCTGGGGCTGATGACTACGATGACGAAGAAGAGGTAATGATGAGCATTGGGCTGCAGAATTTTATTTACTAAACTACTCTGCAGGATTCAATGACGGAGGAGCAACGCATGGAAGAAGGTCGCCGCATGTTTCAAATCTTTGCCGCTCGCATGTTCGAACAGAGGGTCTTGACTGCCTATAAGGAAAAGGTTGCTCGAGAACGACAAGCCAAGCTTTTGGAAGAGCTCGAGGACGAAAGTCGACAAGATGCTCAGAAGAAAGCCAAAAAGGCCAAGGAGGCCCAGAAGCGGAAAGAGAAGGCTGCACAAAAGAAGCAGGCCCAAGCCGAGGAAAAGGCTCGAAAAGAGGCCGAAAAAGCCGCTCAAGAAGCTGAACGTGTAGCTGAAGCACAACGACGAGCTGAAGAGGCCAAGACCAAGGCAGAGGAAAAACGTAAGAAGAAGGAGCTGCAAAAGAAGGCCGAGGACGAAGAACGAATACGTAAGGAAGTAGACCGACAGAAGCGTGCTCTCGAGGCAAAGGAGAGGCAGGCCGAGCAGGAGCGAAAAGCACGCGAAGCTAAGGACCGTGAGAAAAAGCTGAAAGAGGAGCAGCGCGCCAAGGAAAAGGAGGCCCGCGAGCAAAAAGAGCGTGAGACTAGGGAACGACGCGAGAAGCATGAGAAAGACAAGCGAGATAAGGACCAGCGAGCCGCCCAGGCCAAGGCAGAGCGCGATGCCAAGGAGAAGCAAAAGCAGGAGGAAAAGGCTGCCCAAAAAGCCGCCGCCCTTGCTCCATCTGTCCCTGTTTCCTCGCAGCCCAAGAAGCAGCAGCACTTGGCCTCAATCCCAGCGTTACCTCAACAACCGCCGGTTCAGGCCTCGCCGCAAATTGCTGTTGCGACTCCAGCTATCCCCAAGGTGCCCATGAAGCCTCGGAACTCGTCCCAGGAAGTCACAAGGTCTGTATCGCAGTCATCTCATCCCGGATCAGGAACCAGCCAGAATGCGTCGCCGCACCCTTTTACTCCGGCCCATGCTAGTCCAGTGCCCGGTGGTCTCCAGGGAAGGTCATCTGCTGGTGTGGCTAGTACACCTACAATGGTGCCAATATCACCATCTCACCCCGGAATGAAGAGTCCTCCTGGCTATGCGCAGCCCGGCTTCCCAACCGGTATGTCTCCTATGGGCATGCCATACCCCCCGGGAATGCCCATGGGCCCTGGATTCAATCATATGCCGAATCATCCAATCCCGCCGATGGCTGGCGCCTTTCGACCCCCTCCTGGTAACCTGCCATATCCGCCTGGCTTCAATGGGCCAGTAGGCCGCGGATTCCCCATGCATCCGGGTGGTGCTACTCATGGCTGGCCCGGCAGTTTTGATGGCTTGCCGCCCATGAGCCCGTTCCCTGTCCACGAGAATATGGTACCCAGCCAACCTGGATCACACTCGAGGCAGGCGTCTGCAAGCTTTGATGGCAGTCCTCTGGAACCCAAGATATCTGGCGCGTCCGCTCAGCCCATTGCGCGCCCGTCGCCCATTGGTCGTCCTGGTAGTATCAGCCGTGGTCAACGCTCAAACGACGACGACATTAGTCACTTGGGTAGCAGTGCGCTGCTTGGCGATAACGACGAACCCTTGGATGACTTTAACAACTATCAACGACGTCATACCGTGGCCCCGGGCAACAATATGCCATTCTCCGTAGGGTCTTTTGGCGAGACCATCTTTGGTTCGCCGAGCTTGAGCCAAGGCTGGGGCGGTCCTCAGAGCGCGTTCGGGTCTGCACCACCCCCTGGGCTAAGTTCCCCTTGGCCGTCAAACCCTACATTCGGAGGTGGCCCACCCCAAGCTAGGGTATCGCGGCCAGTAGCGGTACGAAGGATGCTTGTGACGGCCTGCAAAGAACTCAAGAATCACGCCACCGATGCAGATGGCTTCATCGACCTCTCGATCGTCAAGGGCCATGTCGACTCTATCAACCACTTGGAGGCAGTATCCGAGACTGAGCTGCTGAGCATGTGTGAAACAGAAGGCAGCCCTCAGAATGGAGATGGCAGCTTTGACATTCGACTTGATGAGAAATCGGGCAAGACAAACATTCGCTATGATCCTACTGGAGGAGCACCGTCCACCATGCCACGCAATATCGGAGCTCCCGGCCAAGTGAGCAGTCCCATTGTTGGCTCTTCAGGACCATTCAGCGGTCGTGTCTAGTACCCCTAATACTGCTTCTTGATACCGCCACTCTCACGGCTGCTTGCCAATTCCCGCTTCTTGGGGCGACAGGTTTCTGCCGTGTGACGGTCTTCGTACGCGAGATCAACTCCGAGTCTTCGTATGCACTTTTCTCTCCAACTTTCACCAGAACTCACTGAACACGGATTTGTGCTGGGTGTGCAGCTACAATTTCTTGTTTTTGTGGGTATTCAGGTTCTTTACCAACCATGTTCGTCTTGTACTTCTTTTTCGACAGCTTTAGTACCCCAACAAGCTTGCTGCTCAAAATGGGATCACCATTCTCGGTTTCGCTACGGGTCACGACACTCCCGTCATAGTCTTGGGATGACTAGTTCAAGGGTGGTTGTCTATTCGATCTCGAAAAGCAGGGCAAGCGGTATTGACTGGAGGTCGGTGAGGACATCCATAAATAGCGTATGTCTTTCTTTTCAGAGGCCAATAGTGCAAAACCCTTTTATGGATTGAGTATGAATACAGAGGTTCCATATCACGACATTTCATGCTGATTTGTTGATAACGCTATTGTAATTTGTGTGAATGTATGACCATGATTTTTTTTTTGCCAGTCTGTGTATGCCTTTTCTTTTCCCCAGCGCCAACCATGCTCTCTAGCTCTTGCTAGAGGCTTGAGGGCCAAATTGATTGTTTGACCAGAGATTGATCATGCCTTGGCTCAAACATTCCGTCGCCCACCAAGAAATAAGAAATTTCGTGACTGTAGCCGGTTAATCATTATTCACTCTTGCCTCATTGTTATTGTTATACCACCAAAGACGTCAATGTCTAGTATGCCGTGGCAGATGCTGGGAGATGATATACCTGACACATAACAAGGTGGACATTTTTTTCAAGTTTACAGGGGAGGCCCATTGATGTTATTCCTAATATTATTCGGTAGGTGGAGATCCCTTGAGAGGTAATTTTTTTTCTTTTCTCGTATCGGGATTTGATCATGGTCGTTCTAGACCACCCTTTTTTCTGTGCCCACCCCCAGGTTCTTTATTCTTATTTGCAGGAATGCATGGACATATTTTGTCTTCTTGCAAGCGTTTCTTGGGAATACGAGATTTTCCCGTCTTCACCCCAAATTGGTGCGTGCGGACGAATCAAGGGAGGCAACAAGGACGCCAACTTGTCAGCTAACATGTTTTGTCTCACGATTGAGAAAGAAGTATATAAAGCTGGTCAATGAGACCTTTTCCGTTGTCCTGCTCTACTATGCTCTTCTTTCCCCCCTAGCTTGGTCAACTTGTCATCAAACTCGGATCAGTAAACATTTGCGGATTCATTTGTAGGTCAATTTTGGGACGAGTTCAAAACACAATCATCTTTGTGTGTACTAATATGATTTCATGATGCAGGAAACAAAATTACAGTCGCCCTGTGCCTATGAACACCGTTTCCCCAAAAGCCAGAAAATATACGAGGTATCGACTCGAAAGATTTCTTTTTTCTCTTCTTGGTTCTCATACAAAAACTCCCCGGGGGCGCATTATTCTTTCTTTTTCACATATGCCACGATTTGGAGAGAGAAATGTTGCAGGCATAAAAGTCCCGAGCATATCCTCCCCAGGTATCATGACTTGGGATTATCGTAAAGCGGCACTGCAATAAATGGCAGTATAACTTTCACATAGGCCGACTGGCCGCGCTGGATACAGTTCCGCTCGAGTAGTATCGATTTGGGACACGTCCAGCGTAACCGGATGCTAGCCTCTGACCACCGCGCCTCGGGCGGCCGAGCCCGCCTCTCATTTCTGTCGACTAACCAGAAAAGGGGTTGGGCTGGGCATCACCAGTAGTTCTCTGGCTGACGCTTCTCGTGGCGGGCTTCGTGGGAGCGTTGGCCTTGGCGATAGCAGCGGCCTCGGCACGAGCGCGGTTGCGCTTCGCCTCCTTGCGGTCCTTGCAGCAGAGGAAGGTAATGGTAGCAATGATACCAGTCAGGCAAACAGCGAGGAAGATGGTCACAACGGCTCCGGAAGTCGTCAAGCCGTCCTGACGAACCATACACAGGTTGTTGCCTTCCGAGTCCGTGTCACAGTACATGGTAGCAATGCAGACCATGGTCTCGGTCTCGGTCATACTGCAGTTGTACTCATTGTCCGAGTCACAGGCCGAAACCTTGGTCTTGGAGGCAGTTGAGCATGAGTTGCTGGTGGTTGCCGCAGCGGTCGTGGCAGCAGTTGTAGTGGAAGCTGCAGTCGTCGTGTCGGTACGCTTGGCGACAGTGCCCGTCGAAGCTGTCGACGCAACGCTCGTGGTTGTCGAAGACGTAGAGTCTGTGGTAGTCGTCGTGGTCTCTGAGCTCGTGGTTGAATCGGTGCCAGAGGCTACTGAATCGCGTGCAACACGAACTGGAGGAGGGAAAGCATTAGCAAAGGTGCTCTTGATGCAAGAAGCGAGTGGTTTCTAGGCGTAGAATGTAGGTGTCGGGTTCAGGGGGCAGCCTTTGTGCAGCCTCGCGAATTTGAAGTGGCCAGAGGCTTTCAATTCCCAGCGCACAGTCGGGTGAAATGGGACCCCCATTAGGCCAGCCAATTGGCTCATGCAGTAACAATTGCAAGTCAAGTGTTTTTTTTCTGCAGGTTTCAACTCACCGTCTCTTCTCTTCAATTCGCCCTCCTCACCCTCGCAGAACGTAATCAAGTAGCTGGCCTCAACTGCAGCTGCAGCTTCTGTACAACCGGCATTGGTAAGACACTCCTGGATAGCGCTCTCGAGGAGCTCGCCAGAGGCCTTTTCATAGCACTTCCGCAGGGTCTTCTTGTCGCCGCATAGCGACCTTCCTGCAAGCTCCTTGGCCCTGGAGTTTATGCATTCGGGGGTAGCGGTGGAGGCGACTAGAGTAGGCACAAGGGCCAAAAGGGTCATCGGCAGCGAGGATCGCATTATGGCGGTTTTGGGTTTTATCGGGTGCCAAACGAGCTGAAGCAGGTAGCAAGCCGAGGTGTGCAGCAACGAGGCGTGCCAGGTATATTTTTTTTTTCGCGTATGCTGGTGCCGACCGAATTGTCTAAGGGGCTGCGTGTAACTGCTTGCTGCCTCCGCTGCTACTGCTGCAGAATATTGCGTTGGCGCCCGAGAGCAAAGTTACCTTTTCAGGAGATGATGAAGACAAGAGGTGTAAGATGCCGGCAGGTCGTGCAACTTTTTTCAGAAAATGGGGGTGGGCTTGAGCCTTGGCCTGGGTGGTACTGCTGCGCCGATCCGACGTTCTAGGGTATCTCTATAATCTAAGATTACGAAAACCTCCTTTCGATTGCCGAATGGGAATCGAAGCAAAGATGGGGGGAACAAGTGGAATCGGGGGAGGAGATATTGTACAGAATTGTGTATGTACGATATGTATATGGGATGAGAGGAGTGAAAGGGACAGTCAAGTCGGTCAGGATGCAGCGAAGCGGCCGTAAAAAGGGTCAGGAGTTGGACGGGCAAAGAGAGAGAAAAAAGAGACGAGGAGTGTTGAGAGGAGTTCAAGCATCCAAGCCACAGTCAGAGTCGCAAGGGGGGCACAAACAGACACTCTGACAGACAGGCCAACAATGGAAGCGCAGCAAGACGGGACAGGACAGGAGAGGCTGCGCCGAACGTGTATGGAAGGATTCAATTAGGAGGCCGCATTGCAGAGAAAAAAGACACGCCAAACTTTTTTCTCACTGATTGACTGGGCTCAGAACACGATAGGGGACCAAAGAGAGAGAGAGCTAGGGGGCGTCCATGACCACTTAGCAGGCGACACCCCTGTCTTAGCAGCTGGGTTAGTTCTCGGCTTGGCCCTAGAGGGCATAGCTGGCCGCTGCCACAACGCAACCGCGATTACGATTGGACCCCGCCACGGGCCCAAAATAGGCACACGGCGGACCATCTGGTTCGTCAGCCCCTGGACAGCTCTCGTCTGTCGTCTCACTGACACTGCTACCAGGTACATTGTGTCTGTCTCCTAATAAGAAACAGCAACAAAAAGTGCACGCAGCCAGCTCATAATATTGACGCCAGAAAAGTAAGCACGATATCGTCTATAGACGATAGCAAATCTGGAAGGCGCGATGGAAAGAATTGGCACCATCTTTTTTTTTTTTTGGCTTCTCATGGTAAAACTCTTTGGTAGTTTGACCTCTACCATTGAGATCTACAATAGACTGTCTCCTTTTAAGTCTAACGACTCGTGCATAGAAGCAACGTATGCACATATATGCATGCACTTGGCGCGCTGATAGCTTGACAGCGGCATAGGTAGTGTCTGTAACTGGCTACATATACAATTCAGCAGCCACTTTTTCTCAGCCTTTTCCAGCTGCATGATTTGCTTCGGTTGTTTATTTGTTTGCGTGTTGCTTGCTTTCGAATTTGGATGGAGCTGAGTTAGGACTTGGACCATCGACGCGCCCGTTGGGGGCTGACGGTCAGCAACGTGTGGGGACGGAAAGACTGGGTTCGACTGGCTGGCACCAACCGAGCGGCCGGCTTTTCCTTCCAGATGGTCCACTACGTACACCTGTAGTCTGGGGCATTGTGGCTGAGTAACCATTATGTTATCCGCAGCCAAGAACAAGTCGAAGAATTGCCCAAAGAGGATGCATAGCAGGTTGGACTCATCATCCACCTTGCCGATATTTCATTTTATTGTACGAAGTGTTGCGTATCTACCTCAATCTATGGATCAACTTCTTCGTATGAGTACAGCTTTGACAAAGAGCCTATGAAGCACAATAACTTCAATAGAAATTGGATAGATTAAATAGCATTTCCGTTCGCCTCGAGATTCGCGGCCACTAAGCCCGTGCATAGTCGTGGTACGTTGCGCATGTCGCAAGCTGCCATCAATCCAGAACCCCTATCCATGAAAGCACTTTTACAACGACGAATGCCCCCAAGCTCGGTCTTTCGGCACTTCCACCTCGTGTACTCGAGATGTTTGCAGTTGTTGTTGATATCTTCAACACAGTTCTGTTTCCTGTTTCTATAGATGAATCATCGTCTTGTTCTTGTGTCTTTAATTCTTGTCAACATGCTAGGATAGGTAGGTACCTAGTATTAATTTACAGTCTGTCTACGAAGGAGCTAAGATAGTGCAGCTTGTGCTTATTGCTGACTGCGGCCGAACGCACAAAGAACATTCGCAACTAATGTATTGTTTACCAAGGATACATTGAAAGTAGGCCAAGTGGAGAGAATGCACTGAACACGATCAGCATCAATGTTATCCCCCAATAAAATATCAGTAACGACAACCTTTGTGAATCGTAGCCGTAGCAGTCCATTTGCATACTGTGGTTGCAGGCGTAAATAAAACACCCCTGGTCAAGTACCAGATCTGATGGGGCGCCCACTCGACAGCTGCCAAAACACGCACAAGACGTGCACAAGAGCTGCACAAGTGGCTCCAAAATACTTACCAGGGACGTTTTACTTACCCATCATACCACAGTATAAAGATTAATCGCATTGGGGGTTTGCGCTTAGGCCAGGAGTCGGATTTGGCTACTGTGGTGTAGTCGGACGAGTCCCCTGTTCGCATTTCGCATGCATCTATCATTTGCATACGGGAATCGTTTTCTCATGGTAGCATTCCGACTTGTCGATAGAATCATCATATAAAGTCGCCAAGACGTTTCCTAATCATTATTAGGCGAGGCGCTTTTGCCGCCTGCAAGAGAGGCTCAAGTGCCATCAGATGACCGGTGCCTAGATGCACACACACACTTGACTGCCACGAAACCTGCGGACATTGACTGTTGCCTACGTCATAGGTCCTGGACTTACATAAAGAGAGTGACCAACAGCCTCTACCACCATGATGTCTTTACAGAGCAACACTACACCACGTCTAATTTGGCAAATAAAAACTCATATCAGCAACCTCACCACTACAAGAAAACCTTTCAGATCAACCGCAAACATGCCTCTTGTCGTTCCAGGAATCACCGGCACTTCGGGAGACAAGACCGAGCACTGGACCAACAAGCTTGTTGGCAAGAAGCTGTCAGATGGCTCCTCGGACGAGACGGTAAGGAAACCCAGTTCTCGATGAGTCGTTGTCTTTAATTAATCAGATGACGCCACTCACTCAATCAAACGCAATTACTGACGATTTGCTTCAGAGCTTCTGTAAGAAGGATCTTCCAGAGGAATGCCGTGTCATCGAGCCTGGCATGATGGTCACCAAGGACTTCAAGCCCGACAGACTCAATGTCCACCTCAAGGAGGATGGCACCGTCAGCCACGTCCAGCACGGTTGAGCAAGTGGTCCAGGTCTTGAAGGCCTTGGAGTAGTTGGACTCAAGTGACGGGCATTCTTTAATGGCAAGCAAAAGCCGACCTTTGTGTTACTAGTCTTCCTACGCAGAGTACAATGAGCTATGAGACACGATATTTACCCATCTAAACATGAACTACATTTTATGCGACTGTGATAATTACCCGTCATCTCTTTTTTGAACGTTGGCTTCTATGTAATCACCCTTTTCTTTTCTTTTCCCTTCCTCATCATTTGTACCTGAGTATCTTAGAATCATACATGGAACATTGAACGACTTCAAGTTGTGTCCCAAGGTTCCAGACGGCCATCGTATGGATGCTCTTATCGCGGGCTGGTTGCCCCGCTATCTGCTGTCCAGATCTCCAAAGCCCCTCGCCTGCTGCAATTGCGGGGCACTCGACATCCAATTGCCCCTCCAAACTTTCACGAGCTCACACACGACCAACCTCTACTTCGCGCTGTACTCGGCATTATTTCCCATCTTAGACGCCGACAGCTTACACAAGTCGTCAAGATGTTCAAGAAAGAGTATGCCAATCCGTGAAGCCTTCTCTTTTCTCTCGCTCCTGTGCCGCTAACCAAATTGCTTGACGCAGACTACCCACGGCGCCCAAGTCGAAGCTCAAGTCCTCAGTCCAGCGCAACTTGCGCCAGAGTCTGTTGACAACCTACCCGCTCTTGAATGCCTACATTGATGAGATCCTGCCCAAGAAGGGCTCGCTGGAGGCCATGAAGCTGCCCGACCGCGCCACCCTCTACGTTCTCGACGGTGAGCCCCTCTTCTTCCAGGTCGACACCAACACACTGCTCCCCCACCTCAAGCTGGTGCACCGCTTCCCCGCCGGCTTCCCGTCGATACGCATCGACCGCGGCGCCATTCGCTTCGTGCTGTCCGGCGCCACGCTCATGGCCCCTGGCCTGACGAGCCCTGGCGGCCGCCTGCCCAGCGGCAAGGGCGGCGAGCCCGAGGGATTGGACGAAGAGGACCGGTGGAGCCGAGAGCTGGAAAAGGGCGAGCCCGTTGTTGTCAGGGCCGAGGGCAAGACGGAGGCTTGCGCTATTGGCTTTTTGGTCGAGGGAACCAAGGCCGTGAAAGAAAAGGGCAAGGGCCCCGTCATTGAGGACGCACACTACCTTGGCGATGGCCTCTGGAGGTTGGGAACGGACTGAGGCGACAAATCACTCGAGAGAGAAAAGATACTATCCAAGTCAGATATGGACGCAGCCCAAAGATAACTTGCACGATTATTTATTGCCATAAAGGTCATCCGGCAGAAGAAAAGAGCACTTTGAATACGAGTATAACGACAACAGGGGGACGAGCCCACCATGATATTAGCCCACGTCTCCGACGTATGAATACAACCCAGATGAAACAGCATTTTGCTAGGGAACTCGGATTTTTGCTGCAGACTGATATAGTAGCTCGAGGCTGCATCGAATCGGGTGTCGTGAATAACTTTTAGAACCCAATGCTTAATTTCATAAGGACTACATTGAACCTGTAATGATACCTGCTTCAATCTTGTTTTCCTCCTTTTTCTTTCTTAGAAAGAGACAGCCTATTCAAGTTTATATCCATCTTCAACAATGACGTGTACGGTTTCGGTAACTTCACTGCCGTGGTGTTGACGGCACTTGTTCAAGGCAGATGACAGGTGGAACAATAATCTTCAACATCAAGATATGAGGAGACATAATTTTGTGGACACTTTTCTCATCCATGTCCTCCGTCATTGACCGTCAGTGATATAATTCTGGCCAATAGGCATATTACCGACCAATCAGATCATGTTCGCGCAGCGTATCACGTGTGCCGAACAACACGCAGTCATTTCCCCAGGCTTCAGTGGGGTAATGGGGGGACATCTTCAGCATCCAGTCCACCATAATTCTGATCGAAGAGCACTGGCCTCTTTGACATTCGTACATTTTCCTTTGAATGTATTGCGCAGAATTATTTCTCTAACGGTGACCTCAGGCTTGGGACATATCCATGAGTCTCAGCAGCGGCGCCCAAGCTGCCATTGCTATCATAGCAGCTGTGCCGATTCTTCTCGTCGCTATAGCCAATTATATAATATTCACGATATATGCGTCGTACAGAACATCCCCGGGCCATGGAGCCTCGGATCCTTCACATCCTCGAGATGTCGCTGAATGCGCTTGGCTCGATGAGAGACGGTATGGACAGTATGAATTGCCGAACGGGGACCCATCTGCCGACTCACCTGCACAAAGCCTGCTAAGGGAATGGCTACATGAATCTCAATCAAATCCAAATCAACGCACGAGATTGATTTTGAAGATTTCAGATCATGAGAGTATCGATGTCAAGAAGTTGGAAGCGCTACTCGTAAAAATGTTTCTGCCAGGATCTTGTACTATCAATGTAAGTCTGATCAGTGTAGCCGACAAACTACAGGTCAAATAATAATAGAAGAAGCGTTATTGAGAATCTATAGATTTTTCAGGATATCCTTCTACTTGAATCCCTCAAGCCACTATCAGAGGATCAAGTCCGGTACATCACCATGGAGGCAAGAGTGTCTCAAAGGATTTCGATGGAAAATGATTTGCTCAAGCAATTTCCGACATCTGGCGTTCTTAAAAGTCCACATTTGCTTCCTGATATAGTCGAACCTATATTCTCAGACATCGAAAGCTTACGGTTGAAGGATCTGCGCCCTCGACATAACAATACGGAATTCTCATTGACGCAATACCATGATGCTGTCAACTCACAAAACCAAGGCAAGGCTCATAGGCTTCATGATGGTTTGATTGGAACTTTTCAGACGTGCTCGATTTTTAGGTCGTTACTTGAACCGGCCACACGGTTGCCCAACAACCCCAAGGTAAGCAAATAGTCCAGTTGGCTCAATTTCTCCTCAAATCAATGAAGGGGTTGATGTAAGAGCTGACCATTCCATAGCCAGAGTCGGTGGCTGTCAAGAGATTTCACAGCGGCGCAGATTTCTGCGACTTTGTAGCACTCAAAGAGCGACTTCGCAAAGTTAACCAATTGCAGCATCTAAATCTCGTTGAAACGATAGCCGCGTTCTGCTTTGACGACAATTCTGATTCAGAAATCTCATGGAACTTCATCTCGCCTCTGGCACCATGCGATCTTAGGCAACTGTTCCACTACCAATCGCCCAACGGTCCCACCATTCCAGCTACCCAATTCGAAGCATTGGCAAGTGCTCTTGCTTACTTGCATGGGACACTAGAAATTGCACACAGATCCATCCGGCCGTCTAATATACTAGTTTATCACGTTTCAGGATCTTCTGAACTTGTACTAAAGCTTGCCAACTTTTCTTCATCGGTTGATTTGAGCCAGGCCAGTGCCATGACCGCATCTTGGGAGGTCGACACAGGCCGAAACCAGAAATTGAACAGAGTCCCGATATGGGACACACTCCGGATATTGGACACAATCCGGATATCGGAAACAGTATTCGCAAACGATGTTTTGACACTTGGGTGCGTTTTTGTGGAGCTTGTCGCATTCATGACCGAAGGTCGCCAGGGCGTTGTGGATTTGCGACGATTTATTACAACTACAAACACTGATAAAAACATCTCGACCGATGCATTTTACAGCGGATGTTATGAAGGAGAGTTGCTCGTGAAACAAGAAGTCTTATCCTGGATGAAATTTCACGTTGAGAAATCATCCATTGCAAAAATGGCGTACTCAACTATAGAGAGAATGCTCGACGACGTTCCCGTCGAACGATGGTCAGCTCTTCAAGTATGTGAGGCATTCACCAAGGCAAGTACCACTATAAACGTATCTAGTCTCTCAATCTTACTCATGAACCTTTAGTCACTAGATCCACGTTCCATAAATCCAAGTCATGGGTTCACCGATGGTCATCGAATCCTCACATTCACTGCTTCCTCAGAATGCAAACAACCCCTCTGGTTTGACAAGCTAAGAATCAGTCTGGAGCATCAGCTTGGCTCCCCGATTGACTGGTCGCCATTGCCTCAGGTCATCTATCCTTGCCAGGAAGGCCAAATGAGAGTGACCTGGAAAGTGAGATACCTTTTACATTGTCGGAAATATTTGATGTTAACGTGCGACCAAGTATGGAAAATTGCGGCTTTCCAAGGTCATCTCTTCTGCTTCAGCAAAAGAGTTGATGGATATGTGTAGAGGACTTTTGACCACGGGGCGTCCTCTCCTACCAACCACCAGCACTCCCCTTGAAGACCATCCCGTTGCCACTGGCTTCAGACAACCTCACAGTGGCAGCATTGGACTGGATGTGGTGTCTGTCGAGACACCGGACATTGAGTTACTCAACGAGAGAACGAAAGAAATTTATCTCTGCGTAGATAAAATCCTTGTTGAAGTTCCAGAAACGAAAATGTGTGCAATCACCAACGTTCACATCTTGCCGGACGACGAGGCTCTGTTGGCAAGAATGAAGGAACAGCTCCGCAGCTGTAACAGCTGGTATAAGCATATATTTTCATGGAAAACATGCACCAAGATCAAGTTTGTCAAGGTATGTTCTGGGATCTGGATACATGGGGTTTACTAAACTCATTGTGTACAGTTCGCAATTATCAAAAACAAACGTGTCAAACCGTTAGGTTTTGGACTACCAATAGGTAATGCTGAATACGAGTATGCACATTCAGATCACGAGGGAGCGTATCTCGAGGCTTACCGAGAAATGATTGCCGAGGAAGTCCTCCGGGGCATCCACGACACCGGTGCTGGCAGAGACGAGACCCATCTCACAGCCGAGATACCCAAGAAACGAAACCCACCTCAGCTACGAGATGTCCGAGGCACAGAGGCATACGGATTACACGCCATTCAAGGGTTGTCGCTAAAGAGGGTATGTTGGTGGACCGGCATCAGCTACAGTCTCGGTATGGCCTTTGTCGTCTTTTGGCTCTCGTTTGTGGACAAGCTGGATTTGCAGAATGCATTTGTTCCTGTAACCTTTCTTGCTGCGGTGCTAGTCGGAGGGTTGGCGACAACCCAGGTACTCGTATGAGAGCGAAATAGTAGAATGGCTTACTATACAGCTCGCCACAGAAGGTTTGGGGCTTATATCTTGATACTACTTGTCACATAATTGACCTGCATTCTTCATGACCTGGGGCCGGCTGTGGTTCCTTGCTTCTTGTTATAACAAAGTTTATTCCTCACAGTCAGAGACAAGCTCACTTGCTTTTGTTCGCTTAAGTGTTGGTACACTAGTATCCAATTCGACATTTCTTAAAAGCCACAGTGGCAAGTCTTAGACATTGCAAGCCATTCGGTTAGATCGCAGCAGAACTCCACTTACTTTTCCATTCACTTTCCACCCTCACGCAGGTATTGAAAGCCCAAGGCGTCATACACCCGGAGATTATACGAGCCGTGTATGCCAAGAGGATTTAAATATTCACCAGCAACAGTCGCAGTCATCCTTTAATGGAAACCTTTCTTTTTCCATTTTTCAGGTCTCAGAAACTGATCACAGGTTCCATGGTTGATGCAGAAAATGGAGAGGGGGGCAGTAGTGGAATCTGTCAACTTACTTCAGAATGTGCCTCAGCATTGTCTTTCCCTGGGCGAATGTATACATCCCTGTTAGCTAGGAAACGTGATATTTGTTATATATAGTCGCCTTCATTCTAATTTCCGGATACTTTTGACCTGCATGTTCAATTCTTTGACTTTCCTGGAGCACAGACTGTCGTCCGGCGGGTTATCTTCTTGGTCACCACATCATTCTGCATCATGCACTTTCAATGCACTGCTATACTGGCTTGGGTCATTTTCGGGCTAGGTTTGTCGTTGAGTCCTGTCATTTTCCATTCGTCAACAGTATCTAATCAGATGCAGCGAGTGCCCAGTGCCCAAATGTGCCTGCTCCCCTTTATGGTTATGCGGTTGATCCGGCCTATCGTGCCATCAAAATCGCAGGAAATCTTGCCAATCCGCGAGGCATAATCACGGACAAGGCAGGCCGCCTTCTCATCCTTGAGCGAGGCAAGGGCATCAGCCAGCATACGGTCTATGCCTCTTCCGGCTGTATTAGCAAGAGCGCCACACTACTGTCATTGTCTTCCCTAAATCATGGCATCTACCTCAACTCCAGGCAAGACAAGCTGTATGCCAGCAGTACCACTACAGTGTATAGCTGGTCTTACAATGTCACCAGTGGCCAACTGGGAAATGCTCGGACCGTCGTGGTCCAGGGAATGAGCAACAGTGGACATTCCACAAGGACGCTGACATTCTCTCCCAAAAATCCGAACTTGCTTGTCGTGTCATGTGGCTCAAACGCGAATATTGATGCAGCATCCATCGACCCAAGCGTTGCACGGGCAATTGTCAAGGTCTTTGATCTCAACAATGTCCCCCAGGGCGGATATAATTACGTGACGCAGGGCTACAATGCAGGTTATGGTCTGCGCAACGAGGTCGGTCTCGATTTTGACGCCGGCGGCATGTGAGTCAACCGTGGACAGCATCAGGAATCCAAGACTGACATAAGATTTGAGGTTGTGGGGCGTGGAAAACAGCGCCGACGACCTGACCCGAACCGCCAATGGGCAAACAACTGATGTTCATCTGAACAATCCAGCCGAGGAGTTAAACTTCCTAGGCGACGTGAGCAAGCCCAACAACAAGTGGTACGGTTACCCGACGTGCTTCACCGTCGGCGACCCCAAGCAATTCAAGGACAAGACCAACTTTGTCCTGGGCGACCAATTTGTCACGTCGCCCAGCAGCACCTTCAATGACACGACGTGTATTCAAAAGTCTACACCACCAAGGCTCATCTTTCCCGCCCACTCGGCCCCGCTCGACGCCAAGTTTGACGCCGGCTCCAAGAACCTCTGGGTCTCACTCCACGGGAGTTGGGACCGGTCGCCGCCCACGGGTTTTGGTGTCGTTCGCGTGCCCTTTGCAAAGGCCAGCGACGGCTCCTATGCGCCGGTTGCGGCCCGGAATCAGATTGGATACGCCAAGGTGTTTTCTCCGAAACGCGCGGATGGTCAGACGTGCACGGCGACTACGTGCGTTCGTCCTGTTGGACTAGTGTTTGATAGTTACGGCCGTCTCTACATGACTAGTGATGCCTCTGGTGAACTGTTCATGATTTCAAAGATTTGAAGGCAAGGTTGATTGTGGAAGGGACCCTCATTTATTCGACCCATGCTCGATCATTTATCATATACGACCTCTACCAGTTTAGCAATACATTTCAACTCACTCTGCTTCTCCGTCAACCGATTTCCTGTCATTGACCAGATACTTGGAGATTCCACAGATGTTCCAACAGCAACCCAAAGTTTAATGTTATGAATACATGGATGAGACTTGTGAAAGCTATCAGAACGTGACAGAGTGTATTTTCCTGTCTCCGTTGGACACGCCCCATTGGTTAAGACCAACTTGACCCCCAGAAGTATGACCGATCGATCCTTCGCGGTTGACTCGCTGAGTCGGGGACGTGTGATCCAGTGACCAAGGTGCCATCAGGAGGATACTGTTTTGCTCAGCCACGTTCTACTCGTCCTCTGGTTCGTCATCCTCCTCTTTAAGCCACATCATGTATAGGCCATCAGCGCCAGCAGGGTTTCTCTCAAAAACCGCAGGTTCCTCATCCTCGACGTGCGCAGCCATCATGTATAGTCCGTCGAGTTCTGCGTCTGGCTCACGTCGATCAACCTCGGGCTCATCATCTTCGACGTGAGCATCCATCATGTACAAGCCGTCCAGCTCGACACTATTGTCTCTTTTTTCAGTATCGGGCTCGTCATCCCCGTGGACCCGAGTCATCATGTATAACCCATCCAGTTCGACGTCGGCTTCTCTCTTGTCAGAAGCGGGCTCGTCATCTTCCGAGAGGAACATCATCATGTATAGTCCATCTAGCTCGGCTGAAGATTCTGGATCGTCGGATGGTGTTCGTGTGACTTGCCCATTTTCCGGGTGATCGCGTCCTTGTATTTGTCGTTTTACCGTTGACGATCCCTCGTCTGATACGGCTCCGAGATCACGAGTCGTTCCAGTCTTTAAAGGCGCAGATATCACTACACCCAAGAAGAGGGAGATGAATCCGATGTGAAGAGGTGAAGGTCGCATTTTCGCTTGATCGTTATTTCACGAGAAGATTTAATGAAGTGTTGTATATACCATTTAAGTCCCCGCTGTGGTGTTGTGGGAGACGCCCTACTCGCATTTCTGAGGGCATTCCATCATTTATTACCAAGGCAGCTATGTGAAGGGAGCCTGTCCTATCATGAGGTATCAAGGTGTGTCAGCACATTGCAGAAACCGCCCTCAATTGCCTCACTGGCGTGCATTAGTGCAAGATGGACAAGGATCAGCGTTCATCTTATTCGATGAAGACTTGAGCAATTCTTCAGCTCTGCTCATGAGAACAGGCATCCTCATCCTTAATTGCAACGTCAGATGCTGCGCCCCTTCCATGTCCTGTATACTAAAGGCGAGCGTTCATTTTTGCCACACGCCAGGTGAGTTGCCAGGTTCGCGAGGCAATATGTACTCAAATCAAGTACTTTTCTTCTAGATTTCTTTTTACCTTGATTCAAGAACGCAGTTGAGCAGAGTCAACATAGCGAATGCTCAAAAGTATGGCTCCACTCACGAGAATCGAAAAGGAATACCACGCCCTAGCTCAAGAGGATCCAGTTGCTAGCGACGACGAATATCTACGAGAAGAGGTGCGCAAAACCTCGCGAAATCAATGTATTCGCATTACGATATACTTGGTTATTGAAGCCCTAGTGTTCATATCCGTCTTTTTCATCTACGAGCGATATCAAGCAATTCCGAGAGACAAGCCCAGCTTCACCGAGAGATGTAAGGGTACAAAGACTATTGCGCTGTAGAGTGCTAACACAAAAGTCAGATTTCCGGCTTCAAGATTATAACCAAACCGTACACTTTACAGAAAATGTTGAGCTCATGAGGAAATCCTCAAATTCTACCAAATTCTGGATGGACTTGCAGGCCAGTGAGTATTGTGCCCTTGGATCCGCACTTCAGCTCAGCTGGCTAATTCGGAATTGAAGCTAGCGGAATTGTATCTGTGCCTACAGAGTGGGCTCTTGGTCTAGGATTCTCCCCAAGCAGACAATCCCCCGAAACCCCAGGACATAGCATTTACCAACTGGACATGTACCATTCACTACACTGCCTGGTAAGAAACCCAAGAGTCTTACGGAAATCTCTGGAGTTGACTGGCCCTAATGATCCATCTTGTAGTACCATATTCGAAATCGGCTCATGTCGAAACTCCCTTTAGATGTGTGGCCTAGAGACGATGTGCACAGCTTGCATTGTGTAGACTTTCTCCGACAACAAATTCTATGCCACGGCGACACTACACTCCAGGGCACCGATGATTTTCTACATTTCGCCAAGAACCCCGGTCATCTGTGCCGCGATACGCAAGCGATCAGGACATGGGTGGAGGAGCGCAACTGGGCAGGTCATGGGAAATGGATCGAAGACAAATATGGGGTCGTATAATCAAGTAATTGATAATTGGAAGTGTCATTTTGACCGCGGCCGGCATTGAGATTTGATTAAATGTCAGATTGAATATGGTCGAGGCGGAGGAGGCGGGACCTGTTTGGCGATCGCCAAGACTCATATGGCGTTTTCCCCAGCAAACAGTCTCTAGCTTGACGCCATACCTGAAGCGATGGCAGAATTGCCACGGCAATTCGTGTCCTCGATCCAATAGTCGGTATACGGTCCCTAAGCAAGACAAGGCTGACTTGAGCGAGTCACCAAAACATTAGGCTTTTGTGGCCGCAGTGACTCTTGGCGACGACACGGGGATAGTATGTCCGCAACAAACAGTCGTTGTTAGCAGTAGATGATTAAGGCCACACAGCTGAAGCACTGCGCAGTGTTTTGCCTGAAGCTACTTTACTCAGACATGGAACATTGTTCGAGATGCAAACGATTCTCGCACTCATTCATTCATGTGTTTAAATAGTATGAAAAACTCGAGCGATTCCGTGCATTGTGCAAACGGACACCTACATGTATGTACAAACAACTGGTGGACGCCTTCATGTTGCATCTGCCGATAGTGGTGGAGCTTGGTATAGCCATCCCATCTCCACTATGAGCGCCCTTAGTACCTAGCCAACATACCCCGCCATGGCCAGCAGATGGTGATGGGGGAATTTGGAGCGCTCGCTTAAACAAATCCTCGGCAGTGATCTTCTGATCCGCTGCTGCCAAACAAACTAGACATGAACTTGTAGCACGACTGTCTCTGCCTTCCTCATCAATATCTATTTGATTCATCGGTGGGCGATTTGCATTATTTAATCAAACCTTGATTATTACCGATACTATGGCGCCCATCGAATATGTCTTGATCTATCCGCTCTTTGGGATCGTGGCTTTGGCCGTCGTTGTCCTGATCAATGACTATCGGTTGTGGCAGCGTATGCCGCCGGGCCCCCGTCCGCTACCGTTCATCGGCAACCAGCATCAATTGCCAAAATCGAAACCGTGGATTCAATTTGAGGAGTGGTCCCAAAGATTTGGGCCCATCTTCACCATCTGGATAGGCAGGCGGCCAACGATTGTCTTGTCGGATCCCATCATTGCGCAGGAACTGATGGAAAAGAGGAGCGCAAAGTATTCCTCGCGACCGCGCATGATTGCCATGGGCGAGCTGTTGTGGAAAGGCGGTAGCATTCTGGTTCAGCCGTATGGAAAGGAATGGAGTATCCGAAGAAAGCTGCTTCACCAGGCTTTGATGCCCAGGGCACTACAGGAATATCTGCCGATCCAGGAAGCCGAGGCGACTCGTCTGTGTGCTCAACTGTTTGAAAAGCCGGAGAAATGGGAGGCGCTATTTGAGCGCTTCACCAGCAGTATTGTATTTTCCATTGCATACGGGCACCGGATCGATTCCATGGGATCAAGCGTCATCAAGCAGCGCTTCGAGTTCATGCAGTACTCGGCAAGCCTCAATGTACCAGGGAAATACATGGTTGAATCGATACCAGCGCTCAAACACGTGCCCAACTTTCTTGCCCCCTGGAAGGCCGATATCGAGAGACATGGAAAGAAAGAGGCTGATGCGAACATGGCACTGGTCGACGTTGTCCGTTCCGACATTGCAAAGGCCAGGTCATCTGGTGCAATGGATACTCTGCCAAAATCTCTATGCCGCTTGCTACTTGAAATTCGAGAGCGAGAAGCCGGCGAGATCCCCCTCTCGGATCGCGACTTTTCATTTATCCCAGCCTCTCTATTTGGCGCGGGGTCCGACACGACTGCATCAACAATGTGTAGCGCCATTCTTGCCTTTGTGACTCACCCAGATACTGCTCGGTGCGCCCAACTCGAGTTGGATCATGTGGTTGGATCTGATAGAAGTCCTACCTTTGCCGACGCGCCAAAACTCCCGTATCTCACTGCTCTCGTCAAAGAAATCCTGCGCTGGAGGCCAGTCGCAGTTCTTGGAGGCACGCCTCACGCAAGTACCATGGACGACCACTATAATGGATTCTTCATCCCGAAAGGAACGACTGTGCTCGGGAATTCGTGGGCCATCAACATGAATCCCGAATACTACCCCCGCCCGCATGTTTTCGAGCCGGAACGCTTTATTGAGCGGGGCGAGAAGAATGCGACAGAGTTCCGAGGCCAGGCATCACATCCCTCCAAGTCTGGACATTCATCATTTGGCTGGGGTCGCAGGATCTGTCCAGGTGCCGATCTAGCGTACAACTCGCTCTTCATTGCTCTAGCAAAGTTGCTCTGGACTTTTGACTTTTCTGCGATACCTGGTGTACGATATGATATATTTGACTATACTGACGGTTTCAACATCAGACCGCGAAGTTTTCAATGCAAGATCCAAGTCAGGGACGAACATCGAGCGCATGTTATAGGGAAAGAGACACAAGATGCGGAGCGCTTTCTGGACAACTTTTCACCATTCGACTGAGCAAATACGGCTTGATTGCCTCACGCAGAACAGTAGCATAGTCTACACTATTCACACAGATGAGAGCCAAGTGCTTCATTTTGAGTAGTCACTGAACAGGACTCGACACGACCATACAGGCGATGAAATATCGTGGCCCCATTTCACTATCTGCACCGCACCATTCGGTTGCAACTCCAGCTAGCAAGTTTGTAACAGCCGTTCAAAAGTGCCACGATCATTACTCACCCCGCATATCGGCAGTTGCGTATTTACCGGAAGAGAGAGTTAGTACCATGGCAAACAGTCTCCGCGAAGCATGGGGTATCAGCGGGGTAAATAGTCTGGGGGATCACGCACTATTTTCTGCAGGGTTCAGGCTCCATACCTCGATTCAGGAATCTCGTCAGCTGTCTTTATTTATATATACTCATTTGTTAAGAAGTCTTAGATTTTGCGTAATTTTTGTTATTGAAAACCAAATTCTTGCGTTTATATCTCATCGATTCGCGGCCCATCATGACGAATTCGGCCAATGTTGGAAATGGCGCCGGACAAGACAAGACCAAAGTCATAATTGTAGGCGCCGGCTTTGGCGGCCTCACGGCAGCTGTTGAATGTCACCGACGAGGCATTCACGTGGAGATTTACGAAGCCTTTCCCGAGCTCAAGGTCCTGGGCGACATTATCTCGTTTGGCCCCAACGCCGGCCGCATCTTTGCCCGGTGGTCGGACGGCGAGATTGCCGCCAAGCTCAAGCGCGAATGCATCGACTTGAGCCAGTACGGGTTCCGCATTCACAAGTACGATACTGGCGAGATTGTAGCGCAGCAGCCCGCTTCGCAGTCCAATAAGGATGCTCCCACGCTCAATGGACATCGTGGGGAGTTGCACGAGATTGTATTCAACTATGTCCGGGATCAACTTGGTGTGCCTATCCACCTAGGCCAGAGGGTTGTAGAGTACTTTGAGACTGAAGATGATGCTGGCATAATATTAGAAAATGGAGAAAAGGTAAGGTAATCCAAGTAAGACCATGAAGGAAACCACTTACGTTTTTCCAGGTCACTTGCGATTGTGTGATTGGTGCCGATGGGGTTCGGTCCAAGGCCCGGGAGCTGGTCTTGGGCTACGAGGACAAGCCAAAAAGCAGCGGATATGCCATTTGGAGAGCATGGTATGTATCAGAAACTTTTCATCTTATCCGCCTATGCAGAAGCTAAGGCGATGCTCAGGTTTCCCAGCGAAAAGCTGGCCGAAGATCCTCGCACGGCCGAGTTCTGCGTCAACGGAGATACCTTCAATGGTTGGATCGGACCAGATGCGCATTTCCTATTTTCCACGCTCAAAGGTGGCAAGTGCTGCTCATGGGTACTGACGCACAAGGACACATATGATATCGAAGAGTCTTGGTCGTTTCCGGGAAAAATCGAAGACGTCCTAGAGATGCTGGCCGATTGGGATCCCATCTGCAGCGCCATTGTCGAAAAGACGCCTTCGGTAGTCGACTGGAAGCTCGTGTACCGTGAGCCGCTACCGCGATGGGTGAGCAGTGGCGGAAGGATTGCCCTGATTGGAGACGCTGCGCACCCATTCCTCCCAACTAGTGTGCAAGGCGCTTCGCAGGCCATGGAAGATGGCGTGACTATTGCATCGTGTGTAGCAAAGGCTGGCAAAGGCCGGATTCCTCGGGCTCTCCAGGCTTATCAAGATATCAGGTGAGTCCCATAGCCGAATAATGTGGTAACATTTCTGACCTCATGATCTATAGATACGAGCGAGTCGGAGCCGTCCAGAAGACGGGAGAGTCGACGAGGGAGCGATGGCACAAGGCAGATTGGAAGAATGTCAAGCAAGATCCAGACAGCATAAAGCTACCACGCGAGGACTGGATTCTTCAGTTTGATGCTGAGCGCCACGCATCCGAGGTTTTGGAGGAGTTGTTCCAAAAAGCCTAGCATTCATAAACGCTTCTTAGGTGGGCCTCTTGGAGGTGGAATAGGTATACTTTGAGATAGAGGACATTTAAACCTAGAATTTACAAGAGAGCACAGAATTTGCAAGATATGTGTTATACAATATGACGAGTAAGCAAGGACAGAATATTTGACTATTTCGCGACATGGATTTCCTTGGGCGCACTGGATAGGTAGGATAGTAACCATGCCAACTATATTCAGTCGCTCGACTCCACAGCGCCGTTCTTTTGGTAGCGTACAAAATCGGCCTGTCGTTAATTAAAGAGCATACACCAACGAGGAATCTGGGATACCAAAGCCCAAAAATTTAAAAAGAATTTAGAAAATATGTCAAATCTCAAGATATTGTTGATTGTAAGATTATCGTACCATCAGAACTCACAAGAATTTCCATATCATCTGTACCGCTTCGAGTCTATCCTGCGCCCCACTGCCGCCATATACTACGACACGCCGTGTTGGCCTGGCTTTTTTTTCTTTGCTTACTCGTTATAATCTGTCTCATCCGCCACTCAGCTCTATCCGATATTCCACACGAGCACAATAAGCTCGCGCATGTGGCAGCTCGCAAGGGTAAGGTAAAGAGACTTTTGAAACGTATGAATTCTGAATACGAGCATGCCAAGTGAATTGAATGGGCCCTGTCGGTTTCGCAACACGAACGTGCCAAGTGACCCAAATGGACCTGCGCTTGTCTTCTAGAAGCATGGAATTACTAGGGAATGGCTGTGGGCGAGGGACGGTTGTAGTGGAAGCGGGCACCCTAAGGGGCACTATCCACCCCGGACACCCCGGACGGGATGGCAGTGCCCAGAAGCCCGACGAATCGGACATTTTGCGTATCCCACATTTAGACAAGATCGTACTGGCATTGCTCTGGTCGCATTGCTCACCTCATATACCAGCGCCAGTGAACCAAGCGTGGACTTGTTCCTTAATTATATGCTTATTGACATGCTTAAGCGAGCGACAGGCCGAGGCATGGTGAGGTTGAATAAATCAGACGAAAAAACTATAAAGCGTTGCCCATTGTCGACATCATCATGGCTGCTTTCTCTTGGCCCATCTCACAATTTGAGTCGTCTCTCGCTACACATCTAATTACACACTAGTCATTCGTTTCAAGACCTAGAGTATTCACAAAATGCTTCCTCGCTCGCTTCTCACTATCTTGGCACTCGCGGCAACTTCTGCCGCGAGTGCCATACCCCGTGCAGACACCACCTGCACCAACCCGGCCGTTCGCAAGGAGTGGCGCGAGCTTGATGACGCCGAAAAGGCCGAATACCTCCGTGCCGCTGTCTGTCTGCGCCAGCTGCCAAAGGAAAAGTACGCCGACATTGAAGCCGTCACAACGCGCATGGACGACCTGGTCTACACGCATTTCAGTCTCAACACGGAGATTCACTTTGTCGCCAACTTCCTGCCGTGGCATCGATGGTTCGTGCAGCTGCACGAAAACTTGCTGCGCACCGAGTGTGGCTACACCGGCGTGCAGCCGTACTGGGACTGGAGCATTGACGCCGATGCCGTCAACACAATCAACTCACCCGTCTTTGACGCGGCCACTGGATTCGGCGGCGATGGCAAGCGCACCGGCAGCGGCGTGCCGGGCTTCGAGCGCTGCGTCATTGATGGACCTTTCGCCAACACCAACCTAACACTGGCCATGGGTTGGCCCGATATGAACACGCCTGGCAACCGCTTGCACTGCTTCACACGCGAGTTCAACGGCGGCTTGGGCAATGACGAGAACGGCGATCCCATTATTGGTGATATGCAGGCCGGAGCTTACAACTCCAAGACTATGAACACCATTTACGGCTTTGACACCTTTGCCCAGATGGCTTCCATGCTCGAGGGTCTTCCTCACGCGCAAAGTAAGATTTTTCCCTTCAACCTTGTTCTTGTGTCAAAGATACTGACCATGTCGGCAGTCCATAGCATCATCTTTGGCGATATGGGCCCGGCCACGTCGCCCAACGAGCCACTCTTCTTCTTGCACCACGCCAATGTCGATCGTGCCTGGGCCAAGGTATGAAAAACTTTTACCCCCTATCTCTTTACCTTCTTTCGTCAGTTACTAACGGTCACCCAACAGTGGCAAGGACGCAACGCCACGCGCCTCGCTGATTACACGGGCTTCGTGGATCAGGACGATACCATCCCGGCCTCGCTCACTGATGCCATGCCCATTATGGAGCTTGGCGACACAGAGCCTGTCGTGCAAGACTACATGGACATCCAAGCAGGTCCCCTTTGCTACACCTACTCGTCCATGTAAATGCCTCTGCAAGCCCGGAGGGGCCGCGTAAAACATTTACTAGTGGCAACTTGAAAGGCCGTTTTCAAGCCGAGAACTCAAAAATAGCCCGCAAGGGCAAAAGACCTTGACGTCCGAAAGACCAGCAGTCCAAAACTCCTACATCGAAGCTCGACCACTTGGCCCGGCGTCTTGGTTCGAAGTCAGGTGATTGCAACTTATTCCCAAGGGCCGACAACGATCAGTCACCTTGAGTTGCACCAAGTGACGGCGAATGGAGAAAAAGGTCCACAGAAGCCTTTCGTCCGCGAACTGACCTTGGCAGTACTTGGGGTGTAATAGCCATGTTAGGAAGAAAAGAAATGGAAATGGATAAAATACTACGAACAACCCCTTAAGGCAAGGCAATCGATAAAGGAAATCAGTTGACTTTACAAACTCGGTATCTACAGCATGGCAGCCATACGTGGACTTCCAAGCATGCAGTGCCTAAAGTTAGTCAAGATTGGTGCCTGAATGCCGGCACTTGAGATGCAGGAGACCGGGATTAGGGTGGTCGTATGCCAAAGGTTAAATCTTGAGTTGGCTCTAAGATTACTTATCATGATGAGACGACCAGTGACTACTTTGAATCTTCAGGTAGATAGCTGCTCATGTTGACTTGACCTGCTTTGGCTATTGCTACAACCGAAATATCAACGAATTTGTCAACATTGTTCACTTTTCTGACACATTTGCGTCGAAGGGAACGCACATGGAAATATTCCCGCAAAGGCGCTTGAAAAATGTAAAAGGAGTGCAAGAATCTAAGCCAAATGTTTCACGATGGTCGTATGAACTTTCCCTCACCTCACACTGGGGCCATAGAATTTCTCGGCGTGATGGGTTCAACCTGCCCTGGCCGCCATCATACTCCGTCTAACTTGCCAAGTGTCGGAAACAGTCCAATGTCAAAAATGCTTGGGAGGAAATGGCACCTTGAGGGATGCTGCCAGTTTCGCCGTTGTTGGAATCGCCGGACTTGTTGCCCTCAATAAATTCAAATATAGGCACCTGATCAATACAAGGTTTGAAAAAAAAAAAAGAAAAGAATTGTCTGAATGAGAATCTTTTTTTTTTTTTGTGTATAAAAGCTGGTAAGCCGCCTTAAAACGTCTACGGTTCAGGGTATGAGAACACTTTCATCCATAAATTAACAGATGACACTTAAGCAACATTCATCCAAACAACAACATGAGCGAACAAAGATCTGACAACATCACCGGCATTGAATCCGATCCCTACATTGACTGGGTAGAGCACACAGGAGAGGACATGATGAACTTGAACCAGCTCGCAATGCTACCAAATTCCAAGCACCCCATCAATCCCGTCTTCGTCTCGCTCGATCTTAATTGGTCCATCGACAGCGGAAGGATTAATCAAATTGGCTTTGCCTTTTTTGACACGCGAGAGCTATATATGCCTTGGACTCATGGGCCTCCAGTCTTTGTTCGAACGTACGACATCGAGGGCGAGACGCCAGCCAGTTCTCTCTCCAACGTTCCCCCAACACGCATTCGCCAGAGCGACATCAGGCTTGTCATTATGCACAACCTTTGCATGCCAAACATGGACAAGAATGGAACCAAGTGGCGGAATGTTGTATTGACTGGCCAGAACATCCGCCGCAACCTCTTCCTTCTGTGGTCGTGCGTGGGCCTCAACGTCAAGGCCATTTGTCCGGTCATGGCCGTTTTGGACCTTGAGGTCCTGAGCCCACAATTGATACCGAAGCAGATAATGCATCGTACCTTTACAGAAGAAGAGAATACTGGAAATAAACTGCGGGATCTGTTGCGCGAGCTCGGGCTCCGCATCAACCACAGGGAACTTGGCAACGCCGGCATGGACGCCAAAAACGCCCTCTATGCGACGCTGACGCTCGCCGTGCGCCACTGGACGGCAGACGACGTCCGCCATGACCGCCACGCCTGGGGCAACATTGCAGGTTTCATCAATTCTGTGGATTGGATTTTTTCAGCCGGGGAGGATTACATTTTAGAGCCCTTTGCCGCGAGCACAACGGCCGTGGGCGTCGAGGGCGGTGCCCTAGAGGTGCACCTGGCAACGCCGCCATCCCGCTCTCTTGTTGATATACAGGCCATCAGGAGGTATATCGCTGATCGAGACGATCCCAAGACGGCCGTGAGACGGTTCGTGCAAGCTTCTCACAATATTCGATTTGTTAGGCCGGGAAACGACCATACTGTTCTTCCTACTGGTGTCCCTCAACTCCCAAATTAGTCTCGGGAAATAATTGGACGGGATTTGCAACGGCGATATAAGCGGAGAAGTGACGGAAGCAGATTGTCTTTCAAGCGAGACTCTGTCAACTTAGCGAATTGACAGTGTTTGTACTTGGCCATGCGAAAGCAGTTGCTGTACTTCAACCGCATAGTACTTCAGTAATCATCCTGATTGCTATTCGATATTTCTCACTGGGCCAATATTTGAAGTAGAAGATGTGGTTCAAGGAGCGTGTGGAAGATATCTGAGTTGGTCCTACGGTCTACAGAAGAGTGGTGCTAGAGATTTATGTACTATTATAGCTAAGCAGGTGATCTGCAGTAGGTACTAATTACATCAGTTCCATAACTTCTGTATCACCCATCACTTTCTAGTCTTCAACGCCTGGGAGACTTTTGCCATTTCAGAGGAAACCTTGAGAAATCCTTCCATCATGGAGTCCTATTTGACTGTTAGACAAGGGGTAAATCGCTTTCTTTATTGGGGCTTACAAAAATTGAACTTGGCAACAACTTCCATGCCAAATGGTTCACAGCAGCATCTTTTCCGATCCACATCTCCCCGGTGGTACCCTTCTGGATCGCCTTGACTACCTGATGGCCGTAGGTCAGAGGGTCTGGCGCTCCCTCTTGCAGGCGGCCGTCTGCCATGCCGTAGATGTATTCGCGAATCACATAATAATAGGACATTTCGGGAATCTTGGGCATCTCTGTGTGTTCAAAGGCTGAAGTCTTGACGCTGGTGGTGATGAGGGTCAGAGATCGGACGCCTAGGGGCTCGAGCTCGCGGCGCCATATTTCGCTTGCCATGATGAGTGCCGACTTTGAGCTGTTATACATGCCTATTGTGAGACAAAGAGGCAAGAGGTTAGCCGCTGAAATATCATTGGAACTGAAGAGGGAGAGGGATGTGGTAATCACTCATGAAAGGCATTGGTAGATGTCCGGCAGCAGACGCTTGGTGCACAACTGTTCCCCGCGCCTGTATAAGCAAAGGAGCAAAGGCTTGAAGAACTGCCAATGGGGCGAACAAGTTGAGATTGAACAATTTGCGGGCGTCGTCGAGGTCCGTGTCTAAACCGGGCATAATGAAATTCTGGCCACTATTGTTGACAAGAACATCGAGTCGCCCCCCAGTCTCTGTAGATACTCTAGTGACAGCGGCTTCGATTGAATCTTGCGAGAGGACATCGAGCGTCAGAAGCGTGACGTGTGGCGCCGTCGTGAGACTCTGAGACGCCTTTGCTGGGTTCCGTACGGTGGCGAAGACTTGGAATCCTGCCTGATGGAAGGCTTCAGCCATGCCCGCGCCAATACCTCCAGTCGAACACCCAGTGATGAGGACTGTCTTTCTAGGAGAAGTCATTTTGTCTGTTAAACACGTGAGTTGATTGTGGGTTTTTGTCTTGCAGTAGCAACTGAGTGGCAGCTTTTATTGACAGTGACACAAGCTGTAGATATATAGGTATTCGATTGACCAACGCGTAATGACAGCATCCCGTCAATCCGAGAAGGGAAGTTTGAGACGCCCGCCTTCCACCGAGATATATTCTATTTTCAGTTCCCGAGCACGTATACTCTGGCCATGTGCGCATCTATGTTTGCCCCTGTCCCTATCAGTCATACTTTGTTTTTCGCCTTACCCAAAGCGGCAAACAGTAAAAGCTTGGCATCAGCGCCCTATCCGTAGGAGCCGGAACCTGGCTGCTGTTATGATTCTGAGACCATGTACTTCATGCCCTGCTATGTTATGGTAGGTACCTTGACTGTTGGCCGACATGTATCTCGCAGACACCTGGGCCCCACACGTCGACTCTCATTGATGGATGAGATGATCAACCATAACTTGTCTCAAGTCCCCAACATCACTCTACACCTCTCTTATTCTCCCCTCCACTTCGCATTTCATGAGAGATTAACTGTCACCATTTTTCGTGATGGTTTACTCGCCGCCTCGCCCTTTTGCGCATATCGACTATTGGCCACTTTAGGGAAACAAAGTACAACGCCAAGAGGTCAAACATGGCCAGTACCGTGGGGGTGCACCCTCATCTATCGCCCAACATGCCATTTATTGTCTCATGCAGTACTGAAAAAGTCGACCAAGCCACCCGCAAGTTAATCAGGAGCCACGTTATGCGCGGTAAGAAGACGAAAAAAGTCAAGAGACTGGCTATCGCCTCGAGTCTTTCACCGGCTTCTTCGGCCGAGCCCGACAAGATCCAGGTCAATATTCACGATGTCATCAGCATGTATTCGGTACTGCAACCCCCCGTTTGCTTATTCCTTTATCCATGTTTTGTGAATTTCCCAGATGAGATTGAGCCCAGAGTCCTTTGGGAAATGCAACAAGGTGAGTGGGATACCAGGCGCAGTGTTGTCGTATGATGTGGTGCCGGATCGAGTCATGACTAGCCCAACTTACTTCTTCAGTCTCTAGCGTTGCCATGAGGATCATATTTCCACTGCTGATGGACTTGGGCTACCACCCCAAAGGTCAATCATGGTTCTTTCCCACGGGCAATGACGCCGCAGCTTGGCATATAAATGCTTTCGCTATACAAAGCTTTATTGATAGAGTCCTCCACGGCCGACCCCAGCACAAGGTCAACTCAGTGGCGACGCGTCACTACTTGAAGGGTCTTGATATCCTACGCCAGAGGCTGGCAGGCAATGATGATAAGGCAAAGGTTTCTGATGCTACTATCAGTGTAGTCTTGAAATTGGCTAGCGCAGCAGGGTTTGACGGGGATACTGCGACTGCTAAACGACACATGCAAGGCCTTCGCAAGATGACCGATATGCGCGGGGGTTTGGCTGCCATGAGTCACAATCCAAAACTCTTGGTAGAGATCTGGAGGTAACATAAAGTCTGATTTTGCTTGTGATAGCCTTGATGTTAATCTTGGGCAGATGTGATCTAAGCATTGCGTTGCTCGCTTGCTCAGATCCAGTGTTCTACTGTACACCCCACGAACCGGTGCCTGATTACCCGCCCGAGGTGTTTCCGGACTTTGGTGTTGGCCATGGCGGCGGCGCATATCTCCAGGAGGATCAAAGAGTCATTCATTTCCTTCACAAAAGTACAGCACAAGTCTGGTTGGCCATGAGAAAGTTTTGTCTACTGGCCAATCTGGGAACACAGACACGGATGCGCCTGTCGCCTATAGCGATCTATGGCACAATGAGAGCAGTCATGTATCGCCTTCTCCGAATGAAATATGAGGCAGGGACGCTCGACGAGTCATTGAGGCTTGGTTTACTGGCTTTTACTCATCATGTTTTCTTGCAGTGGCAGGACATGAAAATGCCTCCACACCACCCCTTTTCCGGGATATACCGCCATTATCTGCAAGACTATGCCCTCAAAGATACAATGCCACCGCATCTCTCCCTGTGGCTTCTGATGATTGGAGAGGTTTCAAGCTTTAGCCTTTCGGGTGAATGGCCATTGCGTGATCATTTGCAAACACAGATCGAGAAGAATGGAATAAGATCATGGAATGATATGGTTTACGTTTTGAAATCTTCCCTTTGGATATCCATATTGGACGACAGATCCGGAAATATTATCTATGACACGATTTCCGAGAAATTTAGGCATCCTAATGAAAAGGTTTAGGAGTTGTGTATTACATGAATAACCTCGTTCTAACAAGTTCCTCTGGCCTATACCTACGTAGTAACGAGTCTTATAGCGGATTTTCTGTCGCGTCGCGTTGGAGCCTCACAATGTTACTGAGTTTCTAAGCTATTTATTGCTTCCTTGATGTTTGAGGAGTTCTAGGAGAACTTTCGTGTCTGCCTTGATGACACATTTTGAATTTTTCTGTCTGAGGGAGTCAGTAGCAGAGACAGGTAGTGTATTCACACGCAGTTTGACCATATACGTGCATTGCAAGCTGACTACCAAGTCGTGCGTATTCGTGAGAGCTACTGGAAAATTTTAGTTTGCAATGAAAAGTGAACGGACATGCGTGGCTAAATGCTGAAAGCTCCTTATAAGACAAACGAGACGTTTTACCAAACAAACGCAACGCCTGGCACAATCAACAATTATGTCGGGACCAACACCTAGCTCCATATTTGTAGGTTTGAAAACGGTCTCCCATTCGACATCCTCACAACAGATGTTGTGCCCTGGTCTTGATTAGGTGCCAGGGAAAAAGCAGCCAACTAGAGCCTCTAGCAAAGTCGAACCATGATAGTGATCAGCATTAGAAGGCCAAATACATGATGTCCGCGTATATAAAACGTTCGCCGCTTGTAAAGATGCCGACATTGGTTTAATTGAAAATGATATTCCCGAGAAGACTTCACTGCCATTGTGTCATCCTGTACCATTTGCGTGTTTTCAACTACGCAGAATCGCGAGACATCGGACACGTCCGCGGATCTTCCAGATCGGAGTCAACCGAGGCAGCTTGGATAATCTCTTAGCCCCAAGGACTTTTGTGTCCAGGACGTGGTGAGACTGAAATTCTGCGGAATCAAGATCACCAAGACCAGCATGCGGTAGAGGACATGTAATATCTGAATGGGTCGTGGAGAGGGTACACGATGGGCCATGGATGAACATGGACGGAGATCAAAAGAGATGAACGAAAGTGAACATGTTGCAACATGCCCTCCCCTCGACCACGAGACTCGTGATCACAGATGAGACCTCGACCTCGCTGGAAGACTGTCTACCTACCTTGCCTGCAGCTGCAGAAGGCAATGTCCCCCACTTGTCAGTGAGAAGGGAAAGAAAGCTAGGTGGGGGATCTTTGCTTCATGTTGTTCTGCCACTTTTCTGCCTAGCTCACCGCCAAGGTCTTCGCGTTGCTGCAGCGCAACCAGCATCACGTGGGGGACACAAATTCTTTTCTATAGATACTGGCCCAATTCCCAGAACCTGACCAAATCTTTTTTCCCTTCCCCTTCTTCCTTGCCCATCAATCAAGCACAATAGCTAGACATCATTGTTCTACCAAATCAGACAATATCAAGCCTTGCTATCTTGCGCATCACAGCACCAACTTTTCAAAAGCTCCATCATCATCCCCAAGCCTTTCTCAAGTCATTCGACATTCCATCCGGCAGTACAGCAGTCTTGAATCCTGTGAATCGCAATGTCTTCCGCTATCAAAGCAACCCGCGCGCCCCCAGGCATGTCTTCATGGACAGAGAATGAGTTGAGTTACATCGATGGCGACAGATACAGTAAGATGATTTCCCACCGCGTCGCCTTGTTCTCGTTTGTCTCTCCCGTTACTGATCGTTACAACCTAGACCTGGATAGAATCAGGCACTACACCGGCGGAGTTGAGATCTATCGACGCGGGTACGACGGACTCAAAGTCGCGATACCTTCTAGACTTGCCGCAGAGTTGGGATCGCTCATGTTTCGCGCAAACAACAACTGCATTGGTGGCAACACACCTCGAGAACGCAGCCGCTGGGCTCTGAAGGAGACTATGTCCAAATACCGCGGCGATCGCGTCCTACTGGACATTACGAGCGGCGATGAGGACACCCTTCGCCATATCACGGCAGCAAATGACATCGAAATGGGCGATCTACTATGCCAAAACCCTGCTGTCCTGCCTAAGGCCTACAAGAACTGGGCTCCAAACAATACCGAGATGAACATCTCGCCCAACGGCTTCAGAGTCGTATTCCGGGACAGCTCGAAGCGTGATTTGATGAAGGTCATTTATGGCGATTACAAAGAGGCCAATCCCGATGCCAGCAAGAGCAGCAGCGGTCTCAGAGCTCCTGCAGGTGGCCAGATCCACAAGCCAGGTCCCCTTACCCCCCAAAAGAGAAAGGCAGCCGATCCGCAACATAAGGATCGCACAAAGGCAGCACTCTCGCAAATCTCTCGCGACAAAGGATTCAAACAACAAAAGACCAGAAAATGAGCTATCCGTCGAGGTCAACCGGCACGGCCAACAAGCCAAGGATGCTTCCATGGGCGCCTTCGGCGCAAGGGTGTACACCCCGTCATTAGTGTGGCCCACTTGACTGCGACCACTGAAGGCGATGATCCGTTCGCTCGGCGTCAGACGGCACCAAGACCAATTGAGTCTGATGAGCAAGATGACGACAAACCGGATGACGATCCCACCTACGAAACAGAAGTTGGCAAGACCATCGCCTCCGGAATTGAGGAGCCGTGTGAATAAATCCTTCCCTGCCTGAGATGTTAGTGGTTCTGAAGGCTCGGATACATAAGTGCGACTTCGCTGTGATAATATAATTAAGGCATTGGTGTCCTTCCACAAGATTCTAATTGCACGAAGCTCAATCCGGGCAGCGTTACAATCATACGTGCTATGTAAAGGTTTCACGAGACCAATAGGTATCGAGTAAATAAAGGAGATGTCAATTGTGATTCTAATCAATCCATGAAGCTCGCCGTCAATTCTTGAACAAATTGACCTTGTGGCAACTCTCGAGATTTCGAGCTACTTTGATCTCAGAATGAGAACGAACTGCTGGCCTGGTGTGCAGTGATGAATCCAATGCACACTTTCAATCTCTCAGCTGTTCCATGGATCAAGCCCCCATCTCATTCGGTCAGGTATAGCTGCTCCCGCCGCAACCGTCTCAGCGATTATGTCCGTTCCCGAATTCGTAGACCCGTCTGGAACTCCTGCAAAGGCGCCAGTGGCTTTGTTCTGGATGCTAAACGATTACTTGAATTAGATATCCACTAAACGGGAGACCGAGTGCAGTGTCACTTACACAAACGTGGTATAGCCTCCAGTGGGAGATGATCTGATGTACCAGTGACAGAGAGGGTCGGTGGGAGAGATTTGCGGAGTAATCACTGCACTACCTATTTTCCTGTTAGTTAACTCCTCAGATAACCCTTTGAGCACAAAGGGAGTATTGATTGAGATGGACAGAAACGGCTAGAATTATTGCGCTAACCTTTAGTCGCTAGAAAGTATCCAGTCTGCTTATTGATGATCAGGTATTCCTAATCCAATGTGTCAGTTGTTTTGTTGAGCGCAACAATCTGCCAAAAGTCGTTACTGCTCGGAGGGGAAGTACGAGTGCTTTGAATTTATGTAAGTACTTGGAATTTGTTAAACCAAGGGACAATACTTACGACGTCTTGACAGCGGCGGCAGGGCTCGTGTCTGCTCCCCATGACTTCATATCAAGATTGGTAGCAACCCACGGAACAATGATGTAAAGACCAATGCCTACGAACATCTTGAAAGACAAACCGGAGAACAGCCTAGATGAGAAAAAATGTTAGAGATTGGAAAGGGCCTGTAGCAAGACCGACTCGAGTGATAGGGTCCTAATAAGATACGGAACATACCGGCTTTTATAAACAGAAAATGCCTTGTTTATATTTTTCTGTAGGCCTTGGATCACTTATCATCTGTTACCAAGACCTCGTAAACGGGCCTATTGCACCGGAATCATTACCTCAATCTGTCCCTCTTGCAAAATTTCACCATTAGCCACGAGATTTGTATATTTCATTTGACTCATCCACCTAAGACGTGGTCATGACCTCGGCTCAAGCATCAAGTCTGCAACAACTCAAGGTTTATACAGCTTTTTTTTTTTCCCCCTCCCGCTGCCCCTTAGTACCTATCCTACCTGCCGATGTGAATGGATGTAAATGGCGCCAATTTTGCGATACATTCAAGCAATCTTCATGGACACAGCTGAATGAATGGAGTATAACTTCCATTTTACGTAAGTGAGCCAATCGGTGATATGGTTCCATTGACACCCGAAGTTGGAGCTGGAAGTGAGACACTAAGCCGAAATTGTACTATAACCCAGAGTCCAGACTGCAGATAAACGACCGGCAGTTGGGAAAAGGGCAGACGCTAGCAATTCGCCGACACTTCCAAAAGAGTGAGCCAATGTCTTTCACTAAATCCGAGTCTCGTGAGGAAATAGTAGTGATTTTTGAGTTTTCACACGCCTCCAACCTCGGGAGAGGTCTGGGCCCAATACTGCGCCGTGGCGGTAGACGGAGAAGACAGCTGAGGCGCAACGTGCAGCGGAAATCCCGTTCACCTGATCAATAAAAGAAACGTGTAAACCCAAGCATTTAGTGAGTAGTTACTTGACACGTTCCGAAGATTCTACATTAGCACCTTTGCAGGACTGATAAATCTGAGGAATAATATCAGACTGTCGTGTTTATAGCCTTCAATAAATGCAATCTATAGATGTTTGCCTTTCAATATCGAAAGTCTAGATTCTCAGAACAAGAAAGCCCTTTTGGCGAAATAAGTCCAGTATTGTGCCGTGTCTCGTATCTTGAGGTTATCTCTGCTCACCCTGCGGGAGGCGCCGCCCATCGTGGAACGCTATATTTCTTTTACTAGTCTGAGATGACAGCGGCGTTCCCACTTTTGCCACATGGCCCAACGATATCAAAGAGAAATATCTGAGCGCCGTTAATAGCATCAACACAGATTTTGGGCAAGAGGTTCGCCGATCGAGCTCAAGTAGCAATCCGTGAATTCATGAGTATCTGGGATGTACTTGCTACGTTAATGCTTGGGTGGCCCCGGTTCATCCCCGGGAGCTTCCGTACATCTATCTGGACGCCGTGAATTGATCAGTGTGCTCAAGCACACCCTGGTGTATGGGATCCATGATCTACTATCTGACACTTAGGTAGCTCTCTTAGGGTACGATTTTATCACCAAGTCTGGATCGGTGCGTCTTGATCTGTCCAGGACGCAAAAACATTCGTGAACCATGAGTCATCATTCAAGTCCATAGGATACACGCTAGAAGGCCCATCATACACGGGAGCAGTGTTCCTTGTAGCTGTTGGCACAGAAGTCGTTTGCTTTAGCGCCGCACTCCAAACCGGGAATGTCGCTTTCAAGGCTTCTGCCGATTTTGAGAAGATATTGTTGCTTTTGTGAAGACGAGCCGCGTTGCTTAGGTGATTAATAGCTCGATTCAGGTAGCTAAGCACGTTAATGGTCGCCTGCATCGTTGCCTTGTCCCAGGCAGGCTCTTCCAGCAGGGACAGTCTGTATAACAGCTGTAGACTGTGGGAGAAATGCAACATGATGAAGCAAGAAATGCCTGCACACTCATCGGCACCAATGGACAGAAAGTTCTCAACACAACACTTCGCTGCCTGAGTGCAGACGCTCAAAGCTTCGAGGCGACCAGGATCAAAAGTAGAGCTCTTCTGTGCCAAGGTGTGCTGAAATAGAATCTGCTCCGAGATCATGGCTTCCGAACTATACAAGTAGGACAGAACTACCTCTGCAAAATTTATCAGCTTGCCGATCTTGGCTGGATTCAGGGAGCGGACAGAGACGAACTGTGCTGAAGGAGCTCGGGAGGCAGCGTCAATTTGATTTGCTGCACAGACGACTTCAAAGACTGCAAGAACAGCATCGCTACTCCCTGTGGGGCCACGGAAAACGACTCTCGACCGGTGACTCTTGCTGTATCATCTGCCATCTTCATGACCCGAGCAATAGCCACGAGGGTAGGATCGCCAGGAACCTGGGTTGCCTGGGATAGTCTGATGATGGCATCATCTATGCGAAGATGCCATTTCAGCGGCTCATGCCGCACCAGCAAGGACACACTCAAACGGCCACTTAGTACATGGACTCTATCATAGATGGCAGATGAACCTACGTCGATGCGGCTGCAAAGCAGCCTAAAAGGGCCCGGTCGGCATCATGGTTGCGGGGTACCTCATCGGCAACTTGTCGTGGCGCACCGCCAGCCGAGCTGACGCAATTCAGTACCGTTGCAGAGCCCTCTGGGACAGTTCTGTCGAGCCCCAGATCAACCGCCAACAAGACAGCCAGGTTTGATAGAGTATAGTAGTGGTTCTTGCCACGGCTAAGATCGAAAGACCTAGTGAGCGCAGTGAGCGCTCTTGATCGCGAGAGTAAACGGAGTGCATATACTCAAGTACTTACCAGGTCATGTAGCACAACAGTCCCACCAAGAGGTCCAAACTTCCTTGGCCTTGAATCACAAGCTTATTTGCTAGTGTGTGTTGTACACGGGCTCGAAGCACTGACTGTGCCCCCGGAATCGTGGAGCAGATGGCTTGTATGCTCGTCCACATAAATGGCCACTCCCGTTGTATTTCTTCGGCACGGCTCTGCGGCGACAGATCCACGATGGGCATAAAGCTGAGGTGTTGTGAGCGAAAAAATAGCAGGCAGCCAGTGTCTATGGCATATAATGGTAGGTGCTCGTCGCTACTAGTAACGACAAACGAATCACTGGTTGCCGGCGTAGAGATATGGCTGTTGTCGCTGGTACTGTTGACTGTGTCATTGAATTCGTCCTGGGCCAGGCCGTGGGTCTGCGACCAGCTGCTACCGCGTGTCCCTGAGGTCGTGGTGTTGTGTTGTGCATTTTGCTCCAGAGGAAGCCTTGTAAAATGCTGTGCATCAAGTATTGAAGCCAAGTCGTGGAGTCTCCCTTCTATGTGAGTTTTCCAATTTGCATCGACCTGTTTTTTTGCTCCTCGCCTCCTCGACGAAGGAGCAATGACGCATTCCTTGCCGAGACGATGGCACCTTGTTCATGCGTGTTAGCAGGACCACTCACCACAGATCGTGGTGCTACATTCGGCCCGGTCAGACTTGCCTCTCACAGCTGCCACCAGCTCTACTCGTACAGCAGGCCTTTGCACGAGAGCAATTCACACATGCTTGGCCGTATGCCGCCCGTGCGCTAGATCCCGGGGATGGTTCCATGTGGCTTAATTCGTCCTCCTAGGTAACTCCGGTGCCGTCGGAAGTATTGATAACATGCGTACAACACCACAAGATACGTTGTTTAGCGCACGTGTACGTGGATAATAGCAATGCCGCAGGAGTTTGAAAGATAGCGTGCAAATGGGGGAGTTGGGAAACGAAAGGTGCAGAAAATTGATGTCAGATTTACACGGCTTTAAAAACGCCGCGGCTTTTAGAATGCCGAACGCCGACGGGATGATCTCAAGGTACCAGCTCTATGCGCGAACATCAGCTCGGGTCTATGCATCAAACATCAATCATGATGAACTAAAGCTGTACAGAAATTCGTACTGTCACCTGGTATAGATCGGCACCTTTGAAATCAAACCTTTGATTAACACAATAACGTTGTGTCAGTGGTCATGTCCTGGACCTAGGTATGGATGTATGCTTCACAAGGCCAGTAAGCGAGTGAGATAATAAGCAAGCCAAGAGGTTTTAGGCGACTTACAAAAAACAGTAGCGACTATGACAAATCCGTGGCCATACTTACACCTATCAGAACTCTCTTTCGGAAGATTCTTGGGGAGAAAAGCAATGTGACGATCCCGACGGTATTTGAAATTGCGAATGCCGGCCCCTGTATTGTTGTCTCGGCCATGTACCGAGATCGTTGAGACACCCATGCAATCAACAGACAACTTTTATTCAATCTTGACTACTAAAGAATCTAAAGCTTTTTTAATTTTGATCTCCACGGATTAAATGCTTTTGGACAGCCATACTACTTGGTGAGAGCTCGATGATCTCACAAAACAACACTCTTTCCTCGTAGCAAAACAGACGACTATCGATTTGCCATGGCAGAGTCGATACCAGCTCACGAAAAGGAGGCGCCTTCTCCAGATGCCGAGGCGGGAGTTTTGGACGACACGAGGACCCCCACGCCCGCCAAAGAAGATGAGAGTTTTATCACTGGTTTCCGGCTGGTCACTGTCATCAGCAGTGTCACACTAGTGGTGTTTCTCATTCTACTGGATCAATCCATCATCAGCACGGCCGTTCCCCAGATTACTTCGGACCTCAAGTCTCTGTCCGACGTAGGTTGGTATGCTGGAGCTTACCAGTTGGCAAGGTACATTCTTTCCCTGGGCGTTTCTTGAACCGAGTCTTTGACGAGCAAATCCTCTTGTATTGGTCAATGCTCTTCGTCCTTTACTCCCAAGCCAAGAAGCTGATAGTCCATAATGCAGTGCTTCCTTGCAACCGCTTACCGGCAAGATCTATACCCATTTTCGCGCAAAGGTCTGAGATGATCCAGAAAACAGAGAGATCCCCACTTCCAAGGCTGTATCAAAAACAAGTACTGACCTCATGTCTCAATCTGCAGTGGGTCTTCTTGATCTTTGTTTTTGTCTTCGAAATCGGCTCTCTTATATGTGCCCTGGCCAACTCATCGTCGATGCTCATTGGCGGTCGCGCCGTAGCTGGCTTGGGCTGCTCCGGGTTGGTGAACGGAGGAATGACTATCATTTCCGGCTCTGTCACCATAGCAAAGCGTCCTCGTGAGTGACTTACAAGTCTCTTGTTCATCAAACGCAGCTGGTTCTAATCACAAACCCATGGCAGTATATACCGGCATTATGATCGGAGGTAAGTCTCGGAAGAGTCTGGCCGGTGCAGTAACGAGAATTTTGATTAACTAATTTGGTACCTTAGTTGGCCAGATCGGACTGATCACCGGACCTCTTATTGGCGGTACGTAGAAAAGTTACTCTCAGGATGCTACGTTCATAAAGTCTTGCATTGAAGCTAACTAGGTGGTGTTATAGGTGCACTCACGGAATACACGACTTGGAGATGGTGTAAGTAACCAACGTGCCCGAGCGCGCCTAGATACCGTTACAGGTCTGACAGAGGAGTCTAGGTTTCTGGATCAATCTCCCTCTCGGAGGAGTAGCGGCATTTTTCCTATTGCTCATCCGCATACCAGATGTCACTGTGAAAGATCCATTCGGCCTGGCCCTAGTGCGCAAGGCACTGCCTGATCTCGATCTCGTCGGATTTTCGCTGTTCGCACCGGCATCCGTAATGTTTCTGCTGGCTTTACAATTCGGATCCAATAATGCATATGCATGGAATGATTCCGTCATCATCGGCCTGTTTGTCGGCGCAGGTGTCACGGCCATCATCTTCGGTTATTGGGAGTGGCGTGTCGGAGATAAGGCGATGATACCAGGATCCTTGGTAAAGCAGCGCGTTATCTGGACGAGTTGCGGCCAGATCTTCTGCATGATGTTTTGCGTCTTTGTGGCCAACTTCTACCTGCCCATCTATTTCCAGGCCGTCAAGGGCAATAGCCCCACAATGAGCGGCGTATATCTGCTGCCCGGCATTTTAAGTCAATTATTATTCGTCGTCTTGTCAGGATTTGCTGGTATAGTCCCTCTCAACTCCCCAAAATAACGATATTATTATATGATGAGTGCTAATCCGAGATTTTAGTATCTAAACTTGGATATTACCTACCCTGGGCGGTTTCCGGCGCTGCAGTAGTGGCCATAGGATGTGGCCTTGCATCAACTTTCCGCCCAGATACCAGCACGGGGAAATGGGTTGGCTACCAGATCATCCAGGGGGCTGGCCGTGGTGCTGGAATGCAAATGGTAAGTTGTGCCAAAAGCTCATTCACGCTTTTCCCTTGGTCATAATACCTGCATACCATGTGCTTCAACTGATCACCTTCAAACAGTCTCTTGTTGCCACGCAGAATGCTTTAAGAGCCGACCAAGTTGCCGTCTCTATCGCCCTCCTGATTTTCTGCCAGAATATTGGCGGCGCAATATCGATTGTTGTGGCCAACACCATCTTCACACAAAGTCTATTGGAGGATCTCCCTCTTCTTGCCCCTTCAGTTTCACCTGCGGCAGCACTAGCTGCTGGCAGCAGCGCGTCAGGGGTCAGAGCGCTGCTACCACCCGGCAGCCCAGAGTTACCAGGACTTCTACTCGCATACTCGTACGGCGTCGATAAAGTATTTTATTTGCTCGCTGGTTTCGCAGTCGCCACATTTGGTTTTGCCTGGGGGATGGGCTGGAAGGATGTCCGTAAGAAGGGCGAAGAGGGCAAGAAAAGTGATAACACCGATGTCAATTCCAGCAAGGACGAGCCGAAGATCGAATCGGTCCAAAATGTCTAGATGGCATCGCAGCAGGCTGCAAACGCATGCTCAGTGGCATATTGAGGTCTCTACTATGCTAACGCGTGACGGTATCGAAAAATTGATAGACTCGGACCCCGTCTTGGTTCGTAGGACTCGGAAGACCATTCTGTTACATTTCAGCCTACCGCTGCCCCGCGCTGCAAAGAGTGTTACATGGGGTTCAGTACCTGGGTAGCTTATAACAACTTTTAATAAATCAATATAAGTTTATACTTCTAGAAATCTACATTGACTATTCTCAATACGGGTTATTAAACAAGTATCCTCATGCTCCCGTGCGGCAATTGAAGGACAGTGAAGCTAGTGGGGGGTTTTAGAATTTAATTGGTGTCCTAATATTGTGTAGCTACAACTCTACCCACCCCTGCGTTGAGCCACCGCCTATTCACGTACTCATTATACCGGTGGGGAGAATGACAGCCAACGTATATTCGAACACAATCAGCGCCACTCATGCAGATGTTCTAAACTTCATTCTTTCATTTGTTGTCCATTTCTTCCATCAAAAGGGCTAGCTAATGACTTTGCCTCTTTTCTACCGAAAATTTGAATTTCGAAAACGTTGTCATCAGTCGATCGGGTCCCCACATGATATGATCTCCTCTTTGCCATTCTGGATGATTGATGGCCTGGGGGAGAGTCTTCGTTAGACACTCCGCGTTGTAGCTCAGTGGACAGGAGTAAACCAAGGACGTAAGGCCTCATAAAAAAGGTAAACAAGAAAAGATTTTTTTAATAAAAGAATGACTTACATCCGGCCAGTCCTGCATCTGAATTGATAATGCGGCGTTTCGGACGACTTTAGCTCCGCCTTGTGCCGACTTCAAAGTGAGGTTTGCTACATGGCAAGAAGTTCAGTAGCCACCGAGATAGATTGTACACTTTTCTGAGAAAACTCACAATCCATGCCACCGTCCCAAGTCAGCAAGCGAATGGCCTCTTGATCAGTGTACAGGTCGACTTTTATACCAGATCTCGGCGATGAGAGCGTCGCGACCGGATTCGAGTCCTTTTCCCATGGCGAACGGCGCGTAACTAAGTACAAGTCGTCATATTTAGTTTTCTCATCCAAGCACTTACCCAAGACCTTTGGACTTGACCAAAAGTCATGACAGGAATCCTTTATGTTGCCCTTGATATCGCCTGTAGGGATGCCATGATCGTCCTGCTCCAGACGCATGCCCGAGAACGGTAGATGGAGAGTCTGCTCTGAAACAGTGCCGGTAGCAAATCCGTCCAGGTTCCAGAAAGTCTGATGACTCAGGCTTATAGGAATGGCATGATCCGTCCTCGATGGCGTTACACCATATGATATCCGCCACTCGTTTGGATAGACGGAATGAGTTAAACTCGAGCCGCAACTGCCTGGGAATCCATTTTTGCCAGGCCGGTCGAATACGGCAAACGTGATACTAGTGAACGTGAACAGAGTAAGTATCAAACTAGTCAATTCGCCTCTTTTTTCAGAATTGCGTACCTATTCTTCGTGTGCGATCCAACATCCAAAGCCATGCGTGACCAGCCACGAGCTCCACCGTCGTAGGTACTGGTGCCGTTGTTGCCGTTGGCAGACAAGTGATAAGTATGGCCATCGACATCGAATTTTGCTCCGCTAATATGGCCAGCCACGCGTCCTTTGTGATACCGACGTTAGGCTTCACTCTGCATAGATGATTGATGGGTTTTGGAATGAGACTGACCAATTGCTCCTCCAAGAAGTCCAGTATAATTTGCGTAGTCTCTGGCCTGTTCCAAACCAAGGAGTACATCAATTTCATTACCATTTGTATCATTAATCCATAGATTTGTTGGGGCGCCTCCATTGAGATTCGTGAAAGCCAGCCGGATGCCCTCGGCCTGGATGACATATTTTCCTTCTTCATTGACTGGGTGCATCGCAGTGTAGCCCGCGAAAGGACTATCGCCCCTCCATACAGCTTTTACAGTAGCCCATATGCTGATCGCTAGCGTGCTGTATGAAACCATTTTCTTGGTTGTTTCTTTCTTCACTTTAGTTGGAAACAGATGACCGTAATTGGAATGTACGTATGCTTGGAACAGAAGCCTCACGTAGAATATTATCTGCTAGATCAATGAGGTCGCAAGGAAAAACGGCTGAGGTTCAAAATTACGGTTGCGTCCTTCAACGCGACGGACCAACAAATCAAGTGGCCAATCGCGTGGACCTGCAAGTGTGCCGACGGCGAGATGCAGGTACGGCGACATCCTGGCAGCGATGACTAAAAGTCGCCGAGTCGCTGACAACAACAATGCTTTTTTAACCATGGTTCAATTGATGACGTGATCACTGGTCCGGAGATCCAGGAGCTTTCGATTTGGATGTAGCTCATAGTCGATTCCTCAACAGCATGTATACTGTACAAGACTTCCAACAGCTGCCATACTTGCACTCAAATGAGTGCTCAGAGTTATCGCAGTTTTCCAATATTTGCTTGCTTGCTCGACGGTGCTCCTCGGCTTCAGAGACAATTTTTCAAGTGTCGCTTAAATACACATCAGCGTCGAAATAATACCTAATATATTGGCACGGTACTGAGGCTACACTCAGGGATAGAAGCATACACAATGCCGCCAGAGGGCACTTGATATTGTTGTATGTCAAACTAGGTAATCTTCTCATACATTTCTCGCACTGCCTTAACCACCAGATTTGTGTCCTTGTCCGTTACTGGGACCTGATGGCCTCCTCTAAACTCGATAACGCTTGACTGTTGGCTATCATAGAGGCCCAGCAATTTTGATGATTCCGCCCTCCAAGGGTCGTACAAGCCCTGAACATGTATTGATGCAAGTGGGAACTGCTGAAACCGAGGCCTTGTCGCAGGTGGTTGCTTATCCTCCAGTGCCTTGAATCCATCAGTGAATTCAGTGTCTTCCTCCAGAGTTAGAGGTGGATAAGTCCCACTATTGAGAACTATGAACTTGAACAGTGGAAGATTTGTCGCTCCGTCCAGATGTCTTTTCTGTATATACCTCAGAAAACCAGTGGCGACGCGGGCGCCTTGTGAAAAGGCAAAAATTCCAACAAAAGGTTCATCGCCACCATTCTCCACATGTCTCATTATGCGATTCAACGTTTCTTGCTTTTCTTGATAAACCTCTTCCTCGGTGATATCAAAGTTCTCAAACGCCTTATCGTCGCTTTGCCAACGGAAGAAGGGGCCTGAATCTTCATACGCTGGCCGCATGCCTGGCCCTGGAACAGAGGGGAATGGCGCGTCAAAGTAGACGAATTGAAAATCTTTTTCTAAAGCCCGAAAAAGTTTCCGACCCTGTGCTTGGTAGATTGCACCAGAGGAGCCGGAGCCGTGGAAGCAGAGAATTTTGGGCCGCTTGTGTGGAGGACAATTATCTCCCATTTTGACGAATTAAACTTTCGTCTTGGATAAAAAGAGAATAGAAAGAATTGCCTTACTTGTTAGAGACAAGAAATTGTAAACGCGGTTGTGCAGTGCTGTCGTTGAAATAGCTGGTTCTCCCCGGTTTTGGACCGGCGACTTTTTGTCTCAGGAGCGGCGACTTTTCAATGATAGGCCTTACCAATCTCCAACCTCGATTGGCCGATTCCAGCTATAGAAATTGTCGTCTACTGCTCCCAGCCTAATCTTGAGTAGTGCTTGGCTTCTATCGTATTTGCAAAATAGCAGCAAAAACCAACATCTCTTAGGGGAGAAAGGTCACCATGGCTATCTCACCACTTTATTTTGTTTTGGTCACTTTTGTACTAGCTATATCTGGATTTCGACTGACCACGATCTACAAAAGACGTCGGCAGCTCAGACAGTTGCCATTCATTGAGATTAGAGATGGTGACTACAAAGCGGCCCTCCTGAAGGCATCGAGAGAGGTGTGTGACATGTCCATATGATTTGACATATCGGCTCGTTGGCTATTCCGCCATCAAAACTGACCATCGATAGTATCCTAGCACGCCTTATGTTGTCCAGACTGGTGGATGGAATAATGTTGTGCTTCCTAATGGAATCCTCGATGAGGTTAGAAGGATCCCTGACGCGCTTCTTTCCGAGCGAGCAGACCTTTATGAAAAGATGCATGGGCGGTGGACGGATGTCGGTGGCCCGAACCAAGAAATTGCCTTCTTGTCTCTCAAAAAGGACTTGACGAACAATCTTGGTCGACTTTTACCCGACATCCAAGACGAAGTCCAGTATGGTCTCGACAAATACTTCGGATCCTTCCGGGACTGGACTCAGATTCCTCTATATCATCGACTAGCAGAACTTAGTGCCTCTGTAAACGGGCGCTTCTTCGTCGGCTCTCAACTGTGCCGCGACCACGAATGGCGTAACTTGTACATGACATATGCACAAGATATCTCAGGCGTTATAAGGGCCGTGGAACCGTGGCATTGGTTGATCCGTCCGCTGGCCGCACCCTTTATGAAAGACGTGCGTAGGATGCAACAAGTTCGTCAACATGCTGCTCGACTGCTCACACCTTACGTTGACGCTGCGGTTGAGCAGCGCAGGAAACGCGAGGAAGCCGGGATTTCTAAAGATGACGAAGGCGACCATCTTATTGATTGGATGCTTAATCATATGGATACAAGCAAGCCCGTTGACAGTACGTTGGGTTTATCATAGGTATTGATTAAATATCACTAACGACAATGTGAATAGTGCTAAGATTCGCTCGCGAGCACATAATGGTTGGTACGTCAGAGTTTCATACTCCTCGAGGCGGATACTTGAGCTGACGAATTCCTTTGCAGGAGCCGGGGCAATCAACCTAACCAGTATAGCGTCGACAAACATATTCTACGACCTTGCCGCCCACCCTGAATATATCATCGAGCTCCGTGCGGAGATAGATGAAGCCCTTGCGTCTCAACCAAATCGCATCATGACGAGGAACAGCCTACCGAAGATGTTGCGGCTGGACAGTCTCATATACGAATCCCTTCGCATGAGTTCCCAAAGACTCAGTAAGCTAGATTTTCATCTTGTTATGTAACCTCATGAAATTCCAGAGTTTGTTTGTCAATCTGATCGTTCCTGGCTCGGACCTTCACTCTTTAAGATACACTGTTATCACAGTTCTGACAACAAAACCAGCTTCACGCCATCGTGTTGTAAAGGATCCCTCCGGAATCCGCATTTCCACGGGTCATGTACTTCCTTACGGTACTTCAGTCTGCTGGTTACACCCGCAAGCCCCTTGGTCGACGCCACCTGCGGACCTCGATATTCCTACAGAGAAAGCTTCTCTTGACGAATTCTACCCTTTTAGGTATTCTGACAGGAGAGCCAAGCCCGGTCAAGAAAGCTCCTTCCAGGTGACAACAACTGGTCGCGACAATATCCACTTTGGCCATGGCCAAGGAGCATGTCCGGGGCGGTGGTTCGCCGTTGCGATATTGAAGATCATTGTGATTGAAGTCATTCAACGATATGACTTGGCCCTGGGACCGGGCGGCGAAGGCAAGAGTGCTAGATATCCAAGACCCAAGGGTATCATGGTACAAGGAAGCTTGCGCCAGATGCCGGATTTTGCTGGCACTGTATATCTCAAGGACCGCGAAAATCGTGTTTGAACGATTCACCACTCAACTGTTATTTCATGGGGTAGATAGTGCGGATGTAGAGGAGGCTCTACTATAATATGCTCAAAGAATACATGTATATTGTATTGCATGTTAAGAAAGTAAATCGGTTGACTGCAACATAGATATATGGAATGGTTAAGGAACATGTCGTTAAAGTGTTGAAATATTATATGGAATTGCAAAAGTAGTACGGACGTGTAATTACCGCTGTGCTAGCTGGCATTCTACCTTTGTCTCCCATTTTTAATAATCTAATTCTCCTTCTCGCGTAAAGGGTGCAACTGTGGGGCTTTTGGGGCGTCGAGAGGTCATCGGTACAAAGCCTGCTAATTCATAGGGCCTTCCCCACACTAAAAGTCTTCTGTGGCATAATGTTTTTCTGAAATCAAAGAGTTCTTCTCGGACCCCTCCACCACAACATCCGCTAACAGCCCCTGTAATAATCCACTGAAGCTATGGACCAAGCCGACAAAATACAAAAAGAAGTTGATTTTTTCCCTTTCTTCGGAACACAATAAGATATACAGGCTTACGACTGCAGCATCATAGACTTACGGAATTGAAACGACCACGGCGATCCAGCCGTTTATTTTGGATTTATTTATTGCAGTGCTCTTAGTGGAGGGTGAGAAGCACTCTTGGTTTCAAAAGAACATTTTCCTTTGAAAGGCTTCCAGCGCTGGCAGCAGCGCACGAAGACTTCTGAACCCCCCTAATCTTCTCACTACTGTACTCACCGTTCTATCTCTACTCTGAGTCCAGACACTCTTACATGGTTTAATACACAGAGAAAGAGCATGTAATTTTATCAAATTTATCAAGCAATCTCATCTACCTAAGTACCGTGCATGAACCATGAATCGTCGCGGTAATATCTGATGGGAGCCAGTACGATACTCATTGAACATATAGACGCGAAATCGGACAAAAAAAAAAAAAAACACAGCTGAGGTGGAGTTCATTGTCAAGAGGAATTTCAAATCAAGGAAGAGATGGTCTAGATCCTATAGATCAACTTTTGACCCGAGACCGCATTGTTTCTCAGCAAGTCTGTTCCCTCGAATACGCCTTCTAGACCACCAGCCATCATTTTCAACGGATGGGCCTTTAGCTTGCCCTGGTCCAGGAGCCCTTGCACCGTTGTGAACCACCTCTTCCCATATTCTCGCAGCTCGGGGTCTCCCTCACGCTGCATCGGTGGCGGCCAGCCAATTGCCTTGCCATGAAGCGCAGGCCCGAGGACCCAGTCGAGATGAATTCGCTTCGGCTTCGTGTGTATGTAGCTTGGTGGAGGCTCCAGCGTGGTCAACCGGCCACCCGTACGACCGAGACAAGCGTAGCAAAGCTCCATTGTTTCTGCGGTCGAAACACAGTCAATGACATACTTGAGAGAATTCTTGGTATAAGACTTGACGTTGGCCACAAAGTCTGCTGAATTGTAGTCGAATACTTCTGCTGCACCATACTCCTTGACCATTTCAAAGTTCTTGGGTGATGCCGTAGCGATTGGCTTGAGACCAGATCTGAACATTTTGGTTAGTCTCATTCTTTTCACGATGTACTATAAGTAAAAGGATAAGAACAGTTTAAGTAATTGCAAGGCCAATGTTCCACTAGAAGTGCTTCCTCCATAAACCAAAACTGTGGTTGGTTCGGTCGCTGGCGCATCAGGATATCCCGGGACTTGGAGATTGTGGAAAAGAGCAAGGCCCATTGTCCCAATGCCGGTACCAAGGGATGCGGCCTCCTCGAAAGACATGTTTTCAGGGATTTTCATCAGGACGATATCAGTTGCCCCAATATACTCTGTAAAGGCACCGACTCTTGGTGTTAAGGAGTGAACACCCTGAATCAGTGTGAGTAGAAGAGCAAAATAGATACCTCAATGTTGTCCATTGTACACTAAAACTTACCTGGACAGCCCCGGAGACCCGATCACCTCTCTTTAGTGGAGAAGCCGTCCAAACGTTAGATCCTTGATCCACAACAGTCCCAGCAAAATCATGTCCTGCAACACCACCGGGATGAGCGAGTCGCCCGGTCATCTTGATGTCCACAGGATTGAGTGCGACGGCTACCGTTTTAACAAGTACCATATCGGATTCCAGCTCGGGTAGAGGGGAGTCGTCCACCAAGACAAGTTGGCCATTTTTGTCAGCTACAATAGCTCTTTGGCTTTTCGGCACATTGAATACTTCGTTCATACTCGATATGGGCTGTGATATGATGCTCTCGTAGATAGGACTTGTAAGCACTTGTGGATTGTACGTAAAATTGACCTTGAAAATTATTGAAATACCCTGTTAACAATCACGTTGGCACCGCACACTGCTTTTGACCTCTTGTTGACTAATATCATTGCGCCCCAAGTACCAAGCTTGCAACGAATCTGATTGGAGCTTCAATATGATGCAATAAACGCCGCTAGGGGAAATGGCTTAACTGAACGCTTACCTCACAGTACACGTGTAAAGTAGTCGCTGAAAGTCGCCGTCGGGCAATTACTGTCAGCCGAGGCAAAATCCTTCCCGGAGGCGGGCCGTCGGCAGGAGACGCGACTAAGCAAGTGCCTTCGACCGGCACCGGTGGGCAACTTTGAAATTTGAGTATAGTCTTTTTAGTAATTCCAGGGTCATGTTTGGGGAGTTGATTAGATAGGCAAGTTTGACTTGATAGCGTTCTGACACCGGTTGCCAGGCCTGGCTATGGCAGTTCCGACGTGCGCAAACAATGCGCCTGTGAAAAACTGCCTGAAGCTCGACCGCAGTAGTAATCGGGGAACACACTCAAACTGCTTCTACATAACGTCATTGTGCTATAGAACCTATGGGTGTAGCGGGCAATTGTCTGTTAAGGCCAGAAAATCCAAGAAACAATTTTGAAAAACGTGCTTTAGCACAAAGGAGAGGTGGATCGAGTACGTTTGCACTTTGCTACGATATTAGAACAGAGATTAATAAGAGTTCAGAGATCAATTGATACCAAAAAGCCAAAACCTAAACCAAAACAGATGTAGAACGTATTATATACAACTGAACTCGGACTCTTGACATTTCCATATGTACTTGAATGACCACAAATGCTCGCAAGCTCGTTTCAATGCTTTGGGGGCTCTGAATTTTCCGACTTACCGACAAGCGCTTTGTTATGTCGTCGAGTGGCCAGAATTCGTTCTCTGAGACACCATAAGATCGCCACAGTTCCTCCAGGGCCAATAAACAGGACTAAACTAGCCATGACCAATAGAGTTTGGAACCAGTTTAATCGGAACATGCCTGCAGATCTCAAGTCGCGCAAGAGGTAAAACATCCACATGAGAGCTACGGTTGTGTAGACCGCACGTGAGTCGCCAAGCATGGCAAAAATACGCTCGGGTACCGTGTCAATATCGAAAAGATTTGAGCTTTCTGTCCAGTTAGGATGAAGCTTTATGTTACACAAAAGCATGATCCAGGAAATGGCTGATAAAGCCCCAGATGCTGAGACAGTCAGGATGATGGTTTGTATGTCATGGTTGACATTATAGATGCGGTCATAAGCCACCGTTGATGGTAAACAGTTGGCAACCGACCATTGGCAAATGGATACCAGGAGCGGAAATTGCCTCAAAATGCTCGTAGCAGAATTGTGGACTCTTTCCGAGCCAACAATGGTAGCCACGAAGGGTATATAGAATATAGCAATCATGAGAGTACTGATTGGTCTGATGTATCGCAGGTCTGTGAGTCGCAAGTCCGTGGCCCTAAACCAGGATATCGATACCATAGAGGTATATAAGAAACAATACAGTGATATGGAGATTCCAGATCCGTAGGCTTGAGAGGCAAGTCCGAATAACAGTACACTACAACATGATAAAGCATCTAATTAGCATTCAAAGTCGTTATGGGTATGCATAATTGTATACTCACAAGCTCATTGGAGTGAGCGCCAGTGCTCTTCTCGCAGATTCGATCAACATTATGGTATATATCGTGCCAAAGTCCATAGCACCAGAGACTCTCCATAGTAGATCGCCACATGGAGGCCAAACGTTGGGTGGATAATCCGATCCTGTGAGGATATCCCATATGCCATGCTTCGGAGCAGTTGGTGGGACCATTAGGTGAAAGACTCCCAGAAGCACTAGAGGAAGTGCCCATAACATGCGATACACAATACTCTCAGATTTCCCTACCCCTTGCTCGGGATTAAATGGCATTGTACCTAGCAGAGATCGGGGCGGCAAACTGAGAGAGTTGATTTTCACGGCTCCTATCCATGCAAGCGATCCGAGATCCACGAAAAGGTCGCCGGCATGAGGCATCACATAGTATGCCAACAGTCTTTGCAGAGGTCCCCGTACAGCATGCAGTCTTGTGACATAAGCAGACATGGCCACTGTTGAAGAAGCTCTTTCACTTCTCTCTTGCTGGCACTTCAATAGTGCTGCTCGTACCTCTTCGAGATTAGGCCTCTGAGTGGGGAACCGGCGTATGAGCTCGTCGAGTGAGTTTGCCAGGCTAGCGGCGCTTTCTATTGCTGCATTGCCACCAGAACCGGCATTGGGCGTCATTTTGTGCACGCTGTCACCGATACAGATGAAACGACCCCATGTCCAGTGTGGGAAAAAGGCCTCCTCCAGTGCGACAAGTCGACTGCTCACACGCCTATTCCACACGTCCTTGAACCGCACCTTGCCATCCTCAGTCAAAGGGATGTCAAAATGAGATGACACGAAGTCGAGCTCCTGCTGTCGTGTGTATCTAGGAATATCTTTATCACGATAAACCTTATCCAGTCGGGCAATGAGGAACCAGTAGACACGATCGCCCTCTCCAGTGATGATGATAGGTGTCAAGTCCTTGATGTAGGTTACATCGAAGTGATGAGAAGGCAGTCCAGAGACTGCGGTTGATATGCCGAACAGACATTTGTATTCAGCTGTCATGCTGCCTTGTTCAGTTTCGGGAATCTCGCCAGGAGCTTCCAAGCTTGCTGTCCGCCACATTGCCTTGCGCACGACGCTATGGGTTCCATCGGCCCCCACAACAATGTCACCATGGTAAGAGGTCCCATCGTCACAGTCGACTCTTACAGAATCAGTGCTGTGGAAGATGTTTTTGACGCGTTTATCTAGAAGGATGTTCTTCGAGTTTTCTATGCGGTCTGCCAAGGCCTGGAGAACGTTCTGCCGATCCAGAAAACACATGGAGTAGTTTGAGCTGTCACAAAGGATGCATCGTTAGTTGTATGTGATCAGGAACTCCCTCCATTGATATCCTCAGAAGGCACTTACCGTGCTTTCAACAGTTGCATAGCATCAGTACGCGGCCTTATCAATTTCCCGTCCGGACTGTGACTTCCGTTCCAGTCGATGCGTGATGCGGTTGATAAGATTTGCTCGTAGCAGCCAAATTGATCCAGAATACGGCTACCATTAGGACTCAAACCAATAGAAGCGCCGACCTGAGGTGCAAGTTCGCTGTAAGCCTCGAGGAGAACATAGTCGATACCAGAATGCTGTAAAGCGTTTGCAAGAGTCACTACCCTCAAATTGGATCAGCAAACCACCATAGAAAGACGCAAAGCATTTCATGCGTCACTATGATACATGGGTGACATACAACCAGCGATACCACCGCCAACTATAATGACGCTAAGCTTTTGACTTTGCTCATTTGGTGATCTCATGACGGCTCAGGTGAGATAATTATCAAGGTAGAGTGATTATGACTATGTTTTAGTCATGTACGTTGAATTTTGAACTTGGTAAAAAAACGCAGATCCATCAATCGACGGAGAGTCAATGAACCATGCGAGTCGTTGAATGGGTACAACGATTGCAAAAGCGAAAACATGAGCTGCATGAATAATCTTTGTCTGTCGCAATCTGAAGAATGAGTGACCCAATGTCAGCATTATTGCCCGCCGTCGGCGAGTTCTTGGTTTTCGCCAGGATGAGATTAGCAACCGATCCGTCGGGGAAAGTCTTCGAACAATCTGCAGGGGTGCTAATCACTCCTTAAATATGAAGAGTATAATCAAATACATATAAAGCATCATGAATCCATAAAGTCTGCATATTAATAGCTCAGAAGGAACGGAAATGATTGCTGGTGACTTATCTTTTGTAATTTGACATAGATCAGTCTTCCACTGTCGTAGAACCTCTGAAACTTCCTATTTAATTTCTTTGTGCATTCCATTACAATAAAACATGGGACTGCCTTCTACCGAGCCCATAGCCATTGTCGGCATTGGCTGCCGTTTCCCTGGAGGAGCGAGTTCCCCAAGCAAGTTATGGGATGTCCTCAAGGATCCAAAGAACCTAGCCAAACCCATCCCAGCCGATAGATTCAATATTGATAGGTTCTATCATCCAGATGGCAAGCATCATGGGACGACAAACGTCAAGGAGACCTACTTTCTGGACGAAGATGTCCGGCAGTTCGATTCGGGCTTTTTCGGGGCACCCACCGGAGGTTCGTACTACCTACTCAAAGTCACAGCTTGAAGTCCCATTTTCCCTTAAGATGGATCTAACCTATTTATTCAGAGGCTGCATCAATCGATCCGCAGCACAGGCTGCTGCTGGAGACCGTCTATGAATCCCTAGAAACTGCAGGTCTCACTATTTCAGGCTTGCAAGGCTCCGACACAGCTGTATATGGTGAGTGTTGCGCACGGCAACTTCTTACTGGGCATTCTCCTGACCAATGTTAAATATTACAGTTGGCCTCATGTGCAGCGACTACATGGTTCTGCATTCGCTCGACGTTGATCGGGTCCCGACGTATAACTCACCTGGTATTGCGAACAGCAATGCATCGGCTCGTGTCTCCTATTATTTTGACTGGCATGGACCCTGTATGACTATTGACACAGCCTGTTCGTCGAGTCTTGTGGCCGTCCACCAGGCGGTACAAGCATTGCGATCGGGCTCATCACGCATCGCAATTGCTGCCGGGACAAACCTGTTGTTTTCACCACTTGGTTATGTTTCTGAGAGTAACCTGAGCATGTTATCCCCGACCGGCAGATCACGAATGTGGGACGCCGACGCCGACGGATACGCTCGCGGCGAAGGCGTCGCTGCGCTGGTTCTAAAGCCGCTAAGCGCCGCGTTGGCAGATGGAGATCATGTTGAATGTATTATTCGTGAGACCGGAGTCAACCAAGATGGCAAGACAAAAGGTATAACCATGCCAAGTGCTGCAGCGCAGGCGGCGCTCATACGTGATACGTATGCCCGCGCCGGCTTGGATCTCAACTCGAAGAAACATCGTTGTCAATATTTTGAAGCGCACGGAACTGGTACACCAGCAGGTGACCCTCAGGTATGTCATGTTTCCGAGTATGTTCTTGGCTCTATCGAGAGACCGGAAGAGAGTCACTACTGCGGTTGAAGCAGTAGTTTTAAACTTCTATCCGGATTGCCCGGATATTCATTCCACTGATAATTATTACAATTTTTACAGGAAGCCGAAGCCTTGCACACTGCATTCTTTGGAGAACAGTCTCATGATTCCGACGACATTCTCAAAGTTGGGTCTGTCAAAACTGTGATTGGTAAGTGAACAGTAGACACCCCCCAAAACAAAAAAAGAAACATGCAGATCTCTTTCTTGGTGGCCCCTCTCCCCTCGTTTCCCCAATTGAACCACTGCTATTATCACAAAAGCTGATTAATCTTCGAATAGGTCACACAGAAGGCACTGCAGGTATTGCAGGCGTGATAAAGTCATATCTGGCAATCAAACATGGCCTGATCCCGCCAAACTTGCTCTTCAACAAGCTATCACCCACAGTTGAGCCCTTCTACAAACATTTAGAAGTCGTCACATCTCTTACCCCATGGCCGAAGCTAGCGCCTGGCGTCCCTCGACGAGCAAGTGTGAATAGCTTCGGCTTTGGTGGCACAAACGCCCACGCCATCATTGAGAGCTTTGGTACGATAGGGCAGACACGGACGAGCCTCTTGGAGCCGTCATTACCGACACCGATTAGGTCCATCCTACCGTTCACATTCTCGGCGGCTTCAGAAAAGTCTTTAAAGCAACTACTAGACGCGTACCAACTCCATCTGTCCGATGTCAAGGACATTGACTTGCGCAGATTAGCCTATTCACTAAGCAGCCGTCGCTCACATTTTCCCTTCAAAATCGCCATTTCCGCTTCTACTCAAGAGGAGTTGCTGGACAGAATCAACAAGGTTCTAGCTAGCCAGCCAACCTTCACTCGGTCCACCGTCAAAGATGCTACTATTCTAGGCATTTTCACTGGGCAGGGCGCACAATGGCCACGGATGGGCCAACAGCTCTTGGAGACCATACCGTCAGCCAAGGAAACTATTGCAAATTTGGACAAAGCCCTAGCCACCCTGCCATCCAACGACAGGCCCAGTTGGACTATCGCAGAACAATTGAATCAGGGTCAAGACAAGAGTCGACTCGACGAAGCCGAGATTGCACAACCACTCGTGGCAGCGGTTCAAATCCTCCTGGTGAACCTATTCCGCAGTGCTGGTGTGAAATTTCAAGCCATTGTTGGTCATAGTTCAGGCGAGATCGCGGCTGCATATGCGTCCGGGCTCATCAGCGACAAGGATGCAATCCGTATAGCTTACTATCGTGGGTTCCATTCCAAGAAGGCCTGCGGTCCGACGGGACAACCAGGAGCTATGCTCGCTGTTGGAACGTCACTTGAAGACGCACAGGATCTCTGTAGCACTGAAGACTTTGCCGGCCGAGTTGTCGTGGCGGCTTGCAACTCTTCCACAAGCCTAACGCTATCGGGCGACGAGGATGCGATTGACGAGGTCCAGTCGCTGCTGGAAGAGGAGAACAAATTCGTGCGCCGACTGAGAGTCGACAAGGCGTATCATTCGCATCACATGAAGCCAGCTGCCGAGCCGTTTTTGACAAGTTTGGCGGCGTGCGACATCACCGTCCTTCAGCCCCGTTCTGGGTCAGCGACATGGTACTCAAGCGTTCACAAGAACACGCAGAATGGTGTAACCACTGCACTCGATGGTAGCTATTGGGTTGAAAACCTGAATAGCGCCGTATTGTTCTCTGATGCTCTGACAGCAGCCATCACCAACGATGGCCCTTTCGACGCCGTGCTCGAGATTGGACCACACCCAGCGCTCAAAGGGCCGGCGTCTGATGTGATACAGGATGTCCTCGGCAAGGTTCTCCCATACACTGGAAGTCTCTCGAGAGGGAAGGATGACATTGAAGCTTGGGCAAGTGCTATAAGTACACTCTGGGAGCATGCCGGTACGTCCGCAGTCGACTTTGCAGCTCTTCAGCATGACGTTTATCCGGACGCTGCAGAGATTCGACTGCTTCCAGGCATCCCTCTATATCAATGGACACACGACCGTGCGCTATGGTCGGAACCCAAGTACTCGAGACTTCTTCGGGAACAGCCAGGAAAGTTTCATGATATCTTGGGGACTCGCATGCCCGACGGCACTGAAGAGGAATGGCGCTGGAAGAATGTTCTTACCACCAGGGAGATACCTTGGTTAGTTGATCATGGACTCCAGGGGCAAACCGTCTTGCCGGCCACTGGCTATATTTCTCTGGCACTTGAAGCTGCCCTACAAATTGCCGAGCAGAGGCCAGTCAAGTTACTTGAACTTACTGATCTGACAATCAAGAAGGCCATCGCCATTGACGACAGCCAGGGTTCGGATATAATGGTTACCTTGACCAGAATCGTGTACGAGAAAGACCTCATTACCGCGCTCTTTGCTTGCTTCTCAACTATTACTCGAGACTCGACACGACTCGCCCTCAATGCTACGGGTTCCGTTCATGTTCATCTGGGCAAGCCCCTGCCTGACTTGCTCGCCCCACGTAGGGAAGCAGTTCCCGGTATGGTGCCTGTCGACCCTGAACACTTTTTCAGTGAGCTCGACAAGATTGGCTACAATTACGGCCCTACATTCCGCGGCATCAATGTCCTCAAACGAAAGCTTGGGTTCTCTAGTGGAACGATCAAAGTCCCCCCGAACAATCTTGGAACAAATCTCTTGTTCCACCCAGGTATGCTGGACGCTGCGCTACAGGGGATGCTTTGTGGCTTTAGTTCTCCCGGAGACGGTCGCCTGTGGTCACTACACGCCCCCCTCTCAGTGCGCCGCGTTTCATTGGTGCCGTCTCTTTGCGCAGACAATATGACTTCGGACGTTTACTTCGACTGTGCAGTTACAGATACCAACTACGACAACCTGACTGGAGACGTCGATGTCTTCCAGAGTGACACAGCTCACAAGTCAATCTCGGTAGAAGGTGTTCGATTCGGTCCATTTTCCGCAGCCACGGCCGCAGACGACCGCCACCTGTTTGCTCATAACAGGTGGGATATAGAAGAGCCCAACGGCGAGCTTGCCGCAGAGGGCCGTCGTGCCACGCCGCAAGAGATCGAAAGAGCTTACGACTACGAGAGGGTATCATATTACTACCTCCGAACGCTCCGTGAATCAGTTTCTGTGGAAGAGCGGAAAGATTTGCAGATTCCGATCCATCATGAGGCTCTCTTCGACTACGCCGACCACATATACGACCAAGTTCAACGTGGCGAGCACGCCTACGTTCAGAAGAGCTGGGACCAAGACAGCTTTGAGCTCATCGATGAGATATGCAAAAGGTATATTATGCTCTTTGTCCACAGTCTCTATGTAGAGAATCATTTCTAATAGTGGTGACTCAATAGGTACGGCCATGATGATGCCGATATAGCTCTTACCATAGCAGCCGGTGAAGCCATGCCGGCAGTCATTCGTGGTGAAACAACGATCCTGGAGCACATGACCAAAGACGACAAGCTCGATAACTACTACAAGAAAGCCCTTGGGTTTGTTGAACTAAATAGGTTGATGGCAAACACGGTCAAGCAGATTTCTCACCGCTTTGCTCGACTCAATATCTGTGAGATAGGTGCTGGTACCGGCGGCGCAACCAAAGGCATTGTCGAAAAACTTGACGCTGCATTTGATTCCTACACATATACCGACATATCTAGCGGGTTCTTCCCCAAAGCGAAGGAAAACTTTGGGGCACAAAAGGATCGATTCGTTTTCAAGACGCTTGATATAACGGTCGATCCCAACGAGCAGGGGTTCATACCTAACACGTATGATCTCATCGTGGCAGCAAATGTACTTCATGCGACCCCAGACTTGGTACATACCTTGAAGAACGTTCGCCGCCTTCTCAAACCTGGTGGCTACTTGGTGATGATGGAGTTCACCGACCTCAGCCCTATGCGCATGGGGCAGATCATTGGTGGCTTGCCAGGATGGTGGATCGGTCGCGAGAGCGGCCGTCGTTATTCTCCCGCAGCCACACTTTCCGAGTGGAATGACATCCTTGGCAAATCCGGTTTCGCGGTGCAGACTTCTACTCCTGTTTTGGACCCCGTGGTTATGCCTGCTTGCATCATCACAGCTCGGGCCATCGATGAAGAAATGACCCTTTTGCTTGAGCCTTTGAGTGCCCCTGTGTCGCAAGTTTCTTCTAGTTCGCCGGCCCTGGTGATTATTGGGGGAAACAGCAACGAATCCAAATCGGCAATCGAGACTATCAGAACAACCTTGACCTCATATTATCCCAAAATATTAACCGTGGAAACGTGGGACAAGCTGGATCCAACAAGTGTCCCTGCAAATAGCAGTGTACTCAGTTTGAGCGACATTGATGCTCCTTTCTGGAAAGATATACCCGAGTCGCGGTTTGATAAATTCAAAACGACGTTACTGGCAGCCAGCAAAGTGCTATGGGTATCACATGGATCTGATCGCAAAAACCCTGATGGCGCAATGACATACGGGTTCTTCCGCTGCTTGGTATACGAGTTGCCGGAAACACCTATCCAATTCCTTGACCTGGAGAGCCACGAACAGGTGAAACCTGCTATTATCGCAAAGAGGTTACTCTCCCTCGAAGTGTCACAGAAGTTGCGGGGTCTCGGTTCGCTAGACGCCAAGTTGTGGACTTTGGAGCCAGAAGTGAGGATTCGCGCAGGGCAATCCTTGATACCTAGGCTCTATCGCGAGCCTGAGCAGAATGCGCGGTACAATTCGGCCAAGCGTGAGATCACCAGTGAAATCGCAGTGCGCGATAGCATGCTCACTCTCAGGTGGAGCGGTACCAAATATGACCTAGTAACGGAACACCCTATGGTCGAGCCACCAAGACCGGGACAAAGAAGGGTAAGAGTAAACACCTCACTACTATCTTCATTGGTAACCCCGATTGGACGCATGTTCTTGAGCCTAGGGACGGATATGGACACCAAAGAACAAGTGCTTTCAGTCGCCGCGAGAAATAGCTCTACAATCTTGGTGCCAGAAGACTGGACGATACCAGTTCAGGTTGCGGTTGACAATCAGTACCTGTCGTTCTTGGCCGGCTTCCTGATGAGCGAGTATATTGCTTCGCTGATAACCCCAGGCACAGCACTAGTAGCTTTTGAAGCAGATCCAGGCTTGGCTTCCTTGCTTTCACGAAAGCTGTCGGCAAAGGGTTGTCCGGTTTTATTCATCAGTACCCAGGAGCACATGAGGATCCGACGTAACTGGGTTTATATGCACCCGAGAACTTTAGACAGGGACATCTCGGCGGTCCTTCCGGGAGCGCGGGTTCTCTATTTGGATCTCTCGGGTGCCTCTCCGACAGATGAGTCGCATAGCCTTGGGCTTCGGATTGCCAAACTGCTACCCGATCTCTCAGAGGTGTATGACGCTTCATTGCTGCTTGCTCGCGAGTCCAGCAAGTCGACGGACATGTCAAGCGAAAGGCTGGCTTCTTTACAGCATATGCTGGCAAAAGCCAATGGGATGGCTGCCGCTCAGCTGAGCGGTTCCCCTGACGGCATGCCTCTCCTGGCAGAGCAAGTGTCCAAGATCATTGGAGATAAAGACGTATCTTCCGAGCCAATGAAGATTGTCCAGTGGACACGGGACGAATATGTGCCTGTCCGTGTTCGTCCCATCACGTCACGGCAAGACTTATTTATGCCCGACAAAACATACTGGCTTGTGGGACTTGCCGGTGATCTTGGTCTGTCCATCGCCAACTTCATGATCCAGATGGGAGCTAGAAATATAGCTCTCTCGAGTCGAAACCCCCAAGTTGATGAGCCCTGGGTGTCAGAACAGAAGTCCAAATACGGAGCTACAATCAAGTACTTCAAGGGAGACATCTCTGAGAGAGAAGACGTCCGGCGTGTGCACAGGGAGATTACCTCAGCACTACCACCCATCGCAGGCGTGGCCAATGGCGCATTGGTGTTACGCGACAAGGGGTTTGTTAACATGGATCTGGCTACCTTCCATCAGAACACTCGCTGCAAGGTGGAGGGCACCGAGCACCTGGACGAAATCTTCGATGCAGAGTCAAATCTGGATTGGTTCATTGCCTTTTCATCCATCAGCTCCACCGTAGGCAACATGGGACAGATGGCTTATGCGTCCGCCAATAGTTTCATGAAGGCATTGGTAGCACAGCGCCGTGATAGAGGACTCCCGGGCTCGGTCATTGACATCAGTCAAGTCTTTGGAGTTGGATACGTCGAGCGCGAGATGAAGCTGGGAACTACCATGACCCGTGAGGCGGCACTCCGTCTAATGCATCGTTCAGGCACGATCATCATGTCCGAGACGGATCTGCATCATCTATTCGCCGAGGCTATCGTGGCTGGCAGGCCTGGCTCTGGTGGTGACCCGGAGGTCATTACCGGGATCAAGACAGTGACACCCGATGAGGCCAGAGATGCGCTCTGGGGCGCCAACGTTCGCTTCGGGCACTTCATCCGTGCAGCGGGTACCGCATCACTGCCTAGCGCCGCCAAGGTGGCTGCTGTACCCGTGAGAGTTCAACTAGAGGGCGCGAAGTCAGACGAGCAGGCGATGCAGATCCTAAAAAAGGCGCTCATTGAGAAACTGAAGACGAGCATGATGGCCCAGGATGAGTCAATCAGTGACAAAACCCCACTCATCGACATGGGTGTGGATTCCCTCGTAGCTGTCGAGATCCGTACCTGGTTCGCTCAGGAGGTCGGAGTCGACGTCGCTGTGCTGCGAATTCTTGGGGGGCCATCGGTAGAAGAACTTGTGGAAGATGCAATCAAGAAGCTAAAAGACGCTGGAGATACTACTGGCAGCAGCCCTTCAGTCAAGAGTGACGAGGCCGACACAAGGGAAAGGACAAGTCGCGATAGCAACAGCGTCGATGAGAGTGGCGGCGTCAGCACCTCTGCTACAAGCGAGGATGACGAAAAGCAGGTTTAGCGTCACGTGGTATAATTGGCCGTAGGCCCGTAGCGCGTAGCATTGAAATATGAACATAATGCACCCAATGCTTGAATTGTCAGGTGCTAGGCACTGCCCTAAGCACTAGTACTAATACCCCCCACAGCCACTACAGCTTTACCGTCCTCTTCTCTACAGTGCTATACTTTTTGTAGCTTCACTTGCCAGATGTAATTGAAAGATACTTCCAACCATCATCACTGTCGTGGTCCCGTAGCTTGAAAACACACTAGTTTACTTTCCTTCACTTGTTTTTACATTGTTCCCGCGTGTTCTGAGTACTTACCATTAGGTCACTGGGCTTGTATGAAAATGTACCATTGGGAGGTATGATACCTAGACGTGAACAGCAGTCAGAGTGAAAGAGTTTCGTACTTCATGCTGAAGACCAGATACTTGACAGGACATCGCTGGGCCAGGAAGATACATTATGTAGCAGGTATTAATACAGTAGCATGTGGTGCTGGCCTTGACACCACCCATTAACATTAGGACTTTCGTTACCCACTCCCACGTCCACTCTGGTGTAGTAATGCCATCAGGCTTTGCTCGGAGACTTCGAGCTCCGACGATACGATATGTAACAGAGCCGTTGAGGGTCTGCGCCGAGACTGTACCGTATCGGAGTCCAGATCTGAATGGTTTTGTGTCTTGCCAACGTACTCAGTTGGCACGGATGTCTGCTCCTCGACACGAGATGAGGGAATGCACGTCCAAATAGCCGCGCGCAAACGTTCCATCATCTGAGCGATGAAGTACATATGCATGTCTTGATTTATCGTGACTGGCATGGTAAACTGTGACAGTCCAATGCGGAATCTTGGGAGGCTGTTGTTGGTGCCTGCAGATGACGCCAATTCTGTGTGGTGCGCCGAGATGGTGTCCGAAGGGTTGGTGGCGAAGTCGGCGTTCCTGTCACTCCTCGCCCTACTGCTAAATTTGTTTCCATTGCTCCTCCATATATTTTCAACCAAAAGCTCATAGGTGTGAAGAAGACAAACATAGCAATTCGAAATCATGAGCGCCGTAGAGATATGCGAGCCCTCGCGGGGACTGAATCTCCTGCTGGAAAAGCCATCACCTGGAGAGGGACAAGCATCATCTTCCTGTGGAGGCCGTGCTAAACTGGAAACCGACGTTACCAAACTGATTAGATCCTCTGTAGCTGCGTAGAGATCTACAATATGATCGGAAAGACTTGCATCCCGATTCCTTGAATCTGGACTTGTCCCAGATTGCGTACCAGTATCTTGGAACGGTTTGGTATCTTGTTGCATCTTCTGTAGGCTTAATAGTCGTATATGTAACTCGCAGAGCTGATGCAAGAGCGAGATTGGTTCAGCTTGCGTTTCCAATTGGGCAGCGCCTCCGAGACGAGTGGTTGGGCCTATCTCATCTTCATGCGGATATAGTGGCATGTCAAAATCCATATGGGGGAAGGCCAAGTGCTCTTCGGAAATGCCGTTCTTTTCTGGGTGGGAGCTTTGGTCTCCATTGGGAGCTGTGGTTGTTGGCAGCTGGTAGTCGGTCAAGTCCACACCATCAGGCGATACGAAGAATTGTTCGAATACGAAAGCATCATCCATGGTAGTATCGTTTGATTTGCGTACGGGGATGCTCAGATCTAAGCTCGCTTCGATATTTGGCGAGTTCATTCCAGAGTCGACATGATTACTGTACGACTCGGATTTGTTATTACTCTCTAGGTCCTGGCCATATCCTGGCGTTGTTGCAATGCGGCGGCACCATCTCCTCGGCCGAGCGCCTGCAACAGAGGTCGAGCTTTCTGTAGCAGAATCATTCCCCTGTCTCATGATGGTCGAACGACTTCCTTGTGGGCGTCCGAGTCGGAGGGGGGCGCTATATTCGCATGTAATATTTAGGCGGAGACATCTTTGGCATATCTGAGATCCGGCCACAACCTCGCATCGTGTTTTAAGTGCATGACACTTATCGCAGGCATCGCGACGAGCTCCTCTGGATCCGGTAGCCTCCCCTCGGGCAATGGGTCTGTTCATCGCGATATGTCACGGCTAATACCATGGAAGGGATCCTAGATTTATTAAAGCTGTGGCTTGTTCATTCCTTGGTGGAATTGGCTAATCTCGGTATTTCGTTTCGGAAAAGCAATGTTCAAATGAATAGCGTTTGGTGTATCAAAGAACTTAGTTGAGTTTTCGTGATTTGACCACAAAATCGACGTGCTGGTTAGCAGCGAAGTCTTTAAGAAGACGACGGGCTTTGAAATCTCCCAGACGTAAATGAAACTCAGACATGAAATGAATCAACTGGTTAGCCTAACTGTGCATCCCAAGAACCCATCAGCTCTCAACCACGTGGGATACAGGGGTTGTCGAAGTGCGGAGGGAGGGGACCCCGCCTAGGATCAACGACATGACACGGATTCGCACTTTCGCGAATTGTTGCCGTCAACGCCGGACCGAAAGATGAACTACGGTCATATCAGCCATTCGCTCAAACGAGAGAACAGTGGCTTTTTGCCCATCATCATTCAAGACCAGTTTGGAAGTCATACTGGTATAGACCCATGGTAGGTAGGTATGCACCCTGGAAATCCCACAATCCTACTTCTGGTGGACCATAGTCATATCATTCTGTTCTAGGCTACATCGAGGTTTGGGGGATTGTTGTGTGGTTGTCCTGCAGTCAGCCTTGAAAGCCGTCGGTATCTGACTTATGGCTTGTCGTAGGTCGCTTAAAAGTAAGCCGTGCAGCACCTTCCAAAGCACCCTGAAACGACAAGACTCTTATCTCTTCACTATTATTTGAAGATTCTCAGAAGATTGAACGCCACATTTCATCCTTCCGCAGAAAACCGTGCTGATGGTTAAAGGTAAGGTTCTTGGCATCACACTGGCGGATATCGACATCTACGGTTCGACCAAACCACCAGCCAAGATATTTATCCTGGATGATTCAACGCGAAGGATCCTGTAAGAAATTGGAATAAGGTATGGAGTTAAACGAGCTCACCACAGCACCATTGACGGGGTACTGACTGCGGATACAAATTTTCAATCTCGGGCCGTACCGGTTTAATTTCCGCTGACTAAACCATTAATAAAAAATGTCTTACTCGATCCAATGTGGAGGGAAGGTAAGATCGGCGAAACGTTGGAAAGAAGTCGAAGTTAGTTCTATAAATCTAGAAAAGAGAGGTGCTAAAGAGCTATTCATATTTAATATACCCGAGCAGGGATTTGTGGCGGGTACTGAGTCAGTGCAACAGAATGTTTAGGGTTGTATGGATAAAATTAGCTTTAACCCCAAATGATAAGTCTAAGTATTATCTCTGCTTTTGATCGTGGCTTTGATGCACCATTACCCAAACGAACAGCCATCTGCAACATTTTTGTCCCTGTACCCATCGATCACATCATTGTAGGCAGTTCTCGGCGTGGAGTGTATGCTGACACGCCACAACATCATACGCACGGGCGCCACTCTAGCTACGCTTTTTCTCACGACGTGCATTCGGCAACTGATTTCATGGGCTTTGTACCGTACTGGGACTCAGTGTGGGGCGAGAAGCCTTCTAGCGTTTATATGTGCTTCCTAAGAGCAGAAGCCTTCTCATTTAAGAAGCATTCTTTATTTGAGAAGCATTCTTCATTCGAGAAGTATTCTTACTCCACTATAACGTCCACTAAACACCCGCTGTAACCTCAAAAACCATCCACTAAGCCAACCATTAAGCCACCCACTGGCAAAAAGCAAAAACTGGATTTTTCTTCGTCTTTTCGGAACACCACAAGATTTGAACACGAGACTTACGGATTTAAATCAAGTTGATAAGCTTACGGTTACGGCATTACGGATTTACGGATTTACAGTCACGATCGTGGGCTGTTTAAATTAATTGATAAATGGCTGTAGTGGTTAAGTTACAGTGGTATGGGGAACTAAGAAGCATTTTGCATTTGAGAAGCATTCTTGATTTGAGAAGTTATCTTTTCTACAGAAGGCTTCCAGCGCTTGACAAGGGGCCAGAAGGCTTCCTGCCCCACACTATTTCCCACTATGGTACTTTGTGGCCGCGTATTCTTGATAGGCAAAGTTGGAACGCCTTGGTTCGAGAACGTTAGACCCTACTGTGGCTTGCTGTAACCAATTGCGGAAAACAGTTGAAGAAACTTGGCTTGGACGAAGCGCCTTCGTCATTCTTTGTTGAAGTGAACCGTAATATGCTATAAACCCACTTGGTGAGAAGTAACTAATCTGAAACGGAAAGATATTACTCACGTGACTAAATATCAAAACCAAGTGGGATAGGCCGACATGGCATTGCCCGCCTCATATATGCAAGATAACTCATAAACACAACTCACTATTGCACGGCCAAAACAATAAATCATCGTAAACTATGTACCTGAGCTGGCCATATGCCATCGAATCATTTGCGGATTGCTTGCCCGATCGAAATCATGGTTTAGTTCCTCCCTCCAATAGCGTGCAAATACTGAAGTCTCAATGCCGTTACAAGCAGGCCGCCAGCGTTCTCCTAGCACTATCGATAGATCCTCTTCCACGAACTTGAGGGAAAGGTCTATGGTGATCTTTCTTCTCTGTCAATTGATAAAGTCTGTGCTTATCACGCATGATAAATATTACCAAGAGCTCATATCAATTGTTTTCGTGTGATGACTCAAGAATGTAAGAATTTTCAATACAACGAGGACGTCTGAGCACTCACTAAACAGGATCAAGTCAGCGAAGGCAACGGCGCGTTTACATGGTTAAGACATACCATAACTTAGTGAAGCCACGATACTTTCGTCTCTGGACCTTTGGCTGCCACCACCGTTTGTGGTATCGTTTCGAGAAGCAGACCGGAGCCATACGAGGTTAAAGGTGCCGATAATCCCGTCTCCTCCTTCATGATTTTTGACCTTTCTCCATTCAAATGTTTCGCGAGGAAACTTTCCCTCGCGATGTATCTCAATGTTAACAGAGAAAGTAAACGCCACCGTGCCGTCAGGAAGTGTATGTGCGTGCATGGTTCCTGCAGTCAAGGGCAGGGAGCCTCGCTTAGGAACAAGCCGGGGCAGCCAGATATCACTCTTGATGCTGAAACTGTATGGCCTCGACTGAAAGTAGGATTGATAACCATTGGCAGCAATTACAGGTCTTTTTTGCTGGTACCATCGTAGAGAATGATACCAGGCTTAAGAAACAGAGGATATTTTGCGCTGTAGCCGAGTTGCACTTCCGCCAAGAAAATTGGATTATTCAGATCATCGTCGAACAAATGAATCATTTTTGACATCATATTTGACTGCTTGCCAGTTATGATCGATGGAATTGGAACAGGCGAGTGCGATTGGGTTTTTTTCACCGTGGTATCACCATCATCGCAATCAGAATCCTCGTAATTCTCGACGCGAGAAGCGATGCTCAGGTCACTTGTAGGTTTGGTATAATTCTCGCCGGGGCCACCTGCGCCTTGAAGCGTCTCCTTCGGCCGGTCCATTATGAAGGCGATATAGATGGGTTTCGTTCGAAATTTTGACAAGATTAAACAAATACCGATGGGAAGGCCAACATTGCCGCTGTGTGTAAATACCGTAGAACGTTGTTGGGGAGTACTTGGGCAGAGTTAGAGAAGGAACAAACAAGATCAAGTAACGTTCTCTTGGCATGGCCAGCACCGTCTTATGCAAGCGTTTTGAAGAATAAGCGATCCAACGCCGAGCCATATTGCGGATATGGGAACGGTTTTCTAAAGTTAGCAATCAGGCTTACCTGTTTTCCTTTTGCCACCCTGCATTATCGCGCCCTGATTTGATGACACTCATGGCGTCATTCACCCTAAGTATTATTTAGGTATAAGCGAGATGAATTGGCAAATCCGAAATGATCCGACATCGTTTGGAGAACCTGTAGCATAACGTTAACACCACCGCGTCAGCTCATTGTTCTCTGCAGGTTTGCGGCTCGGACTGGACCACTTTTATTTTTCGGGACCGATGTGGCCCCGGCCTTGCCAACTCGGGTTCCTCACTCGATAATAACGCACATCCATCACTACTTTAAACTCGGTCCTAATATACTCGTCCGCTATATCCGGTGGGAATATCGCAAGCGCCTCTTCGAAAGAATGTACACGTTGGTCGTCTACCCTTTTTGAGAGACTAGCATTTTGCAGTGTTGGAAATACTCGGAGAGCAGGCAGGAGTGTATGGGAATGCTCCATCTAAGACAGCCCAATGAAGGCTGATGACATGTTTCCTGGCTATCAAACCCCACGGGACACTATACCATCAACGGAGAGGACACAGACATTTATGCCTCAATTAATAACCTAGGATGTTTCTTTCATCACGCTATAATCAAACAAGATCTTCTAAACCTCTGATCTCAACAACCATTCAGCCATGCGCGCATCGCAGACGTATCAAACTTGACATCGATAAACTCTGCCCTCGAGTCACCATCAATATCCGCAAAGTGCACGCCCCTTCCGCTGCCACCAACCCCGGTGGTAATCCTCCCTTGCGGAAGCCAAACCACCTTGGTCGCATTGAGCCCGTTATCAGGCCCGCCCGCACTCAGCCACAGCCGCGCACTGCCATCTGTATGCGACAGGGCTATGTAGTCGGCTCTTCCGTCGCCATTGATATCGGCAAAGACGGTGCTATCTCTCTTACCGGCCCGGGCCCATCCCCATCGACGGGGTCCTTGAGCCAGCCGTCATTGTAGGCCTGAAGAACGCCGCCCCACCAGTGCTCAGCCATGGCGAAGTAGCCAATGTCGTTGGGGTGCAGCCCGTCGGCCAGGGTCTTCTTGGTCACCATCAGGTCCATGTACATGATTTGAACCTTTGCGCCGGCGTCGGCACGGCTGCTCATCGCGGCCTCGATGCCGTTGTTATAGACGTTGGTCCGGTTCTGCCTGGCTGCGTCGTCCGCGGGTGTGATGCGCGCGACGAGCACCGTGGCGTCGGGGCACTTGGAAATGATCTTGTCCACCAGGGCAACGAGACGATCCACGGCTCCCTGCGCGTCGGCATCGCTGCCCATGTCGTTGGTTCCCGCGTGCAGCAGGACAACGTTGGGTCGTTGCCCGAGATTCTGGTCTGCGTAGCTGGAGATCTGGTCGATGGTGGCGCCGTTGTGACCCTCGTGGTCTGCATCGCCAACGTCACCCGAGCGGACGGACCCGATCATGTCGACCTGTTGGCCGTAGCTGGTGGTGGCGAGCTCGTAGAACCTGCTGCGGTATCCGGCGTTATCGGTGCTTCGAAAGCCGTTGGTGATGGAGTCGCCCAGCGCCAGCACACGCAATTGCGGGAGGTTCGCAACCCAGTGACTCAAATGCAGGTTCATAACCTCTTGGAAGCCGGCGGTTTTGGGGTGGAAAGCCTTGGTGAGCCAAAGAGGCCAATTCCACTCGCCGACAGCGTCTGGATCGTCCCCGGCAGCATCCACTAGAGCCTTCACACATCTCCAGGCCTCGACGGCGTCATCGGCGTCGGGATTGCAGGTCACCGGATTCTCTTGGACAGACAGATCCGACTCCTGCACAAATCCATCAGATCTAATGCCTAAGAACCATACGTTCGGGTTGTCAAACCCCGGCTTGTTGCCAGTAAACTTCTCACACAGGCGGTGTCCCTCGAACGTGTTGTCGTAATCAACAATATGTAGATAGCCTCGGTAATGCATCCCTTCTTCCGAGTTGACGAAGGCCCTAGCATGGGCTCGTATGGCATTGTTGGCATCGCGGACCAGTCTGTTTGTTTGTCTGCGCAGTGTCTTGGTCAATCTTTTCGTAAAAAACAGCCAGGGGCCGCCAATGTTTATGTTGTCGCAGCCATCCGTCTCTGCATTGAAGAAGGCTGGGTACAGGGTGTGGAGTGTGTTGGGCACAAATTTCGATTGCCCCGCTGGGACATTCTTGAAGTGATTGTCGTCGTAGATCCGAGACCAAGCGTGCCATAGCAACCTGCGAAATGTTTGTTTCCCATCCAGGTCATGGATGAGGTTCTCGGCATTCTTCAGTGCCTTGGTGCATGACCCAAGCCCCAAGAGACAGCTTTGAGCATAATCAGCAAAACCAAGGTCATTGCCGCCGATGGACAAGGATAGCCACATGTTGCTGTCCTGCTCTCCATAATCAATCAGTGGTATCTGGTACTTCACCATTTCCTTGGCCTTGTGGCCGGTACATGAGAGGAACTGGAAATTGCCAAGCATGACGTTATGTTGTGCATCCAACTGAGCTACAGCCGAACCATTGGACCGGAAGCACTTGCTGTTGCCAAATTCGGCGTCGTCGTACGCTACGCCCGCTCCGGGTCCAGCCGAATATGAGTCGCCGATGGCCGTCCAATGCCCCGGTGCAGGTTTGTCAACCCCTGCTGCCTGCCGAGACGAGAGCCTGAGCTCCCTGAAGCCATTCGAAACGCCGCCCGCTGATACGTGCTCAATGTCAGTTTGATCATCCGCAGATAAAAGCACTTTTTTCCAACATACCGCACTGGCTTAGCAGGCTTAGAGCACCCAAGACAAGCACTCCATCTCGCGCTATCATACACCTCATTCTCACCTGATCTAATATATAAAGGGAGACCTAAAGACAAGATGTTTGAGGAAGCACTGAAAGATGTCTGAGCTGATCTCTAGTCTACAAAAGAGAGGTGATGAAGAGCGACTATATACCCACGCAGGTGATCTGCGGTAGGTAATCACTAATTCAGTACGACAGTCATCTCTGCGTTCTTGACGAGAAGTAATTAGGCCGAAATGGATGGGAAGACGAGCGAGAACTGCGTGACAAGCCAATAATGATGTGATTCAGCGACTATATTATATACCTTCACGGTATGTGGCTCTTCTGTTCATGTGCATTGCTCTTCAATATTCTCACTGTCCTGAAAGAAGAACAAAGTCATTTTATTCGACCATTGTCAATCCAGAAAAGGGACATCCTTCGAAGGGCATGTTCATAAGTCGGAAAACGCTTTTACGGACTTTGCATACCGTAGCAGAGAATGGTGGTTTTGAACAATGATTATTTTCTACACAATGGCTGTACAATATTACAACAATTTCTTCGTCACACTATTATTTTGTGGCAAACAATCATTGTGTAGCCACTAATTTTCTTCCTAGGTAGGTTGACTGAGCAGAGGGTATGGATCTTACGACATGCTGATTTTCGCATTGCTTACTCTAGTCCCTGCATGCTAGACCTTCTACACGAAACGATTAATCGCAAATTGACATTGTGCCACTCTTCGCACAAAGCACCTCACACCGCTGGCCTTCTTTCATTCTCTCCCTTCCTCTCGTTTTCATTTCCAGTCCTCTCCACAAAACTCCGGCTCATCTTCCACGATGCCTCCTTCCCTTCGGACGCGGACTTCCAATCGCACAACGTTGACACTTCCCGGCCCTGCCCAAGCAACATTCACCTTTCTACCCGACGAGAACAAGGTCAAAGTCACCATCCCACCAACATCGACATGGTCCATGCGAGCCCACTGGCACGACCGGCCCGAACTCTGCGAGGACATCTCTATTCTACCGGGCGGTTATTTCCAAATCTATCGCTCCACAGGTGTATATGCGAACTACACCACCAGCGGCATACACGGACTGAGCGTCAAACTACGACCTGGAGAGCGGTGCGGCTGGGGTTTCCGCTCGGCATCTTCGCAAGTCCGCAACGCCGATCTAGAAGTCTTGATATCGCAGCATCTGTCAAAAGCCACGGAGGAGGCATGGCGCAACATTGTCTCGGCGACACTCGACGCCGAGCTGTGGCCAGAACTGGCTAGCACGCCACTTCCCTTGAAGGTCAGCCTTCGTTTGCTCCGCAAAACTCCATTCGTTGGTCAACGAATGTGGACGAGGATCGTCCGGGCAGTCTTGTGGATGCAGATCCTGCTCATCTGCCAACGACACGAGCTGGACATCTGGCTTGGCGAGCTGGGCATCTGCTGGTTCTGGGCTGCCTGGCGCAATGAAGTTGCACCAGAATGGGCGCAGAGCATCGAGTGGAACTCTGCCGAGTGGCTGACCTGGCTGGTGATGCTGGTCGTTGGGGCTTTGGGGAGGGGGGTACTGGGACTGAAGGATGGGTATGATGAGTATTACCGAGGGACTGGTACAAACGCTGCTAGTGCAGGGTTTGGGGATGAGAAGTTCGGTAACAATTGCTAAAGGATCCTCTTTCTTATCTTAGTTTGTAATCGAGTCCTGTCTTGGTCAGTCAACAACAAATCTCGTACAAATGACTTCGTATGAACAAATCTATTTCCATTTTAGGTAGAACGTTTGCTATATCACTTTAAACGACGACATGCATATATTGTGCTTACAAGGTGATTCAGGTGATCTGTGAACCACAGCTGTGGCTGATGCACTGGTACAAAACCTGCAAGTCTGCGCTATTCCATTGGCCGAGAACGCAAGAGCGGATCTGTGACGTTCGTCTAAAAACCCACCTATTTCACGGAGGACTAGGACATGGCTGATGAGACCGTTCACCACCTTCTAGCATTGAAAATCTCCAAGCTAGATGACACAGTATTTTGGACAGCTAGATGATACCAAACGCCAATGGATGTTGTATCACATCTGCAAGATTGTGCAGTATTACACCACTCTTGAGTCTTGTCTCGTTGATGTGACACAAGTGGCTGGAGCCTGTGGCTATCCGCGTACAGCCTCATAGAGGCTGTTGGTTTACTGGTCGAATCACTCATCATTAGTAACGTTGGTAGCAGTACATCAAGCACACAATATCAATCGCGAAGGAAGCTGCCAGCGCGGATACAACTTCGGTCACAGATACCTTTGAGTCAACTGCTGTCCAACTATAACTGCAGTAAAGATGGAAGGGTGATTGAGACAATTATACAAGAAGCTGCAACTTAACTCTTTTGGTGCACCAAGATATCACCATATCTTGTCGTCTTCCAGATCATTTTTAAGCTAGGCGGTGCCCAGTGAGTGTACAGCAATAATGCTTAGTCCATGCTTGATGCACGCGCGGGGCGGGGGCCCTGAATCCCGATAAGCCCAATGGTGGTGGTCAATCCAAATCCGAGTTCGATTTAGTTCGATTATGATTCGCCGCCCAAGCGAGGACAGAATCTGTCCTTGTGTTACCAGATTTTGGAGTCGGAGCCCAACGATTGGTAGAAACTTCGGTGCGCATTGACTTCAAAATCTGCCTCGGCGAGAGCCTCACGGGAATCTGCTTACGCTTCAACCCAGACTGAAGAAGTCAGTACCTGAAGATATCTATGTTGCAAATCCATCTGTGCCCTACGTCTCACGGACCAGATTCTGTGCGCAATACTCTCATATATCCTTGCTTCAGGTAATCAGCTTTTCGACCATAATTGAACTTGTTTTGGTCTCTCAAACCGAGATCGCTCATCCGACAATAATCGTCCTCAGCTACCTCTTGTCCCCTCTTTACTATCCCAAACATAAGCCCAGTTCTCCATGCAGTATTTTTACAGCACTACCTGTCCATTCAGAGTCAAGAATGCCGCCACTGTCTTCTATCCAGTTTCAGTTGGCGCAATACAAAGAATGGCTCATCGAGCTCCGGAAAGATTCTCGCATGACACTTGGCAAAATCAAGATTGAGTTGTACAACCAAAAGGGCATTACGGCAAGGTGCGTTAATCACAGCTTTATGTTGGAGCAATGATCGCTCACGAGATATAGCCTGCACCAATTGGAAACATACTTCAAGAATTTAGGGCAACGCAAGAATCTTTCGCGGCCCGAATGGAGACTCGTGTTCCGTGCTCTGGCATCGCAGAAAGCAGTTGGTCGCACGTGTGAGGTCTACATGAGTGGAAAGTTGATCTCAGGCGACAGTCTGCAGAAAAAACGAAAGAATGCAAAACCTGAGGCTGCAATAGCCACATGCCTTGCTGATGCCGGTACGTGTGTTGGTAATTCTAGCGCTAATACTTTGAATTATTAACAATTTTTATTATAGAACAATTCGTCAGACAGCTTCCTGATGGAGTTAAAATCAAATCGCATCATTCCTTGAGCTTATCAACCCCCGGCCCGCAGCAAGGTGTCGATGCTCTGCCAATGTCGCACACACGCCCTGGTTCCAACCCGGGTGCTGAGCCAAGCATACGGCAAGACTCATTTTCTGTCGACAATGACCTTGTCCTCGGACTGCATGCTACGAGCTCTTATCAGAGTACGAGCCGTAGCTCTATTGTCCCTCATCATTCGAATACTAGCACAACAGATGCGATTCAGCTCATGAGCTGTCCAGTCAACACAGATACAAATTTTGGCGCGGCATCTCAGTGGGATATGGATTTCATGACAGCTACTTCTGTACTTTCTTTCAACCATGGAATCATGAGACCTGGTTCACCGGAACTATTTCAATATTCGTTCAATGATCCATATGTGTTGGACGACTGGAATCAAGAGATTGCACACTTGAATTTCCATTCGCATTCACACATCCCAGGTACGGTTTTCATTCGCCGAAAACGTTCATCTGTTCAGAATCTTTTTCTGCTATGAGAAATTGTGCAGTCATTTCCTGGAGCTAATATTAGTCACAAGATCGCAGAAACTGGGAGCGCCTATACAGGGACATGCCTATGTCACTCAGATGTGATCGTTATAGTGTCAGTTCCGTCGAATCAGCTCGAATCCTCCGAAAGTTCATCTCCGTTGTTTCTGTACGCAGAGGAAGTAGGCTTGGTGAGCCAATTCCAACCGCCGAGGAGATCATAGACATCCTACAATCCCAGGTATCTATCGAGGATATGGCAGAGGCGATATGCGAGCCATTGGCAGTCGTTGGTACCAACTCTCCACTGACTGATCCATTTGCTCAATTGATTCTCTTCTCAGTTGTCAACAATTTCTCTGGTATTCAAAAAATCCCAATGGAATCGATCATGAGATTCATTGATCATCATGAGTCTTCCCGCTCCACTATTTTGAGATTGCTTAGAAGTGGGACCTCTACAATCTTCTCAACTGCATTAGCGGAAAACTTGTTTAAGGCTGCTGTTGAAGCTGGTGATGTGAAGACTGCCCACGACCTTCTTGCGTTGAAGTTATTCGCGCCAGATGACATACCGTTGGGAACGCACCCGTTTCGCAGATCCGCTTTGGAAAAGGCGTCAGAGATGCGCCATTTCGAGATGATGAGACTGCTCTTACATCATGGTGCCGATGTGAACAAAACCCACATGGACAGAAAAAATCCCATGTTGCCGCGAGGAGCTCTTGAATGTGCCGTCAAGCTATGGGGCGAGTATGATATACTTGATCCCAAGATTCTGGATCTGCTCCTTGACAATGGTGCAACCGTCCGCGCTGAGCTCGCAGAGGCTGCAATTCGATGGGGAGACAAGTCCCTGATAGAAAAGCTTATATTCAAGCTTCCTCCATCGGAGCACGTGCAATGCTTCTCCTCTGACATGCTCCTTGATGCCACGGAATATCTTAGAAATGACTTGAGTTTGGCTATCATTCGGCAGATCATACAAACTTGCCAAGAGACACATGAAAGCACGTGTATTATTTCAAACCAAGATCTTTTGGTTGGGGTAATGATCTATGCCGCGAAAAGAAAGAATTCTGCGCTTATCCGACTTCTAAGTCCTCACGCCGGTCAGGAGGGCCTAGACCAGGCGCTCACAGCAGCAGCGCGATCTGGAAGCCATAAGCTGATACACATGCTTCTTGAGAGTGGTGCAAATTGCGATGGACCAGCATGTGTCATCGATGGCGATGGTCACAGTCCGCTGACTACTCCTCTAGCAGAAGCGATTCGAAATGACGACACTGCGCTTGTGCGCTTGTTTACGGAGAAGGGCGCTTGGAACCAGATCGGAGAGCCCGGTCGCCTGCAGGCGATATTAGAGGTGGTTGCTGAGTCTGATGATGATTTCTACCTTGATAAGATTCTACAAATGGTCCCAGATCCAAATCCTAAAGCTCTTACACGACCACTGAGCATCGCTATCAGGAAACGCCATGAAGGAATGGCGATGAAACTGCTCGGCGCCGGTGCGGACGTGAATGCATCTCCCCGTTCTACCTATCCCAACGACAGGACCTGGACTCTCATGCGTCGTCTCTTCAGCCAGCCTCGTCGCGTTGCTTCCCCGCCACCCCATTTCCAACTACTTTACCCTCTTCAGGAAGCTTTGTCGATCAAGAGCCCCTCTATTGTCTGGGCCATCCTAGATTGCGATGCGAAACCAAGTCATATGCGCGTCCTCGGGGATTTATCGATAGACCCCATGAGCACCCTGGAGCAAGCGACTGAATGGGGAGATCAGCAAATTATCAAGGCGCTCTCCCTTATGGGTGCAAGCGTAGATAATCAATTGGACGGCTCCCTTTCAATTGCCATAAAAAATGGCGAAAAATCACTCGTTGATCTTCTCATCAGTCTGGGTGCTGATCCGAACGGCCATTCCCAGCGGCACGGGTCTCCGCTTGCTGCTGCTGCCCAGGTCGGAGACATAGAAACAGCCACGTATCTGCTTGAGCATGGGGCAGACCCAGCAGACCAACAAGCCATTCTCAATGCTTTCACTCATGCTCAGGACGTATTAGAATTGGTACTTCAGAGGCTTCGCAAACGATACCCAAAAGGGCGCTCAGGCTTCGGTGGCGAGGTACTACGGGATGCGCTTGATGGGCACAACGACGCCATCTTAGCCCTTTGTCTAAATGCTCGTTTCGACGTTAATCACTTCGTCACTACACCCGGACAACAAAAATGGTCCTTTGAGATGCTTACCCCACTTGGCTTTGCTATCAGGAAATACCGTGGCGGTCGTCTGGATCTTATTTCTAGGCTTCTCGATGCAGGAGGTGATGCGAACTTCCCAGCATTCCAAGATGAATGGCGTCAGGTCTCAGAAACAGCTTTTTTGCAGGTCATCGAGATTAAAAGTTTGCCTTTAGTAGAGTTGCTGATCTCTAAAGGCGCAGACGTCCACAAAGAGGCGAAGTTGGGTCTTAAACGTACGCCTTTGCAGAAGGCATGCGAGGTCCAAAGTTGTAGTATTGTTGACCTCCTCCTCACGCACAACGTCGATGTGAATGCCCCCCCCGGCTGCCCGTGGAGGTGCGACTGCACTTCAGCTTGCTGCCAAAGTAGGTTCAACCAGGATTGCAAAGCGTCTGCTGGACTCGGGTGCCGATGTTGATGCCCCAGGTGCGCAGGTTCAGGGACTCTCTGCCATCCAGTACGCAGCAAAATATGGTCGGCTTCACATGATACAAGTGCTATTCAACGCTTCAGGTGCAAGTTTTACTGCAGAGAAATGTCAGAGCGCGATTACGTTGGCACAAGACAACGGTCATCTAGCTTGCGCTGCTCTGCTGATGGATCTCTCATCTAGAAGTCAAGGTTTTATCGAGTCGTAGCGGATGAGAACATGGTGGATGATCGGAACGGGTCCAAATGAATGACTACACAATATTGCTCGTTATTTAATTGTGCTTTATAATGCCTTATAGTTTGATTCTGATATATCGCTTATGGTTTCTCGCTCTATAAACAGGTTGCAAATGATTCTTAGGGTGTACATTACAAGCACATATCCAGTGGAAACTTTGAAATCGTGATGACTTATATATAAAAGAATGGTCTCTCGATGGACTAATGATTAAATAAAAAAATTGGTTTTTTTCCACGTGCATTTCATTGAGGACATTAATCTTCTAGCTTCTTGCTTTTAGACATATAGTGAGTAAACATAGGGAACATAAGGTTAAATGAGGGTGATATATTCCTAGTGTAGAATGGCTTTACCAGCCGAATGAATTTCTCTCCGTAAAACGGGATAACGAGAAATAAGTTCATATCTACCGCAACGTATGAAAGAAAGAAAGAAAGGGAAATAAGTTCCCATCGTACAACGACTACAAATACCCACTAAAAATAAAATAATAAATATTTAAACCTTTACTTAATGTCGTCGCAAGGTTCGTCTTCGTCGCTAAGTGGGTTTCCTATTAATATAACACTAAATATCTAGCGATACGAAGTATCCGGGGATTAAACCCGTGCCGTCTGTTTTATAAGTATATAGCGACTTTTAAATCATGCGCAGCAGCGCGAACCGGGCTCATAATTATCGCACCAGACCATTATCTAAATTAAATATCAAGCTCTACACTAAGAATTAGCCTAATAGTAGTTATAGTACGGCGCAATACATTTCAACTAATACAATTTCAAGTTAACAAGTCACAGACAGATATGGCGTCACTGAGACCACTCCCACAAGACCCGTTGCATCAGTAGCATTGAGAGGCTCGGAACCAATCACGCCGGAAAGCTCCAGAAGCAGCGGGGGTTGGCCCGCGCTTTTGAGATCATCAAGGATGGTCCGGAGATAATTCCACATGGTGGTCGGCACGACAGCCTCGACCCTGTTCTCGCCCTCGGTCAGGTACGGCGTGATATCAGCAACGGCGTTCGTTACGTCTAGTGGGGGCAGCGGCTGGCCGTTTATGCTGGCCCGGGCGTAGTGCAGTAGTCTGCCAAAGGAGATAACCGCGCCAAGAGTCGCCGTCTCATCACTGGTCGTATTCGACAACGGGGGCCATATAAACGATGCGCTGTAGTAGCCTAGACCAGACGAATTGACTAGTTCGGGGATGTCGCCCCACGACAGCAGCTCGGGGAGGGAGTGTGTTGTGTTTCTCTTACTGGTAGGCGAGGTTTCGGAGAGGTTGGCTGGAGCCGCCCAGTGCTCGGCAGTCAAGTTCCAGTTCGTAATGCTGAAAGCTGCCGGAACGTGGGAACCGCCGAGAGCGCAAATACTTCCATCAGACATGGTGGCCTCAGTGTCTGCTGCTGAATTGGAAACCTGCACGCTGACCGTGCCGTCGCCGGCTGTTGTGGCTGAAGCGGCATTGTCGGGTACGGAGACAATGTGATAGTCGAAGTTATGTGAAGTCTCTGCGTCGCTGAATAGAATGATGACTGTCTGATTACCAGATAGACTCAACGGAATCGTTGTTGTAGTGTTGCTTCGCTCATAGATGAGTACTGGACTTTGCGCGCCCGTCCATGGATTGAGAAAGAATGGCATTCTGGTGTCTTTGACTATAACACTGCCTCGAGATCCAACCAAGTCAGCATACACAAAGACGTAGCTGCTGGCGTTGAGCTCTCGCAATGTTGTATACCAAGTGCCGTTCGTACTAACTCCAACACGAGGACTGAGTCCTAGCTCAGTGATTTTATTGGCGAGCTCTCCTTCTCCGGCGGCGTAGACATTTGAGTAACTTTGCAACGTCTCGAGCTCTTGTTGAAATACTGTCAAGTTCGCATCCTGTCCGTCGGGATAGAGATTGAAGTTGTCTCCCACGAAGACGACTGGGAGTCCTGCGCTGGCGAGCCGCTTAAGCGAGGCAACCGCGCTCAGCGATATATTTGCTGCTGATTCAACGATCAAGGCTGTCCAGGCCGGCCCATCGGATGCAAGTACGCCATCTTTGACGACTGCCTGCGAAGACTCTAAATTATTCGGGTTGAGATAGTTGTACGACCAGCCTAGAGTATCTTCAATCAGATCTTTCACCTTGTATTGGGTGTTTCGGGATTTGGACAACATACCAGCATCGACCAAGTCGGAAGAATTATAGCCGATTCGAGTCTTTGAGGTCGCGGACTCCTTGTTGTATATCGCAATATCTACTTTGGCGGTGCCTGACTGCTGGATATACTGAACTCTCGATATGTAGTCAATAGCCTCACGCATTCCGTGATCCCAGGCAGGCTGTCGGGGTGAATAAGGCTCTGAGAATAGATAGTTGAAGGGCGTGTGACCGGGCCAGGTCGAAAAATATGCTCCGGTGTACGACTGGCCGTGCATGACATATCGGTTGACGCCCGACGCAAATCCGCGGTTAGCGGAGAACAGCAGATCGGGGATGTGATAGCGGTACGCCTCACGGCGACGGCGCCGAGCTCGTTGGAGATTATGTTTTTGCCGGAGAGATGTGCCGGCCCCGCAAATTGGCGGTAAGAGTCGATTGAGTCTTTGAAAAAAAGGCTCTCGGTCTCTGGGGCATCTACGGAGCTGATAGAGTCCTCCATATCCATGGGGAGGCCATATGCTGGTTGGACAGACAGTTCGAGGCCCAGGTCCCCATTGATCCAAGACTTGAGCGCCGTTAGATACTCCTTGTAACCCTCGCTCAGCGTCTTGCGGTACGCGTTGACGTGTTCTACACCCTTAGTGTCCGTATCGAGAATGCAGTTGAATGGACCGGGGGCGTCGTTGGTATCACTGATGCTGTTTTGTTTGTATGCCAGTAAAGGAAGCACCGGCTTGATGCTGTAGCCATTGAGCTCCTGAAACCTTTCGGGCAGGGTGCTCGACCATGATATATTGGAGAGAAACTCAGGGCTGTCCTCCCAAACTGATCTTCGTTAGTATCAATGACGCAGTCAGATGTGAATGTCAAATAACATACGATACCTTCCCACTTTCTTCAGTTTCTCGCGGATGCCGTCCTGAAGAATGTGTTCCTTCCAGAACTTGGCAACGGTCTCGGCTCCGCGTGCGGAGTAGTGGTCAACCACGTATGACCCATCGTCAAATATGGAGTTGTGGACTGAGCTGTCGAATACGAGATTCCCATGGCCGGACAGCCTCTGGTAGAAAGTGAAGACTCTGTAATGGGAGCCAGTCTCGGCGACAGGAAATGTGAGGTTAATTACGCCGTCTGCGGATACAAGCTCGGTCCACTCAGTCAAGCTGTCCGCTGACAGTATTAAATCCTCGTATGTTACATTGGTTGAACCGCTGATTCCGGCTCCTCCGTATGAGACGGTCGTATGTGAAGTAACCAACGCCGAGACTAGGGCGACGAGTTCGCCTGTGCCCCAGCCAGGAATAACACCAGTATACAATCCGTCGGCTTGAACTGTATCGTTGAAAGGAACCTTTATTTGATCAGCCATGTGTGCATTATTAGCTGGAATATATGCTCCTTACCAAGTCCCATTGCAAACCTTCATCATCTGGATGTGCGGGCACCCCCTGACCTTGGTTTGGACCCAGTGGTATGTCGATTTTCAGCCCATGTTTCTCGTGTGCATCGAGTGCAACTGATAGAATATTGTGAAATGCAGCTGTGCCAAAGTTATAGGTGGACCAATTGGTACCAGCAGGCATACCACCAAGCTGCCCGCCATATTCGAAGAATGGGAGCAGCTCGATACCACCGGCTCCGACATATGCTGCGCCACTGATATCGTCCCTGACAATGCTAGCATCCACACCTGCATCGGGAAGCCAATACCGGAACACCGGACGCGAAATTGGCGCCGGATTCAGGAAGCTTCCGGCATCTGTTGATGTGTTGCCATGGGAGCACGCGCTCGATGTGCACAGAGGCACAAGGCTCAAAGCGCACAAGAAATGCGCCAAACTTGATTGCAGAATCAACATTTGACGACGATTTCCCTGGTTAGCGCTCAGCCACGATCATGTGCTGGGTGCGCCGTATCAGAGGCAGTATGATCGAATCGATGGGTTGACCATTGATGTGGGGGTGCTGGAGATGCCCACTAAAAGTGGCTGTGGAGGCTTAGCTTAGAGTGGCTTTATAAGTCCCTTCGGGACTTATAAGCCTTTGTTTTTCGTTGCGTTTAGCATACAGGACCACCATCCATCGTTTTCTCAATCAAGACTGTTCCCATATATTTTAAGATTTTATATGCTATTTGATCAAAAACCACATAAAGGCCACAGCCTTACGGCTGTCTGTCTTAGGTGGGGTTGGTTTGGTTTGGTTTTTGTTCCCCATCTCACCATTGATATAATTGAACACCATCGCGACAGATCTGAGAGTATTCTGGTTATTAACATCGGTCTCCACGCGAGACATCTTGAATATGTCGAGTCTCGGGTCAATGCACTACGAGTGTAATGCTTGGCAGCAACCTCAATGGCTACTGCTAACCGTCATGGAGTGAATAGTATGGGGTCGCGACCTCATTGGTAATGGGCGATTTGAATATCTAGGGTGAGCGGGCATTTTCCGGGCTGTCTCCAGGGATTCCCCAGAGATTCATGGATTCCCCAAACTTGGCACACTAGACTATTGACCGGAATTTCCGGGTTGGCAGTATAGTCAGAAGAATTATACCCCAAAAACATGTTACCGGTAATTGTGTTTCCCGAGAAAGTACATTACCCCACATTACAATTAAGATGGCTGTAAAGGCGAGCCCCATGCTTGTTTTTGGTGCGGTAGTAATTTGTGAAGATTTGAGAATGTGTAAATGTGAAGAGAGTATTAAGGTTGCTATGGACCATGAAACTGAAAGGACTAGAGACACTCCCGGGTCATGCGGGGGCCGCTGCAAAGCGCCTGTCATGTTGGTTGTAGGTTACGTTGGCTGTTTGTATGCAAGCAATGCACCCAGTACAAGGATCACTTGGCTATGCTATGATGAACCCTTATGCCCAGTATAGTATGCAAGGTAGTCTTAATACCCAAGTCATTGTATACACACACTTAACACAAGCCATTTTGCCGGAAGGGAAGAGCTGATAAAACGGTATTCACATCAATGAGTTGGCCTTCCTACCACCAAGCGCGAAAGTTATGATGAAGAAAAGGAAAGCGTATCTTAACGTGCAGCTCGCTTACCATGCCACCTTTTAGTTGGTGGGGTAGCTTTCCATGCATAACGCTATGCGTAACTTTGGGGGTGGTACGGGTATTTGAGCGCTATGCAACACTTCTTGTTCGCTAAAGCTGGCTGAGCACCGCCTGCTGCCAACCAAGTTCGAAAGCATGACCGTTTCGAACCAAAGCAACCATCCAATAATGCATTTGGAAAAGTGTCCCAAAAAAAAAAAAAAAAAAAAAACGGACCTAGAGCACCTAGCATTAATATTGACTACCTGGCATAATTTTAACAAATCAACAAAGCTAAATATTAAACGCTGAACACAGCCGAATATAGCAGTGTACTTCCGTACCAACAAGCCCCAGCCTTTGGTGAGATCACTGCCAATCGTTTAGTATTCCCTGAGATTGATCCGAGATTCAATCTATCGAAGTAACTCCCTTTTGTGCATGTCCCAACGGCGCCAACATAATTGCAAGACGGGATAATACTTATCCCGATACCCCGCCTTTTAGCAATAGAGAATGGGTTTTTGCCTTTTATCTATTCCCCTATCCACTTATTACCCAATTATTATCATGGTGACCTATAGCAAGCACTTCATTCCGCTTGAGTCCAATCCCGATGTTTTCAACCACTTGATTCATGACTTGGGCGTCTCAAGTGTCCTACGCTTTCATGATGTCTTGTCGCTCAGTGAGCCCGAAATCCTTGCATTTATCCCTCGACCAGTCTTAGCACTTGTCATTGCATTCTCTACCCCTCCCCAGTACGAAGATCTCCTGGTTGAAGACAATGCGTCGACGCCTGAATACACGAAAACTGGAGAAGACGAATATGTCATGTGGTTCAAGCAGACAATCAACAATGCGTGCGGACTTTACGGCATTCTTCACGCAGTTGCAAATGGATGTGCACGAAACTTTGTGGGTATGTTTCTCAAGTAACAAACTATCGTTACGCATCCGAATAATATCGCGTCAGTGCTGAGGAGTAGCGCGGATATGACAAAGCCCGAGTCCCATCTTTCTGGCTTGTTGGAGAGATGCACTCACTTGAATCCATCAGACCGTGCGTCTGTCCTTGAGAACGATGCGCTGCTTGCATCCAAGTATCATTCGGCAGCAGTCCTTGGAGATACAGATGCACCTACAGACCCCGAGACTGAGGTAGACTTTCATTATGTCTGCTTCGTCAAATCCCACCGTAATAACAATTTGTACATCATGGACGGGGATCGGAATGGGCCGATCAATGGAGGTACCATGTCCAACGACGACCTCCTCTCAGAGCAAGGAATCCAGGCTGTCATGGATTTCATCCAGCAGCATGATGACACCGGTCAATACAGCTTGTTGGCGTTGGCCCCAAGCCCCGATGTTACATTTTGAGGATGCAGGCATACAGAGCGTATTGTTGTCTTCCAACTCATTTTTCAGGCTACAGTTAGTCTCTGCGTGCTTTTTCATTTGAGCATTCGAAAGAATATTCCGGTTCGCAGCCGCTCAGACTCGCACTCGTCCAGTCTGCACGACGTGATAAATACAATACGCCTCGATGAGCCACTGGACCTCCGGAGTTCGCATTATTGTTGAAAGGGAGGTCCAAAGCAAACTGGCCATCATCAGCACGCGAATGCTAGTTTAGATCGTCGCCTCCAAATGTTCAACACTAACCATGTCAGTCTCGTGATTATTGGCGCAGGTGGAGAAGAGGTTTACCACTATCAGCGGATGGATTCGTTAGTGTTGATCAAGGTGGTGCTCTCCTATTGGAGTGTAAACTGGTCTAATATGGGTGTCAATTGTGTGATGTATTGACCTATGTTCTGCACCTCCAGTTTTGACGAGGTGCACGCTTATTTGGGTGGCCCCGGCTAATCCCAGGGAGTCCCCGTACACCTATCTGAGCACTGAAAGAAGTGTTGTATTGTACTGGTTCGACCAACTGGTGATGATCAATGATGCTTAGGAACATGCCCCACTATTGTCCGCCATGTACCACCTTACAACACCGTGATGTTGATCCGTGTGCTCAAGCACACCCCAGTGTATGGGAACTATGATCCACCATCTAACACTTATCTTATCTTATACCTGGAAACGCAGGTCATAGTTTAATCAGGCACTTCTTCGTCCACATTTACAGGGTTCTAGGTAAGAACCAAACGTACTTTTCTATTGAGATAATCACTTACTCCCGTAGCCTCGCGTCGTCAGAGTAAAAGGTTCTTTCGCCACACAATGCCGAGAATGGACATGCATCGTTCCGGACGCGATGGTGTTGAGGCCCATGGCTTCCTCAACAACCGCAGCCTGACCTCGGAGGACCTGATATATCTCAAGAATTGACAGGGAACTTCCAAGGTCCAGCTGGACCACTGGTCAGACGAGGGCCACGCCTTCCAGCTCATTCGGATATGAGATCACGACCGCCTCCGGTGCTCTTTCGACTTTGGAAACTACAAGGACACCCTGAAGATTGAAAACGGGCTCCGGCGCGCGAGACGGCGTGAGCGAGTACGTCAAGCTCCATCATAGCTTCACCTGGAGAGGTACGTGCAGCGAGATACCCAAAGCCGTTATTAAATGCCCCGTCTTCACCAAGGGCAAGATTGAGTTAGAATCGGACGGTATCTCGGGCTACTTTGGAGGGATGTCCGGCATCGGCCTTCCGGGAAGGCGTTGCCACTTTGAGGGTCTGCCCGTCTGGCGACCGCGTCGAGTTGCGCGCAATCTTGAGTCGTTGATAAGAAACTGGAACGCCTTGAAGATTATTCAAGAGGATGAGTCACCCCATTCGGAACGAGATGTCAACGTTGCTCTCTGATATGTATCTACGCGGGAGGGGAACAAGGTAATGTTGAGCCGGACACAACAGTCGGCATCTGCGGCCGACAACCTGCTCGACACAGCATGACAAACGGTGGAAAAACAATCTTCCCTTTTGATGCTGAATGAATCGAGTTTTGGGGTACCGACAGTGTTGCGAGGAAGACAGTCAAAAGCGAAGTGAATAAAGGCTAACCCGGCAGCTGATAGCCATTGGCTATGTCTGCCTGGAGATAAATGAGGTCCAGAGACAGCTGCCCGCTTACAGCTGTCCAGAGGAGCATCTCAAGAATGATAGGAAACAAGAAGTCATCGTGGAAGAGATTACGGTGACAAGTGACATGGATATATGCTCGACAAGCAAATACGACAATACAAAGGGCGGATCCCAGATCTTGGTGTAGTATGAGAACGTCCTGGTTCATGCGGGGGCCGCTGCAAGTCACAGAAGCGCTTTTCATGTTGTTTGTGCAAAGTGGTACATGGCGGACAATAGTGGGGCATGTTGATTGTGTAGCAGTGTTCCAACAGCTCGATATCCTCGCCAATCCATTGCCCGAGGAGCTGATAGGCGCCTTTGATGTCGTCCACGTTCGCGCTTTCCTGAGCATCATTGTCAACGGGAACACCGCGCCTCTGCTATCCGCTGCCCGTTCTCTACTAAAGCCCGGCGGCTGGCTGCAGTGGGAAGAGACGAGCGGCGAGTTTCTGGTCGAGCCTTCCACGCCAAACGTCACCAAGGTTAGCTATGAGACTCTTGCCCAGATTCTCAAGCAGGGCGGCGAAGCCCGAGGCTTCGAGGTGGAGTTTGTAAACGAGCTCGACAATCACCTTGGCAAACATGACTTTGAGGATATTCACATGCAGAAGTTTGCCAAGCACAAACAGGACTACAAGGGATGGACAGAGGATTACTTGATGGTTTGGGAGGAACTTGCGACATATCTACCTGCCAAGGCAGACGTGCCTAACGCGCCTGTCACCAAAGAAATATGGGCTGAATTGTTCAAGAAGGCTGTAGCCGAGACCGAGCAAGGTGTTGCGTTGCACCATGGGTTCATCATGACGGTAGTGGGACGCAAGTCTACTTGAGCCTATGGTGGTATCGGTTTCATAAGTTTTCGTACTATGTTCAGTGAGCTATATTCATCTCGTTTCTTATAATCAAGCTGCCACTTAACTCTAACATTTGATAGCTGCTCATCGATGTCTTTCTAGCATTGTGAGTTATTGGACGGAGATGAATATTTCGGATCATCATCTAGACCGAGCCGTATACTTGAAACTACAGGCTCTATGCCTCTGTGAACGCAAATTTTTCATAGAGAGCGCTGCCATGCATATCAGTGCCGTTACTGAATCTACCTTGCAGCTGCCCTACCCATCCATAATATATGTAGGGGCTTGGAGGACCTAGAAGCATGTCGCTCGTTGCAATAACGGTGAGCAGTCCTTCAGAAAGTTCGGCCTCTATGATAAAACCAGTTGGTGATCCAGTAGATGTAAAGGGCGGGTATGTTGGATTTTCTCAATAAGTACGAACGGAAATGCCCAAGTCTTGTGCTGCGAGGATTGTGTGGTTAATGGCAACGTACGATGCCTCACGTTTCTCTCCGTCAAGGCCGATGTAGTCGAACCAAACAATCGAATTTGGACCCAATCGTCCATGACCCCAATACCAAGAATCAACACGATCAGTGAATGGGGAGTCTCCCCAGTTCTAATTTGAGAAGGTAGGTTAGCATCGTGTGGTCAAATATGTGTCGATCCGGGCTGTCCAACATACCTTGTCGTGGTAACCTAGTTCAACAATATCCAGGCTTTCGCCTTGGATCTCGAGATGCGCGCTGCCAACAGCGTCTGGGATAGCATTGGCCTAGCCAACATCGAGCCCACCTGCATACTCATGCCGGGGCCGGCTGGACCACTGGGGTAGTGTGCAGGAGCAATCTTTTGAAGAGAACGCGGTCAGCTGGTTTGACTGTGCACCTACGACATCGGGGTATATCTTACCGAATTGAGCTGCAAAGTGCCAGTAACTCCTACTTTACCTCGTCTTACTCGCGAATGGTAGGCGCTTATCTCTCTCTTACTTCCTTGGTAGCGTGCCTTTACTACACTACTACCACCAGCGTCGTCAGTGAGTCCGCCTCGCTACATGCTTGACGGGATCAAGAATATCAGTCATACGTCCAGGTCGGAGAAGGTAGAATACTTACAGCACAGCGGTACTGGTGCTTACCAATCTAGATAATGTTTTGGCGTTAATGTTTTCGCTCAGGAAGACTTTGGCCTATTCATTACCGTGTCCTACGAACAATTCAGGAAACATCCATTTTCTTCAGAAATGCATGCCTATTTTGCGGCTAGCTTGGCGTGTATTTGTGCCATGGCAATAAATAAATGATGGGAAGGTACATAGATGACAAATATTTGAACGACTATTACTGGTCGGGATGATATTGTATGGTCAAAAGTTGGAAGTCAAGGTAGGTGCTCAGGGAGATCCTTAGCGCCAGAACCCTGTACGCGAACGGTCTAAGCATGCAGCAATACGGCAAGGTTTACCTGCACTCAAATACCTAACCATGCCGCGCCTCGAACTTGATAAAAATCATCAATTAACAAAAGCAGAAGTCATATTCATTCTAGAAAAAATAAAAATAAAATCTTTCAAAGAAGAGTAAAAACATACAACACCGAGGATTCCCCAGTCGTCACCGACCTGAGTACTGATTCGGCCGTCACCAGTTTGACTAGGGCAGAGCGGACGGGATGCCGTATATTCTAGTGCGTATGGTCGTATGTGACGGCTCATTCAATTGCAATGTTATATATACAACAGTTTGAATGAATGATTATATCAAGTGACCGGAGCTGAACTGAGCCTTTCAGCCGGGCGTTTCTCTAGTAGACGGAAGCCTAGTTCCGCGCTCTTGAAAATGACCTTTATCTTCGCAATAGATCATAGAGTCATCTCTAACCTCTAGCATTATACACAACGGCTGTTGTCGTGCTGGGCCATAATTCCGGTCACCCAACGCCAGGGCCTAAAATTAGTGTCTCCAGACTAAAATGTTGTGCTCCATTTGCGTCAACTTTAATGTGCGAGCGCTACTATTGAAGGCAGTAACCCAACCACCTAAAGGCTTCAACGATCCCACCTCGCCCGAAACTCTTGAGAACCTTCGCCCGGCTATTCCTTACTTTTTCAAACACCATGCAAATCTTCTTTCTCTGCGTGCATCAGCAGCCACCGGCTGTGAGCTTTGCAGCTTCATATGGCAATCGCACGTCGGAAGATCACACCCGAATGATCTGACGGACGATTTGTTGAGTCAAGGCACAAGCGCGCAGCAGATATTCCTCGGGACTGCGGCGTGGGATGCAACTCTCCATGGGCTACCGCATGTTGCGGCCGTTCAGAACGGAGACGGCCATACAAGCCACGTCTCCAAGCAAGGCCTGGTGCAAATGCGCACTCTAGCCTCCTTTGAAGTCTGTGCGACGAGGGGCCGGGAACCATCAGATCACCAACATTTACTTGCTCGGTCCATATATAGCAACTCGGGATCAGCTGAATGCCTACAGTTGGCAGCCACACTACTCGGGAACTGCATGAGTACCCATGATTCGTGCTCTTTACAATATCCTCATTCATCGGAGCTGCCCACGAGAATCATTGACACAGCAGGAAGCGACCCTAAACTCGTCGATGGCGGCGGGCGGCGGGATGTCTACGCGGCGCTGTCCTATTGTTGGGGCGGTCACAGTGACTTTACACTCACAACAGCCACTGAACAATCATTCCGCGCAGGTCTACCCTTGAATGACTTTCCGCCCACGCTACGCCATGCTATTCTTATTGTGAAAGCGCTCGGCATCCGGTATATTTGGATCGATGCATTGTGCATTATACAAGACTCGGCGCAGGATTGGGCTTCCGAGGCGAGTCGGATGCGGCATGTCTACACAGGCGCCGTCGTAACGATTGCGGCGGCGTGCGCTTCCACAACTGGCGAGGGCATCTTTCGGGATAGGACGCAAGGAAATTATCCGCAGTGCTGGCTTGATTGGACAAACGGAGCTACTCCTGCGCCAAAGGTGTTTTTGCGACCAGGAACGGAGCTATGGGATGATAAAATGCACCTTGGTGCACTGAACACCAGAGGCTGGGTTTTACAAGAGACCCTCCTGGCACCTCGCACACTATGGTTCAGCCATCAACAAATATGTTTCGAGTGTCCAAAGGGCAGTGTTGACGAAGGAGGGCGGTTTCTAAGAATTGCAGACATCTATCGCAGCAAGGAGTACATCCAGAAGTTGCGTCAACGGATGTTTCCCCAATGGAAGAGGCGACTGCTCCCTGCCCTTAAAAGACTTCATGTCCCGCTGGCCATTACATTCCGGTGGCCTTCTATAACGAACATGCTCCAGGCTAGAGACATGGAAACTCTGCGTTGGAGGGCCTTACCCTACACTCCATTTACTCTACAAGGCGAATTCAAGCCGCCAGCCCAGCCCACAGCGTATTCGCATTTTGACTTTTGGGGACAAATTATTCAAAACTATTCTTCTCGAGCACTCACAAACCCTACTGATGTACTTCCCGCATTGTCGGGACTTGCGAGCGAATTTCAACGAGCTACAGGTGATACTTACGTCGCAGGTCTTTGGAAGATGGACATTATACAGGGGCTCAGCTGGGTAAGCATGTTCCTGCCTTCTTTCATGCTGCGAGCATGCACACCGATTGATTTATGGGTCTCTGGTATATCGGAGCTAATAAGTGAAATGCAGAATAGAGGCGAGTTAAGAAAGAAGCGCTCTGATGGTTACTTGGAAGATCCCCCCTCGTTGCCGAAGCAGTACCTTGCTCCGTCGTGGAGTTGGGCCAGCATTCTCGGACAAAAGGTCCTTTTTGAGGGTCAAACACAGTTTGATCATATAAAACCCTTTGCAAAGCTGATCGATATCAAGCTCGAATTTGCCACGAGTGACCGTTTCGGTGCCTTGACCGGAGGGAGCATAACTCTCGGAGCGCCATTTCTCATCCTGGATTGCGAGAGCGTCGTTGGTGCCACTGAGCAGTCAACATCGCGGTTTCCTGCACTGATGAAAATCATTCACGCCCGTTTTCGTGGGCCGCGAGGCTCTGACAACAATGAATACAGGCAAAAGCACCAGGGCTACCCGGGGCAGCGATTCTCTATTCTCCAGTTGCTTCGATGTCGGCTTTCACATCAGACAAGTATTAGCATGTGTTTTTTACTGCTCGAGAGTGTGCAAGGCGATGACAGCTGGAGACGATTGACAAATATACCCTTGATGATCCGCAATGATAGAGATCCGCAGGTAGTTGATCATGTCGCGGCTTTGAGAGAGATACAGCCAGAGTTGAAGACACAACTTGTCAAGATGATATGATTGGGACGTTGTTCGAACCAAACCTAGAAATATTAACGATATTCCGGAGCTTAGAGGAGAAATTGACAATAATGGAGGAAGCTCTGGTTAGACTCTCAAGTCCGTGGCGCTGAGATCTTAGCTTGGACCGTTACGGGCGTGATGAGGCTGAAATAGGAGACATGCTGAGTCATATCAACGATTAAGTGATAAAATTAGGCTTACAAGGACAACAAAGTAAGCAAATGTTTTCGTGATTAGAGTGAATTCGGAGCGCATCAGGAATTGCAGGGTATTTGAAAGTACGGGATACGGAACATATGCTTTTTTCGACCACGCCTCTGCCCCAGCTCGATGTGGTTGTAATGATTCAAGTTTATAATTATTAGCCAAACGTGTGCAATATATCTTTTTGCATACGTCGCCAACCCAAAGAGTTTGTTGCTGTTCAACAGTCATATTGGATTATCTTGGTCATTAAGACAGATGGACGGTTTCTCATGATTTCCACACGGACCATACGGTTTATAATTACCCATGTCCATAGACGGACTTACGACGAATAGGCATCATAATCTGAAATTAAAGCAGAGGCCAAAAACGTACGAAATGCGAGATCAGAAGATAGTCAACCGCTCGAACCGGTCTGCATACTCGTCGACCGCCTCACCATCCATAACACCGTCCACATAAACCTCGCCCACAAGCACCCATCCATCCTTCTTCCCCATTTCCCCCATTAATCTCTGAATCTCTTCGTTGGACTTCGCCGGTTCCTTTTCCATGTCTATCATTTCGATTTCTTGGATCCTTATAGCAATCGCGTCATCTACGCGACGAAACGCATAGGGTATATGGGCGCCTTTTATCAACATGACCTCGTCGTCATGGGCGATTTGACAACTGGCAGTGGCACCAATGTAACCGGTATCGGTGATGAACATCTCGTGACAGACCAAATATGAAACAGACCACTTTGTGACCTGTACTTGGGCTATTGTCACTTCTGTCTCTTCTTCCGGATCGCGTTGAGGTGTGTTCAGCTCCAGTTCCGGCCATGGAGCTTCCGGATATGCCTCTCTAAAGTCCATATAAGTAGAAAGAAGTGTTTGCCTCAATTCAGTCGCTTTGTGCGTAAATTCAGCAACCCTCTGCTGAGAATCTCCAGTGCCATTTGGTGCCTCCTTGGATGTATCTGACTGTGGCAAAGAATGCAGCTTTTCGTTTAAAGATAGGGATTGTTCGCCGCTGTCGGAAAGCTTCTTATCTATCCAGTCCAAAGACTTCTTCAGGCAAACGTCCATTGCAGAGCAGACCCCTAGAGTCAGCCCTTGGATATCTTTAAGACTGTGTCTGCAGGCCCCGTAGGTACTTGAATTTGTAAATGCAACCATGACCGATTTTGCTTTGGGACAATGATGAATAAGTACTCTCAGAATCTCGATAGCACTTTCGACCTTAGCCAGTGTGTCACACTCAAGGAAGAATGGATCAAACAACTCCTGGACTTTGCCTATCTTGCATCCATCGAGGTTCAGACTGCGCCCGTCGTGAGAGATTTTGGGGTCATTCTGAAGGCTTGACACAGCCGAGAAGTCTCCACCCAGATTGTCGTTCAGTTCCTCCTCCATAAGCAGGGGCGGCTTTGTATTCACCGTGGGGACCCACGAAGGGGTGCCGCTTGGTTCCCACTCAATCGACTGGTCGCGCAACATTGAGCTGAAAGATAACAGTTTCAAGCCATCCGGCCCGGACAGGACGCAAGCTGCAAGATTGAGTAAGACCTCCTGCTCTGAAGCATCATAGGCTGCATGTAACGCGGGCCATAGTCTGACGTTTTTGCTAGATCCCCCGATAGAAGTCTCTTCTGGACCTACACAGTCGATCATTCCTGTTCGCGGCCTCTCAAAGTTGGCCTCGGGGTGAATCCCAAGCAATGCAATTTGTGGCAGCGATTGTGGCGAGCTAATAACAGGAAGGTTTGGATCACGTTGAAACTGCAGTGCTTCGGGTCGGGGCGGCAGAGGCGGTGGAATCTGCTCCTCAAGCAGCGTATTGTGTACTTGAAGGGAATCACGTCGGGGCGGCAGCGGTGGTGGGGTCGGATCATCCAGAAGAAGGTCCTGTCGGATCTCTAATAGGTCGTTTCGGATGAGTGACAGGCCAGCGAACACCAAGTCTTTGTTGTCGCGTGCGTGTCTATGTATGCAAGCTTCTAGCCATTCGTGTAATGACCACTTTCCATCTTCTGCGTTGTTTGCCTCTTTGACTCGAAAAGTTGGCAAAGTTTTGACCTGCTTGATCCAATTTGGTATACATAATCTGGAGATCATAGACGCCGCTGCAGCGATGCCAGTTTCTATTTCCGAGGATATCTTCTGCTCACAAGACATGTCAACATCGACCGTTGCTTTGGCCCGTGGCCAATCGATGACCTCGAGCAACTCAGATATATCACCTGGCTGAAACTGGTACTTTCCCAGATGAAAGACTACCTTGGGCGCAAGTGCAAGCTCTTGCAGTACCCAGATTCGGCCAAAGTAACCACGCGAAGCGATATGTAACAATGCACCAAGAACCAATGAGCCTTCTGTCTTTGATGATGCAATTTGGTTATCTTTGGGGTCGGTGAGCACTAACCATGGCGCTTCGGGATTGCGGGATTTGTAGTTGGCGATGACACGGTTCATATTTTCAAAGCCACGGGTCAGAAACGTTGGTACAGGCCCAAGCCATGCCAGTGTCATCTCGGCGCCCGCGTATATCTCACCCATCATCTGTACCTGAGCGCTTTTTTCCGCATTAAGACCCTGATTGATACAGATACGATCAATCCAATATTCTCCATCAGTACGATATTTTCGCAGGTGTAAGAGAACACCATACAATGCTGGGTGAATTTTCATGACCATACCATTACATAGGATGATATGCTCTGTCTCTTTGTCGCTAAGGACGCCAAGAGATTTTCCCAGACGAAGCACGATCCGATCCATGATTGACAATTCTTCCTTCCATGTATAGGACAAGGCCGTATACTGGTGGTGTCCGTTCAATTCCACCGTACGTAGCGAGCATCGTATGACTTCAGTGGACCAGCCAGGTTCGATTTTGAGCAGGCGTATACTAGAACGTGAAGGCAGCGACTCATACTTGAATTTTCGTTCTGGGTGCTTCTCTGCCTGTTTGGACTTCAGTAAGTATTAGCACCTGTCTAACCACAGAATCGTGGACGGATTTCCACCTCGAACAGTTCTCTTGGACGCCTTAGTAGCACGCCATCACGCAATGGTTTTTCAACCGCGACGGAAGCAATGAAATGTGTCAGGTGACCGATCAAAGATGTGGCGGCTCCAAGGTAAAGTAATAATGCTTCGCCGAGCCCGGGCGTGTCTCTTGTCACAAGTTTTCCTTCTGAATCGAGAAGTGCTGTCGGATTCGGCATTTTTTCCTTTTAATGTGTCACGACTTGTCCTCATCAATAATATTGGTAAGGTTGTGGAAGGATCTTGCTATTTGAACCGTTGGAATTCGATGAAAACCTTCGGCCAGATGTGGCATTGACGTCATTGTCGCACAGCATCTGTGGTACGGTTGCATTGAAAATGGCTCAATACAGAATGATTTGCGGCGACTTGCCATTTATTCGATATAACGACCCCACCCCACCCTGCATAGTGGTAATTGATGTCCCTTTTTGATTCGACAGCGCAGAATATTGCCAATTGTCTACCTGCGAGTTAGGTAGGCACCCTTCAACGTTTCCTTTCAAATCCCTTGATGCATAACCTTCAAGCATGATGTCAGGCCGGAGATCTTTGAGTGTGTGCAGGGGTGAGTCTGGTGGGTGGCTTTTGCCAACCAGTCGGCGACTTTTGTGCAGTTGAGAGCACCGCGCGTGTAATGCCAGAGACCTTTAGGCTTGTACCGGTATACGTAGGAAATAACGGGAGGTCAGAATAAAGCAAAAGAGTATTCTTTTCTAGCTGCAAGCCCCGAGAGTAGTCATCTAAAGGGAGATCGCTCAATCTACTTGGGTAAAGTGTACATAGTTACGGAAAAGTATGATGTATAGAAGAGGGCGGAAAGCTGTAGTAGCTGCGTGGGAGTTAGGCACTGCGTAAGATAGTACCTAACCTAGTTTGGTGCCTAGCACCTAACAGCGCGTCTGGTAAATTATACCTGGCAGTGGCGGTAGGGACATGCAAAGGGAGACGGGAGCCTTGAACGTTTGGCCGGTTGATATGAAAATTCAATTTTTCTTTTAAAATTTTATACTATTGTTATTATTATTATTGCAGCCACGGGTGTTGGTCTGCAAGCTTCGCTATCATGTATCTGGGTCATGTCTGGTTTGGGCAATGAACATTACCCGTGGGTTGATGGTCCCAGCGTTAATTCAACACCACTAAGCCGACGAATTAGCCCGCTCAGACACGATTGGGGCGCTGAATGGAGACCCTCGTGTATGAAAGTGTGCGTGTGTTCGCAGGACTTCAATTTGCGGCAAAGACTCGAGCGAATGATATGACATAGCAATTGGTAGGTACGTTTGAAGCTGACGTCTCAATCAACGGTCTAGAGTAAGTCTGCTGCCGCCTTACCAACATGGAAGTGGATAATTGCGTAAAAGCTACCTGAGCACTTTTAGCTGCGCATTAAAATGCTTATAGCTTAATCGTATAATTTGTTCCTGCATTATTTTGACTACTTTATAGACCACAAAGCCGTCTATCAGTGTGATTAATGCTTAGTTAAGCATCATCACTGACCTGGACGATTGACTTCTTGACAGTGATGTTCCATCCGTTGCCGCCCTGCTCAGGGCTCATGGTGAGGTTTGTTTGGCTGCTATTACAGCTATCATCCCAGGGGTCTGACGTATTGGACTTATTGTCGCCCTTCATCTTCTGACTCTCAATATCCTGCTTGGCGCGAGCGCGACCATAGTCGACGACGGTGGTGACTCCCAAGTCCTTGTTGCCGCGGTCGTGCATATCAAAGCCGTCCTCGCCGCCGGGGTGGCCACTTCCGGTTCTGTGCCACTGACGGGCCGAGGTGCCGTGCCCAGGCGCGGATGAGCCACCGAAGAAGGTCTTGAGAAGCGGGCGGAGAGTTGCCACTCCTGCAGCAGTAATACCGAGACCAGTCTCAATAGTGGACCACATGGCGATATCCGAAGTCGAGTAAAGGAAGTCATCGGTGTCGGTCAAAAAGTGTAGATACGGAAATCGTACGATAGTCGCACTCGAGGCACTGTAGGACCATTTGTTAATCGTTTGCATAAGCAGCCGAGGAAGGGGAATCGTCTTACATGACACCGGCAGCTAAAATTGCAGCAACCGAGATCTTGACCTTTCTATCCATCTGCAACGACCATACAAGGAAAATTGGCAGGATACTGTATGTCCAGTCGGTTGCACAGCTAATAGCAGAGTAACCATAAAAAGCATTGGCAACGACTGAGGGGTCCAGGCAAGTTCCTGAGGGAGGAGCGCTGGAATATCGGAGCCAAAACAAAGAGGTGGGACGGCATTGCAGGACGAAAAGCATAAAAAAGGCAAAACTATAAAGCTCAGTAATGCCAATGGCTGTCCAAATAACAATTTTGTGGGCCTTGGAGACACAGATCCGTAGCAAAAAGATGGCAATACTGGCTTTGATGGACATATTGCACAGGACGTAAAGAGGTTCGCAGGTCCACCACATCTATAACGTATTAGAGTTTTCTCTTCCTAGCTGCTGTCACATTGCTTACCTGCATAGCCTTGAGGCGGTTTTCCATAGAAAGGTTGCTATTATGCTGCCCCGTGCCATAAATAAAACCTTGTATTTCATAGGCGCAGAAGATGATGAAGAAGAGCTGCTGAGCATGAGCGGGGCATGGCCGAGGGAGAGAAGTCTAGGACCTACCTGGGCAAGAACAGCGAGCCAATCATCCATGGCGAATGCCTTGATCACCCGACCACGGCAGTATACTCGGAGCAGCGTAGCGATAGTAGACATGATCAAAAATATATACGTAACCGCAGCCACTTGGGGGCCTCGAGTATCGGAAGCCATGGTAAAAGCTAAACGTCCGGATCCCCGGTTGAAGCACAATGGATAAGGAAATAGAAAAAGGAGCGTCGGCTGTTACTCAATCATAATATGATAATCGAGCTGAGATGTCCCACCGCCAGCAAGTCTCGTTAAACTATGCAAGGGACATGCACACCACTATATATCTATGTATGACACCCAGCTCCTCCGAGTAAGTGCGACGTGCTCGTGAAGAGCTGAAGAGGAGCTCGGCTGATCGACATTGATTGAGAGCTTGGCCCGCAACTAAATCAGCGGCTTGGGCTGGACGGGGCACGGCGTCTTCTCGAACAATAGATGCGGAGCCAAGTGTCTGGATCGCCACTGCGTTTATAGCGTCACGGTGGCCATCGATGGAAGGCTAGGTTTCCAGCGTGGCGCTCTCGCAAGGTCGGAGATCTGGTACGTACGACAGAGAACCGGCCTCAGTGAGATCTTCAATCTTAACCATGCGGCCAATCACATACCATTCCACCCAGAAATTGAGGGCACTAGGGACAACAGTCTAGAAGCGGCGCGCCTTCAAGACATGACACGCGCAAACGGTGCGGGTAGAGCGGAAGATAAGTACTCGAGATTGTGGCCAAGTGCATCCATGACATGGTAGGGCAGACGAGACGAGTTCCTGGCTTCTGCGCATGGAAATGGATCTTCTGGTAGCTCGACAGACTTTGACAGCGCCGTTGTGGGGAGCCCGGCGATAGACCTCCTTTTACGGGCCGCCGGCGCCAAAAGAGGATCGTTGACGGGCAAGCACGTGGAAGTGGATCACCGTGTTCCTTGTTTAGGAAGAGCCCAGCTTGTGGGATACCTCGGAAGCTTAAAATTTGGATCTTTTATGCAGAAAGACTTGCAGTCTCTTGGCTTTGAGCTTAAGGTTCTCCGGAGCTGTCGGTCAGCTGGTAATCTCTGCCATGTTCAATGACCCTCTCAGTTTGGCTCACCTTTAGGACCATAATCCCGGCGTTGTTAGGTTTGAGTTGCGCCTCCAGGGACGTGACTGGAAAATTGCCCCTTGAGGTAGCCCGCTAGGGATGATTGTAGCTTGCACATCTGTGTTGCCGCTTCTCAAAGGGACTAAATCGATGCGGAATTTGACCCGCGATCCCATAGAAACGCTGGTGAGCACTTGTCAATTTCCAGTAAAGCTAGTTTAGCTTTCGACATGTTGATTCCGCGCGAGTGAGCGCAAAGGGGAGCTAAGGTCGTTCTTGGGGACGGTTCGTTACATTGGCGCCAGGCTATTTCTGATGACATCTGACCATTTTTGGAAGCTAAGAGTCATAGCATAGGAGTGGTAACGACATATGCCACTGCTCGAATCTTCCGACTGGCGATGATTATTAGTTAGATTAAAGCCCACATGGTCATGTCTTGCATACTACATACCTAGGTATATATATGCTAAATAGATGTGCATATTCGCACTATGAGGTGTAATTTGTAGATCACTAAAAGTTAATGACACCCACGGTCCAACGAAGGTCTCGAAGTGCTTGGTTGATTATAATGGAAATGCTTAGTTGATAATCCGTTTGAGTCACGTACATACACATCTGTGAATGATTTCCTGTGCCAGTCTGTTGGGGCGCTCAAGCATGAACACAGCAGCCATTCGTCTGCCAAGAAAAAGCGATATTAAAAACAAAGAAAGAAAGACAAGGAAGGCCCTGATAGAAACCATTATAAGTGACCAAACGACGCACGGTCAGGTTGCTTAATATAAACATTGCACGTGGTATTGTTCAGGAATTCATAAGACCCACGAAGTCAAACACAAGCTAACCACGGTAGTTCCTGGCCCTTTTCAAATGGAAAGGGGCCAAATTCATCAGCAAGAGGTCCTTTAGGGTACCTCCCTCCTGCGCCATCGCTGCAGCACCTTTAGCAACACAGATCCCCTAATCTACCTGCTTCCCAGCAGCGCGTTTGGAAGGTAGGTGGCTATTATCAAAGTCTGGCCATCGGAGCAAGTCGTCATTCTGCGCATGATTTCGTCCACTCAGGCAGCAAGGTCGGTATCTATAATGCTTGCGAGACTTCTTGAGCCGGCTCCAGCCATGAAAACTGCAGTGGCTTTGGGCGTACTGGACCTTGTGCCGTCAAAGTATGCATAAGGTGATCAAAAGAGAGAAGAAGAAGAAAAATTCCAACTCACCCTGAAAGTGTTGTCTCATAAGCTCTGAGTGCTACGCTGACACTATTACAGGCGTCTTGACCCCAAACACGGAAGCCTTAATGGTTATATTCTCACCTGAGCCGATGTGTGAAGGGGGAACTGAAGACGAGATGATCGAGAAAGCATTGAAAGTTGTCTGAGTTGATCTCTAGTCTACAAAAGAGAGGTGCTGAAGAGCGACTATATACCCAAGCAGGTGATCTGCGGTGGGTACTGACTACGTCAGTACGACATATATTGAGCGAAATTATGTAAATACTAGGTAGGCAGTTTCGGCTGTGTTGATCAGAACCGAGTCTGTCTGTGAGAATTGAGATGAGAATATCGAGCAAGGCAGTCTGAAAAGAGATGAGGGACTTGGAGGGCTTGCTAAGTATCGCAGCGAAGGTTCGGCGATCAACATGTCCGTCTATCTCTAACCTTGCAGCAGCTAGTGCAGCATCAATTATTGGGTAGCAGCCATCCGTCACGCCACCAGAACAGCCATCGTAGGATTCTTCGAGCTTGGTTCCTGGGTTGAAATGGATCAGACCTCGAATACTCAAATCTATGTAAATGCAAGCGTCAGGAGATTGCGGGTAGTTGATGTTGAGAGACCTACCGTTAGCAATTGCACCTTGTTTTTTGATTGAGCGGCTGGTCACTCGATGATCTCTTTTTTTATGAGTAAAAACCACGCTCAGTACTCAGAACAGCGCTCCAACATACCTATTGTTTGGGTGGCGCATGATGCCTTGGGGCCTGGAGCTCACTGCCTGATAATGCAGATAAGCTGATAAGAACCGATAACGAGTTCTGGAGCTGTACTATATACTATGTAGCTGGGAACTTCCTCCTTCCTTCTTCATCTCTATCCATAATACCACTACATTTACACACCCCCAATAACCCTTCGTCATGAGTATACCAAGCAAGTCAAGCCCAGATCCTAGACTTGGGCTTGACTTGACCAAGTAAGTCAAATAGGGGGTCCGGATTTAAGTTACTTGACTTATTCCCAGCACTGATAAGGTACAAACTTGACGTGTCATTCCGTGATCTGCAACGGGCGGGGATTGCGGATTCGGAGCGGGACAATTCCCGGGGATTCACACAGAGACCTGGCACCAGTTAAACCCTCAATTCTAGACTTTTTAGCTCCATTCATTAGAATGCTAAGCATAGATGAAAGTGCTTCACCATAGCTATCACGAAAAATAGACCCAAGCATTTCAATCAAGAAATTTCTGTTATTCGTTCTGGAGTTTCTATAATTACTAATTCGACTTTAAGATTCTCGAGCACAATTAATATCGCTTATTTTACTTACCTATGAGCCTTTGTTCGGATCATCTGCATCAAGGGTATACCCAATATGTATTCGATTCCACCGCTCATGCATGCGCTCCGGTTCCATAAAGTCTGAAAAAGCAACAAAACAAAGTCTGAGTAAAGTCACAATGCCTGCCACTGCTGCATGCTAAGAAGTGATGAATCCTATGAGGGAAAGCTTCTGTCTCTTTCCGCTTACAACAATGTCTTTCTCGGGGTTGTTTATTTTAGGTGTGTCCCTTCCAACCAACACTCTACGATGCTAAAACAGCAACACGAGTCGACCATCCATATAATGTTGTCTGGCGACTAGCTCAATATCGGGTGCTATAATCCCTCGCAATAATTTCAACTGAATATTCAGGTACACATCGATTTACTACATACAGCCTTCCATGGAATCCGAAGAACCCGCAGAAACGGCTGTAGTTAGCGTGGCCGTCTATAGTATAGTTGCTATTGAACTCCAGATTTGCCAAAGGCACTGATCATGGGAAGAGCTTGAAGTAGCTGATAGAGAAGGCGAAATATGAAGGTCTTATGGAATAATCTGAAAGTTGTGGAATTCGGAGGTGTGGCAGGTAGGCAGGGTTGCTTGTCTTGGTCCAACCGACATGTCTTTTGCATGCCCGTATTTTGCCCTTCACGGTTAGCAAATCCACTAAGAGTCATAACGTCAGCCGAGTGCTATACACGTCTTCAATTCGGTCATCTTCGCGTATACGGCGTGCTAATGTTTTACAAACAGGACTCGCCCAGACAATATCAAGCGCAGTGAACAGCCGGCAGCTCGATCGTACCGACACATGAAGCTGCAAAGAGTCAAAGGAGCCATATCCGCCCAGCGTACATCATATGCCAATATATTACACCGTCAATGGAACAAATGTCAGCGAAGTAATATGTGACAGCTGGCGCCCCACATAGATGATGCGCAATCAACCCCTACTTCACATCCGAAAATACAGAAGAATACCGGCCATAAGTCCTTGTCTCGATCTTCTCTCATAAGAAGCCTTTGGTAGGTCCAGCACGAAATAGTCACCCTGCCAGTGTTTGCCACATGTCCTTCCAAAGAATAATGATGAAGCTGTCGTGGCGACCGTGACCGGTGACTGATGACATCCCGATTGACCCGTAATTCTCCATATATAACCACATGCAGATACCCGCAGTACTGACGTGTCCCCAGGGTTGCATAAGATGATTTCCTGCTGACCGTCTATCCTCCTCTTCTGTCGTCCCACTTGAAAACTTTCACTTTCGCATTAGCATGCGAGACTGTATTTTCTGCGACTATCTACTATCACTGTACCCAGCCCAGTCTCAGTCTAATTCACAGACAGGACATTGTCGCCATGCTATGCCAACTCTGCGCAGAAGCCATCAAAGCTGGACCAAGTCGTCTTCCATACGAAAAAAATTATTTTCGTTGGAAGGGGACAAGCCTCAGAATTCATACGAGTCTTTCGAGTCTGCGAAGCTCGACCGAGATAGGATGTCTCCTGTGTCGAAGTTTCTGGGACTATTGTTGCGAAAAGAATCCGGGTTTGAGAGAGGCGACTGAACCAGTCAATTTCGCGAGGTTTGATTGGCAAATCGATTTAACCTATGGAGATGTAGATCTGATTTTTGAAGATTTTGATGGATACTTCGCGATTAGAATTGCCGAAAACCACCGCGGTGTGAGATTTCTTCTGTCGCCATCGTGTCTTGACGTCAGAGGCAACCCTATCGAGTATTCAGAGCCCGAAGTCTCAACACGTAGCAGCATAAGATTGTGGAAGTACTGGTACACAGCGTGCCAAAGACACCACGAGCGTTGTCGCAGCTTGAGCGCTGTGGGAGCATTTAAGCCCACCAGGCTTGTCGAAATTCGGCAAGACGATCCCGATTGTTGGAATTTGATCGATGAAACGTCGCGTATTGCGGGGCCATACGCAACTTTGAGCCATTGCTGGGGTTCATCTTCTCATGAGGTCCTGAAGAAGGAAAATATTGCGAATTTCAAACAAAGAGGCCAAAACTTGATCGCAAAACTTCCTCAGACTTTCATCGACGCGATCGAGGTCGCTAAGTCGCTGGGAATTTACTACATCTGGATCGACTGTCTCTGCATTGTACAGGATGACGATGATGATTGGAAGGAAGAATCAGCGAAGATGGGTCTGGTCTACGCTCGGGCGGCTTGCAATCTCGCTGCGAGCTGCTCTTCGGATAGTTCGGGCGGTTTCTTTCGGACGAGGGACTTGGCCTTGGTGCAACTCACGTAAGTCATCAGCATGTGTGGTAATCTCATTGAATTTCAACGTATCGGTCGACAATCTTGAAATTTACGGTCCAATTCCCAAAAAAGAAAGAAAGCTAACATGTTGGAACTAAAGATCTGTTGATTTCGGTTGCGATTTACGTGGTTTTTCAACATACCGGATTTCCAACGCCGCTTCATACGACAATGATGTGGCCAATGCACCATTAAATTCTCGTGCTTGGGTCACTCAAGAGCGCTATCTAGCACTGAGGCAATTGAGCTTCACTGCCCATCAGGTGTATTGGGAATGTCCTGAGCTTGTTGCCAACGAACAGTGTCCGGAAGGGCTACCGGATGAATTATGGAACAGCTCGAATACTCGCTCAGTACGGAAAAGAGGCATGGTACCAATGAGTGAAGCAAGTTTTCGAGATACATGGTCCAAGATTGTTGAGCATTATTCGTCGTGCGGCCTCACGAGGAAGACAGACAAACTTGTGGCGTTGTCAGGTTTGGCTACTCAGATTCAGCTTATACAAAGCCAACGCCCACAAAGCCCAGCGCTCAACATGTATGTTCATGGGCTATGGAGTGTCGATTTCCATCAACAGCTCTGCTGGACTCGTTACGGAGCCAAAAAAGAGCAATACGAAGCCCGAGCCGACCAAAACATAGTTCGAACTTCGCGGTTGAATGGTTCTATTGCGCCATCATGGTCCTGGGCCAGCCTTGATGGGAAAGTCGAATATGATCTCGCATATAATGATCTGGGGAGCCAATACCGATTATCCTGGATTCGAGTAGAGGACCCCGAGTTCAAAGAAGGCAAACCCCCGGCAATCAGCAAAGGATTGACACTTCGAGGTATTGCACTCTTTGGAACACTCAAGCCTCCGTACAAAGAGTATGTCGGCAGATTGACATTTTCTCATGCGCTGAGCACTCCGGACTTACATGAAAACCCATTCTGGCCTTCTATTAATCCACTGGAATCTATCCGGGTAGATGAGGTTTATTGGGACTTGCCGCAGTGGCCATCGGACCTTGACCCGTCCCAGGAGCTCTGCTTCTTGATGATATATATGGATCATCTGGCTGAAACAAACCATGGTCTCATACTACAGCAGATACCTTCGGCTGCAGAGCCAGTTGAATATGTCAAATTGGGTTCTTTCAAGCTTGAGGGCGCATGGGGTGGAGATCCGGGCGAGTTAATTAGACGGTCGGACTTCATGCAACACATAGCAGCCCGCCAACGTCGAGAGCAACCCATAGAAGCTGTCGACGATGATGCTTTGAGTGATTTAGAAAGCGATATGGAACTCGAATCCCATCCCAATACCGCGTCAAAAGAAAAGTTGTTCCAACGGGCTGAGAGAACCCTCTGGATCATGGACCTGGACCCACCGAGCATGAGAGATTTGGTACATACAGTCTGCATTAGATAACTTTAGTCATTATTGCAACGACTTCGAAACGAATAATTGTCACGGAAAGTCAAGAAAGAGATTGCTAATTTTTCCCGCTTTAAATTAAAGCATGTGGTAATAATTAGGATTATATTTATCACCTTTTAATTTTCCTTTTTCCTTTAGCATTAACTCAAATGCGAGTATCTCACTTATTTATCGTTAGAAAACATTTAAAAATCAGCTTTTATTAATAACAATGCGATGAAAGGCGATCGATTAGCGTATTTCGACGCAGAAGTAGCGAGTATAGTCAATAGTTCTTGGGGCATCCGCGGCGGATTGGGTCTGGCATCTTTTAAGAGTGTTGGCCAGGCGGTGGGCTTGGAGTTCTCAGATCTCGTGAATACGCTGTTAGCAAGCTTAGAATCTTTGCTGATAAAATGTATGGGACACATGATCAATACAGCCTGGACCTTCAATCAGTTACATAAAGCGAGGGAATGGGCACTATGATCGGCGTTGGCATAGAACACTAATTCTGCGATAATTAAGAACAATCAGGCAATGTGCACGCCGAGTTACGAACAATGATCTTCGCTTCGTGCGTTTGCACTTGATCTACTTTTTCACTAGCTGTTGCATATCTGAGATGCCCAGTCCGCATCAAGGCCCGCGAACGGCCGCACACTGGCACTCTTTATTCGGGCCTGCGACTTCCTAATTTTAGAATTAGATGTCTTGATGCGAGAGTGCACATGTGGCTTTTTCATCGACTGATTGCTGATTCTTGTCAAAGATTTGATATGTTTGAGTTTTTAATGTAATTATCAACCGTCGGGTCGCAAATCATATGTCACCAGCCTCGAGTTTAGCGCAACGGGGTAAAAACGAAGTCACTCTTTCTTATTAGGCAATCTCTTTTAGCTGATGTGGGGCCTGATATAAGACTGGATGATGTCGTGATTTAATCGGCCGTCAAATGCTTCATGAATTATTGTAGTAAAGCCCCCATTCGCGGATCAGGTCGTCTTTGCAGATCACCTGCTCGGGTATGCTCTTTATCAGCTCTTTTTTATAGGTTGGTAGAACCAATTCAAACACCAAAAGTATACGTACGGTCATGAAATCATTTCACATTCTATATTTCCATTACCGTAAAACGCCGTGGTCTGGAATATGCTATCACTAGAGATATACAACGAAAATGAAAGCTTAAATGGGGCGCTTCCCCACCCATGTATCCTTATACTTTTGACAGCCGTGGTATTTGATCAATTCCATCTGATATACCAACAAATATTATACCTAACATGGGTCTTTTCACAGCAGGGCTGAATCCTGAGCCATCATTGGGGGCTGCCACATGGCGTTATGTCATCCGAAACCTTACATCGGCTGCCTAATCCCAAGGTCTTGGCAGAGAGGGACAAGTGGCGGCGTTTATTCCATGTTGGTTACTGACGCACCAAACCATTGCACTAGCTGAACAAAATGTGAAGCTCCACACTAGGAACTAGCCTAATAGTGGTTATATGGTACGGCGCAATAGTTACAACCAACAGAAGTTACCATGATTGCCAATAATTCTGATAAAGTAGCCAGTGTCCTGCTCCCTCGATTTCTTTCTTTGCAAGTGTTTACCAGGCACGGCTGTCTGTCACACTCTTCCCGGAACTGGAAAACTGATTTGAAAATATATTTCAGTACCCAAAGATGGAAGCTCCAAACGACCTCGTCTGTGCCTCAAAGGAGGGGAGAGCCGAAGATGTGCAGGCGACCTTGAACCAACCTCGTGACCTATGGGACAGCCAACTGGGGAATAGTTTGAGCAAAGCCATATGCCGCCGCGACCCGGAAATCGTTAGTCTTTTGCTCTCCAGCGGCGCCAAGCTCGACGCCTCGTCATTTATTCACCTTGCCAGGATGGCTGATACTGGCCTGCTCGAGGTATTCCTAGCGTATGGCTGAGATCTCAACTCTAAGGAGTGTGGCGGTCCTCTCATTCGGCAAGTAGTCATGTGGCTGTTGTAAAAGAAATGTCAACTAATTTGGCAGTATATCTTATCAGCTTGGCCACCGATAAGCCAAATGTGCTGATTTGGTTGCTTTCCAAAGGGGCAGATCCGAACGCGACCAACGAACGCGGAGTCTCTGCGCTTGGCTCTACAGTCGTTGCGCCTCTGGTTCAAGATGGGGCAGCGATTGACACCCTGTTATCTCACGGGGCCAGGATGGAACCTGATATTCTTCATAGCTGTCTCCGACAAACAACAATGGGAGGCCTGGAGATGCTCAAGTGTTTGATGAGTAAGGGAGCAAACGCCAAAAACATTATCCATCACGAAACGACAGGCAACGGAACCCCTCTTCACTATGCAGCGTTCCTAGGAAAGGAAGACGCGGTACGCATCCTTCTAGATGCGGGTGCCGATCCTTCCATCGTCAACTATGATGATACGGGCGTTGGTGAGACGCCAGCCTCTCTTGTTAGAAGATATGGCCATATGCATATATATGAGATGTTGTTTGCGAGATCAAGCGTCCCTACAGACACAGAATAGTGGAGTTGTAGCCGAGAGCCAGTAGTTTTGTCAAAATGTAGGAATAAGTGGAGCGCTTCTCCACACATGTATATATCTTTGACCATCCAACCTCTGTTGGATGTGAACAACTCAACTAATACAACAACTATTACCCATACCTATCATATCTTTTCACAAGTTTGTCATAGGGAAAACAAGCTGTTTGCAAGCTCAGACTAGCGTCTTCAATGAGGCCGAAGGGATTTCTGCAATTCGTAAGGGAGATATTGACCGCGTTGATTCGAGCGCACCAGGATAGATCGTCAAGCTCATGTTATGGGAAGATGTTGATTTTCCATCAATGCTTGCCTAACTCTAGCTTGGAGCACGATATCCCGGTGCACATATTGTCTCGGCGTCCTTCTTTGCGTTGATCTCTGAATCAAAAAAGACCTTGCGGCAATTCAATCTCCAAATGGCCAGCGCAATAATTGCTTTGTGTCATACGGCAACATTGAGACGCAGTGGCGGCGAATGCTGCTCGCTTGTCTTTGGTGGGAAGTGAAAGGTCGTGTTCCGTGTATTCTGACACTAATTCTCAGTATTGAATTATTGTGTTGGGGCAAAGACATGAATGATGCACTGGTCCTAGCTTCTCTTTGGTAGGGGCTAGGTCCTGCTGCTGACAGATATTGAACCTGAGTCTAAAATTGTCATCCTCCGGGAACAATACTGCATGCTCGTCGATTTTGAAAATCCGAAGAGCATTCCCAGACGATTAGGTGGTATATCTCAACTATGAATGTGACTCCTAGTCGGGAGGTAAATTCTGAGCTTTCGAAGTATGCTTAAATTCTTTATTGTGACCACAAGAAATGCTATGAAGTAGGTGAACCGACCAACACAATGAGTTAAGGCAGCACCGAGTTCCGTTCAAGCCTCATCCCCTAACAGGCCCCTAATATGTTAGGCAGCTTTAGTCTTACTTTACTGCATGTCGATCGCAGAATACCACCATAATAAGAAGAATATGAAGCAAATAAGCAGGGGTAACTGCAGGAAACTTCTTAGCGCCGTCAGCTGGCTCTACCAAAAAGTGTCTTGGTACTTAACATATATCTCAGCCTCGCCTCAAAAGTGCTAAAATATTGCGTACACAAGAATATAATCCATTCTGGTAGCTTCGATTAATCACAAGGTTCCACATATTTCCTCACATCACTCCGTATTGCCACAATGGCCGGTCGATCCCCAATTATGCTCAGACATCATTCTGGAGAGAAGTGGGAGGAGACCAGATTGACCATCGAGCGTTTATACGAGCACTAGCTTCGGCCACTTTCTTCAGTAATACAGGTGATGCTGAATGAACTTTGATTTCAACCTACGTAAATATACCAATCAAATGCAGGTAACTGCTTGCCCCTGCCTTAACAATAATACAATGGTGAGGGAGGAGAAGGTGGAGGACATGAACTATTTTTCAGGCTGGAGCCTCGTCTCAACTCATGTAGTCCAACGCGAAAGTGCAATTTTCTCCAATTGATAAGCATGGGTATGTGCGCGAGGCGCCCACGAGGCTCGAAAGCTGAAGGGGCGACATGATTGGATAGACGAAAAGGCAGATATTTTCTCGATGGAGATGTTTGGGGGTGTGGTGGTCCGGCAGGTTGACGATACCGTATTGACCTCTGACAGCCCTGGCGTGTGCAGAGGAATGCTGGGCCGCGGGTCTTACCAGATTCAAATAGCCGCCATGCCGCATGATATTATGCGTCTGCGCCGTACAGGGACCTTGGCGCAGACGAATCAATCTTGCTAAGCGATCAAAAATACACTTTGTTACTTTGATCACCATTCAACCTGTTTCATCCTTATTTGATTATTGGTGGCATTCCCGGAATACCTCCACCCACCCAAGATCATGATCCACGGCCACTGTATGACATAAGAACTGTACACATCCAAACCCCGCATATAGTATCATCAAGCCCTCCTCGAGTCCAAAAGGAAGCCCCCGACCTATTGTTTTGCCTGTTTTATTGTCCAAAGGGCAGATTCATCTTTTCCCCTCCCTTGCAAACGCGATGGTTTGCTACGCTGCCTCAAACAATGTCATTGCTACCAACATAGGCTTTTACCCTTGTGGGACTCCAAATGACACAGTAACAGCCGTCCCCTGCTGTGTGGCGGCAGATACATGTCTCACAGGAGGTCTTTGTGGGTACACGCATTCTCAAAGTGCAGGCAGTGGGTATTACGCCGCAGGCTGTACTGACTCATCTTTTGGAACATACTGCTCCAAATTGTGTCGTAAGTACCACCTCCTAGTGATTGTCTATGGAAAGACTAATAGAGTTGCTTTCAGAGAACCACAAAGACGGCGATGCAGTCTACTTACCCGATGCCGACATTTGGGCTTGCTGTTCAGACAATGCGACTGGACCAGACTGCACGAATCCTAGCTTGGACCGTTTCAATCTAGCGGCACCCAAGGATTTGATAGCTTATTTCTCAGTGCCAGCGACCGGTTTCGTGCCTACGACTTCGACGTCAACTGCTAGTGCATTCACTTCGTCGATTTTAGCGAGTCAAAGTCCTACAGTTTCGAATGCAGATACCACTCCTAACGTCTTGTCATCGGGTGCTGCGGCAGGCATTGGGGTTGGGGTTGGAGCTGGAGTTATTATGATTTCAGTTGGACTGTGGATGCTATATCGACGGCGTAGGAGGACAGCGAGGGCGCCAGAAGTGGAACATACACATTTTGCCACGCAGGCCAATCCAGGCCACCAACAGCATGGGTACAACAAGCCAGAGCTTGGTTCCGAGTCAGATCACAGGATCGTAAAGCCCACAGCTTTAAGTGAAATGCCTCAAAGTAACGCCGCAGAGTTGAGTATATAGTTAATTTATGGTTCGAATATATAAAAGCATTTTTGATCTGACGGCACTAAAGGAAAGAAACGAACTATGCCATAGCATACCTTATAATTAAGTAATGATTTAAAGACGTATGTAGTTTATTACAGGGCATCCAGTCCAGGGTCATCCTGTATACTCCAGTCTGCCCCATGCCCAAAAGGCCTTTGCACAACCTCCAAGTGGCCATTGCGAGAAGCCACGAGCACGGTCGGATCGTTTGGTGGCAAAGTCAAAGCCCTTCCCACGCTAATAAAACATCTCGTGACCCTGTCTCCCACCGCGCTCAATAATCATGGATTTTTGCAGCATCTCTGTACGGTCTGCAGCAAATTATGGTATTCTAAACTCACGATGAAGAGAAGACTCCCTCGATTCGAGAACTTCAGTCGTTAGGGGCTCCTTTACATGACAGTATGCCATCATTGTGTTGATGACATGGGTTCGCCTTCGCAAGACCGCGTTCAGATTGTGGATCGAGTGCGCGATAAGTGCTGCCATCATCTTTTCCTGGACAGAAAGGATTTTTTTTAATTTCATTTCAGGGCTTCTGCGAGACCTCTTCCATGGAACTGCCGCTCAATATCTTCAACCGTGATACGACCAGTATCTGAAATAAAGAGTATAAATAAAGATGGTCTACATCTGCGAAAATAATGTGTGCAAACAGACTTAAACAACCCTTCCCGTTGTGTCACTCGAAGGGTGCCACACAACCCAGCCACACTGTGGCGCATCAAACCGCTTGCTTCTCGGTCCATTTCTGTCGCAGACGATCTTTTCTGCCTTGAGGAATTTGGCCTTGGTTGCATTGACTCGAGGCTGAGCGTCACGATACCTTTCTAAACATAGTCGACAACAATGGTTTTGGCCTTGATCGGACAATTATGCCGAAGACACCGTGAAACAGTACTACGCACCTCCGTCGTCATGAGAGACCGACCGGAGTTGCTTCAATGAACGATTATTACTATACAGTTACTGATAAGCACGGCATTAGGACGGATTAGCGTTATGGTTAAATGCAGTACTTAGCTTAAAGGGGAGAATTATGGTACGGAGTTCTGGCTGGGGTATTAATATTGTGTGGGCGTGTCTGGTTCGTTATCGGGCCGGGTACGTGAAGGGACACTGCCGAATTTCCAAGTCCACAAACGAGTCGCGCTTTTTGCCCATCTTCGTACAATAGCATGTATGCTCCGTGACAGGAGCCTTGCGAGTATCCCACGCCGTGGCTCGCCTCACAATCTAAATATACAATTCAGCATTAGCGGTGTGAAGCACATTCGGCCCCGACGGTCACACATGCGTGACAAACCTTAAGACAAGGTTCAAGTATGAACATGTATACGAGCCATTCCTGGTTTACACCACCGTCTACCTCCACCTCAACTGCTGAGCAGTGGTTGCTGTTACTGGCTGATACTTCCTGGTCCCACGTTATAGCAATCCTGGCTATACGATCGTTGGTCGTCGACTACCACGGTCCACACCGATGAAGAATGGCCATTGAATGTCTTTATGTAGTCATCCGATTTGGAGTTCCAGAGCCAGCCATCTTCTAGTCTAACGTAAGTGGCAACCTGCAGGTAGTGTATTGGGTGACACAGGGTTGTCTTATGGTGGGGGACGGGACATCTGGCTGAGACTTTTTGTGCAACCTGGACGTGAGTTTGACGTGGAGAATTCTTGATCTTGTCATCCATAATTAGAAGGACTCTAAAATTGTAGCAATTAGTAAGAGCCAGATCCTGAGCTTTTATATTAAATTGTCCCTTGTCCACTTCTTGATGCTTGATCTATTGTATAGCCCGCAATATTCACTTAAGCAGACTGCCACCAAAATACATTGCTGGCAGGATCGCAGGTTTTTTTTTCGTTGCCCAAGAATGCCCACCACTAGTCAGCCGGGCTCTATGCAAAGCCTGAATACTCAGGATACATCCGATATACCTGAGGAGGTAATTACATTATCTCGCGAAGCAACTTTTCGTCGGCAGCCCATGGCGGAAGAAGAAGTTCAGCCACGCCCTTCTCAATTGTTGAATGACAATGAAGATCTCGAATCAGTCACGCAAGTCGTTCAAGACGAACGTCGGCATGAGGTTTCAGAACATTCCTCTGTGTCTGAACAATCATCTGGACTTCCGACTTCCAATGAGACACCAGGAATGGATGTTGGCGCAGAAGTCGAGACTCAACACGAACTCAATGGGTCTTCACGTTTGTCCTGGAAAGAATCACTTGGGACATCCGGATTGTTCTTTATCCTTGGAGGACATGGGGGGACTGTCGCCATACTAATATTCCTGACTTTCATCTGGTTCGGGCACGGCCAAGCGAGCGAGGGTGTCAGTGCGACACACACCTGGCGGCGTTTGGCGCTGAATGGATGGATCCCACAAGCCGTGACGCTTTGCGCTCTTGCTCTGCGAGTCACCATCTCTCAACAATCGGCTGTATGCACTGCCATGATCGCTGCACTAGTCCTGGAGCGACGGTCTACCAAAAAGTCCCACGCAGCGTACTTTTCGGTGGCGAGGGGTTTCAACGACGGGCCAATGAAATTACTGAGAATGATGTTGGTGCCCCTAAACTCTCAATATCTTCAGCATGCGGAGTTCTGGCTGTTGTTGGTTCTCACGACCGTCACGATTGGCCTCCAGTTCACCTCGACCATCCTACTGTCTGATCTTCACAACTTTGTGATGGTGGGGGACCTCGAAAGTGTGCAAGTTCCAAGCCTGGTTCGATTCGAACGTGGTGACTTCATAATTCGAAACGTCCCAGGCCAGTACCAAAATTCTGCTCCTGTCTATATGGCGCTTGGAGAAGAACAGCACAGCTCTGATACCACCCCGTCTTCACATGGCTTGAGCGATACTGGCGTCATAAAAAGAGGTTTCCTCCCATTTCCCGAAAGCAGCAATCGCACGTCAGTGAGATATTTCGAGGGAAACGCAATGATCATGAGCTCTAGAGTTGCATGTATGCGCCCTAACATCAGCTCTAAAATTAGTTACTATGATGACCAATCGCCATATGTCGCAGTAACGGGGCTACTGCGATACGCCTTGAGCCTGAGTGAGGCGCACGCAAGCGATACGCCGCCTTGCAGCAACACCAACTGCCAGGAAACTTATTTTCAGTGCAACCTGCCGTATACCTACGACCGTGGTAATTGGGAAACTGTACCGTGCATCCTAGATCCTGTCGGTGGGGCTTTTCGAAACCTCAGCATGGAGAGAACTTGGTCCTCGTCGGATGAGCCTTGGATCGTGAATTCTAGCATACATCTAGTCTTTGCCACGAATATGACTTCACCGCAAGTGGCACAACTCTTTTCCGACGATCATCACGGAGCTATCATACCCTATCAAGAGTGGAACAACTATGAATTTATGCCTGGAGTCTTAGTGAACTCGACTCTATGCTTTTCTGCATTCAACATGGAGCGAAAGTCCGTGCGGATGAGCTCATCAGGACCCCTGGAGGAGCCCGTCATAGACTGGTTACCAACATCACTCGAATACAATGCAAGTCAAGTGAGAACCTACATGGGGGTCGACAGGCCCAGAAAGAGTCATGAGGACAGGGGCATTTTAGCAATGTCAATAAATGGCCCGCCCGATGATGGCCCTCCAGAAAGTCTCGCACATCGAGTGGTTCAGTTCCTGGACAGCAATCTTACCATTTCGGACCTTACATCCGCAGTTCAGGAGGTCCTGGTCACTTCCGACATGTCGTATGGATGGTTAGCAAATACAACAGTGCTAACGTGCGACGATTGTCAAGGTTTTGGCCAAATGATACACCCATTGAACGGAATGTTGTTCACCGAAATCATTAATACTACCAATCGTGCCGCCGATGCCATACAGAGTCATCTCACTGTTGTTGCTATGTCAGTGTACGAGACCTATCTCAACACCCTAGAGGAGACCCAAGAGGCACTTGTATCTACAACTCGCACCGTCCTAGCCCCCGGCCTATGCTCAGCAAATAGTTGTGCTGGGTTCGTATCAGTCGCAACTTTGGTGGTTGTGCAAATGATCTGCGTGATGACAATTACAACGATCTTTGTTAGGAACGCACGCCACTCATTTTATAACAACATCTGGCATACAATCTCGCAACTGGCCAATCCAGAGCTTCGGGACATTTTGGAGAAGACTACTAACTCAGGCGATAAGGCCATTAAGAAACTTATTCAGAAGGATGACTATCGGGTCAGACTGGTGAAAACACCCCAGACAGGAGAAATTGGAATTGTTAGGATACCAGCTAGTTCGGCAACTTCATCGGCTTTAGAGAAGCCACCTACTACGGGATTCAGCGCGATGAAAAAGATCACAAGAAATAGATAAGGCGAAAGAGCTATTTATTTGTCGTACTGATGTAGTCAGTACCCACCGCTGATCACCTGCGTAGGTATAGAGTTCGCTCTTCAGCACCTCTCTTTTGTAGTCTAGAGATCAACTCAGACATCTTTCAATGCTTCCTCGATCATCTCGTCTTCAGGTCCTCGTATGTAATATACCAATCTGCTTTTACAAAAAGTATCGGAAATATGAAAAGTTTTGTAGTTGTTAATTCTCTGATTCCCAGTGTTCGATATAGCATTGTTTTGGCGCGCTCCGTGACTGACTGTGCCGCCAGCAATGGAGACGTCATTAGCTACAGCCATCTTCGGGCATAAGGAATGGTGCGGAAGAAGGGAAGCGCTTCACAATGGTGACTTGATTGATAACTCGGACGGGTGCAAGAAATTATCGTACAACACTTTGATGCCTGTTTAACTCTCAGAATTCGAATTGCTGCACAAGATCTACTAGTCCCTTGTCTTGGAAGATCTAACGCGGCCGAACGAAGCTCAAAATTAAGTAAGAAAGAGAAGAATTATGAATTAGAAAAAGGCAAAACATACAACACCGAGGATTCCCCGGACGCCACCGACCTGAGTACTGATTCGGCGGTCATAGGACATGTCTACCCGGCGAAGGTGGACCGTTCTGGCTATATCCTGGAAAACGGTAAGCTGCAGCTCCCTCACATTAATATTGGCATCAGGGACATATTGCTTAGCTCTCATATGTCACAGTTCGAGAAGAAAGTATATTTTCAAATGAGTCTGAGCTGATATACAACCAAAACCTGAATTCTGCTGGTCTAAAGGGCAGTAAAGCGATTATAAAGTGGAATTTTTTAAAGAAGAGAAAATGGCCTTGAAAAAAAGTTTCAATGACAAGGTTGACCAGAGATGTCCCACCTTTGAAGCTGATTGGGAAGAATCTGATAGAAATTTACCCAGATCCGTGAACAGTATGGTAAGGCAATCTGGCAACCAGATTCTGCAATTTTGTTTCCCTTCGCCCTTCCATGGCACCAATTACTCTGCCAGCGCCGCACGCGCGGACGAATTGTTGGAGCGCTTCCGAAGTCTAGCTGGTTTCAAGAAGATGATGATCCAATTGTGGTAGTAGAAGAACGTATAGCCGCAGAAGCAGCTTATGGATCGGCTGCATAAGCACACCTTGCACCATCGTTTGCGAGTGCGCGAGGTCCGCTAGATATCTTCTTGGCAGTTCCTGGAGTTATGGGTACTGAGTATATTTCCCCAAGAAAACTGTCTGAGCCGTACAGTACGTTGGACCTCCCACCAAAGGTTGCACCGAATCGAGTTTGTTTGAGTGATTCAAAGGTTTGCCTTGATTCCCAGGTATGGTTTGTTCGACTCCACCGAACAACTTTACCCTCCAAGTATGTAACCGAGTACAAGTAGTCTCCACCGCTGGGGAGGTATGACCAATCTGCCACTTCTTTTTGAGACCCTATCGTCGAATTACCGCTTTGTAAGACTTGTCCAAACGTGGTAGAGCTCGGGTTCACATCGACCTTGGACCAGTGGACACCAGACGCAGAGACCCAGAAAGTTCCATTTGTGTCAACATCACCCATATTATAATAGCCCGTCGGTGGGAGAACAGTAGAGAGAAGTGAATGGTTGCCGTTGCTTGCAATCTGAATGACGCGAAACGACGTGTGCTTGTCGTTCAAATCCACTACGCCGTACATGAAGTTATCCAGAGGATTGTAGCCTAAAGCGTTGATCGAGCCCCCTGGGCCAACAGCTGTTGAGATGGTGGTCTGGACCCCGGTTGTTAGGTTCAAGCGATGCAAGGTTCGGTTTTGAATTAGATAGCCACCAGCATCACAACTGAATGTTGGAAATGGTGTATCTGTGATCACAACTGTTCCAGGAATAGTCCCAGATTGGGTTATAGTTGACGTGCCGGCAGCGGAGCCAGTTATCGTGGTAGTGATAGTGGAAGCAACTTCGGTGACGATCACAGATCCGGGAGTTGTGCCACTCTGTGAAATGGTTAATGTGCCGGCTGACTGACCAATTATAGTCGAAGTAATTGTAATCGAAGCAACTTCAGTGACGATGACAGTCCCCGGCATTGTACCACTTTGAAAGATGGTTAACTTGCCGGCTGATTGACCAGTTACAGTCGAAGTGACTGTAGCTGCTGGGGCGGTGACGATTATCACTCCGGGGATTGTGCCACTTTGTGGTATAACAGATGTACCGGCTAAAGGGCCAATTTGAGTGGAAATAGATGTGGCAGCTGGAAGAGTAATAACAACGGTGCCTGGTATGGTGCCACTCTGTGGAATAGTTGATATGCCGGCTGAAGGACCAATCTCTGTAAACGTAGCGGTCGAAAAAGCCTCGGTTACGATAATCATACCGGGAATCGTGCTGCTTTGGGAAACAGTAGAAGTGCCAGGAGTCGAACCTAGAACCATAATTGTGCGAGTCGAAGCAATTTCAGTAACGATAACAGATTCAGGAGTTGTGCCACTCTGTGAAATGGTTGACGTGCCAATCACACTCGAAGTGATCGCAGCTGGATTAGTAGTATTAATAGTGCCAGATATAATGCCGCTCTGTGGAATAGTCGAGGTACCCGGCGAATTACCGATCACGGTCGATATCACTGTCGAAGCAACTTCAGTAACAGATATACCGACTGAAGGACCAGCCTCCAAAGACGTAATGGTCGAGCCGATGATAGTAACAATAATAGTTCCGGGGGTAGTGCCAGACTGAGAGATGGTCGACATGCCAGCTGAAGAGCCGATTTCAGTCGACATGACTGTGACAGCCAAATCAGTTACCATGACCGTACCAAGGATTGTCCCGCTTGCCGATATTGTGGACGTGCCAATGACAGTCGTTGTGAGTGTGGCTGGGAACAAGTCAGTGGTAATGATCGTCCCAGGTACCGTTCCATTAGCCGGGATTGTAGATGTGGTTAAAGTCTCTGTCCTACCAGGAGTTGTAGTGATCACGACGATTGGTGGACCTGTTGCTGCTGTCAAGGTAGCTGTACCCGGCGTGGGCCCGAGCACAAAAGTCGTCTTGAGAGTATTGGTGATGATGACGGTCTCCCCACTTGTCTCCGTAGCTGTAGTTGTGCCAGTCGTCGACTCAGAGACAGTCGTTACTGACCTAAAGGCACTGGTGATAATTATGGTCGGGGGATTACTGCCATTTGCTGGAACCGTCGAGGTACCTGGAAATTGACCGAGTGTGACTTTCGTGACTGGAATCAAAGTTATAATAACAGTGTTGGGATTCGTCCCTGTGCCGCTTTTGGTCAATGTTCCCTGGGACGATCCAGTCGTGAACTCGGTGAATATGGTAGACGTGAGTGTGCTTGCAGGAGTCGAAGTTACTATAATAATTGGTTGACCCGTGGACGGTGTAATCATCGTCGTGCTTGGAGTTTCTCTAATAGAACTTGCAATTGGGACTTCGGTGATAATCACAGTATCAGGGATAGTCCCTGTGCCGGCAAGCCCTGTTGTCGTTTCAGTGATCGGTTGACTGGGGACCAGCGTAATTATTGGATTAGAGCTATTAGTATGAGTGGTAAAAGTTCCAGGAGTAGATTCCTGAAAGACCAATCAGTGGGCTGAGTGCAGAACATATATCCAATACTTACAGATGTGGTATTAGTGATAGTATTTGCGGGTGCAGATGTAATCACAACCACTGGCGGACCCGTAGCAAGCATGCCCGTGCCTGGAGTTGGCTGTGTGGAAAAGCTTGATCCAGGGACCTCGGTGCTGATCACCGTATTGCCATTTATCTCAGTACCTGATACCGTAGTGGATATCGAATCAGTGGTTGTTTGCGTGATGGGCTGCCCAGGAACAAGTGTAATAATGATCGTGCCAGCAAAGGTCCCACTAGCGGGAATTGTGGAAGTACCAGCCACAGTACCTATGTAACTATCAGAAAATTGTCCTTTTATTCAATAAAAGGCATAAAAGCGCTGGCAGGTTGCATTACCGAACGTGGTTAAAGTTTCGAGAACGGGTTCCAGCCTGAGGAAAGTCACAATTGTCTCTGCGCCTCCTAATGAAGCCGGCTAATTTAATGAATGTTAGTATGATATTACATACTCGGGTGTTGATACGAACCGGAATTGTTGTGAGACCTGTTGTCGTGCCGGTCTGGGTAATGGTGACTGGCTGGGGAGTCGAGACAAAGGTAATAACGGTCGCAGTACCGCCAGGAGAAGATGAGGAAATCGGAGTCAGCCCCGTTGAAACGCCAAAAGAGGTAAGCGCAGGAGCGTCAGGAACAAGTGTGATGATAACGGTGCCAGGAACAGATCCACTCGCAGGAATGGTGAATGTACCAGGAGCAGAACCTATATCAATCTTAGCAAATGATGAACTCGGCTGACAGAGCATAGGAAAAGAGCCGACAGGTTGTCTTACCAAACGTGGTCTTAGTAGTAGTACTCGCCGTTGCTGAAGGCGTTACAAAAGTGATAATAGTAGGGGTGCCGCCACTTGAGGCGGGCTGCAATGTTGTAAGGCCTGTCGTGTCAGTAGTCACAGTCTCAAAGACGGGCTCCAATTTGAAGTAAAACACAACTGTCTGTGCCCCTCCCGGTGAAGCCGGCTAGCGTTTGATAGAAATCAGCATTGTTTAATTAATGGATAGGTAGTGAATTAAAATGATACTTGGGTGCTATACGTACCGGAATCGTAGTAAGACCTGTTCTTGTTCCTATACTGGTGATAGTAATA